AAGGTCGTGTTTGCGCCGCATGTGGCTGCTTCGGGGCAGGGCATTGAGAATGCGACGGAATATGAGGTGACAATGACGGGGCTGAAGTCTGTGAAGAAGGATAAAGCAAAACTAGCTGTGGTGATATAGCACTGTTCTGAGAATGACATGAGAAACAGGAAAAGAAGGAGAAATGCCAATTCGAATCACAAGCAGGCCGTTTATCAGTAGAGGAATTCTTCATTTGGTTTATTGCGTACATATACAGTCTGCTTATATCATTTATACATCATACTCTATACGAAAGAGTACGAAAGTTCTTCTTATTTATCTAGCTAACTAGGATGAGGGAACTCGTCCTCCAGCTGCAGTCGTACTCCGACATTCATGCTGATTAATTCTTGTACCAGCAGCTTGGCAGCATACGGCATCTGCATCTTCGTCACCTCTCTTGTGCTCTTACACGTGCCACAGTATCCCCGGTATCCAAAAAGACCACACTGCTGGCAAATGTCAATCATGACTCCATCGGAACTCAACATGAGTCGTTCCAAGAGAAGCTGAGAAGCGCCATAGGCGATTAGACAATCACGTTCCATCTCTCCCAGACGTAGACCACCATCTCGTGATCGACCTTCGGTAGGTTGTCGAGTCAAGATGGCTCTAGGACCACGGGCACGAGAGTGCATCTTATCCTGCACCATGTGCTTCAGACGCTGGTAGTAGATTGGGCCGTTGAAAATGTACGCCTCAAGCGGCTCTCCGGTGATACCAGATGTGAAGTAATCCTTGCCCTCCCACGAGAAGCCGTGATCAACCAAGACCTTGCTTACTTGCTCAACGGGGTGAGACCGGAAGGCGTCGCCGAACCCATACTCTTTGCGGCCGTGAACAATGGATGCTTTGCCCGTCAAGCATTCAAGCAGCTTGCCGACTGTCATTCGAGAGGGGAAACCGTGCGGGTTCATGATAATATCAGGGCACAGACCGCTATCGGCAAATGGCATGTCTTCTTGGTCGACAATGATGCCCACGACACCCTTTTGTCCGTGACGAGAAGAGAACTTGTCACCAAGTTCGGGTCTACGAGTTTGTCTCGTCTGAACCTTGATGACCGTCGTATCCTTTTCTGTCTGCGAGATCATGACCTTGTCGATGTAAGCCGGATCAGCGATACGGTATGAAACTGCGGTGTCGCGGTACTCGCTGGGTCCACGATCAAGACCAATACCCGTTGTTGTCATATCGAGAGGTGTCTCCTTCTTGACCATTGCTTCTCCTGAATGAATTCTTTGACCAACAATGGCCAGGCCATCATCATCTAGCGCTTCGTGCTTCTTAATTCGTCGCATGACGCCGTTGTCTATTTCATTGAGTGGGTCGCCTATTCGCTCTCTCCTCCCGTTCGGATATTTCTGAAGCTCAGTCGTGTATTTACGGAAAACCTGACAGCGCCCAAATCCTCGGTCAATCGATGCCTTGTTCAAGACCAGAGCGTCTTCGATATCGTATCCAGAGTATGACATGACAACGACTGTGGCGTTTTGGCCAGCAGGGAGTTTGTCGTAATGGATAAGCTGAATAGTCTTTGTGATGACCATGGGCCGTTGAGGGTAGACTAGTGTGTATAGGAGAGTATCGATTCGGTTGAACTGGTTGTGTGCAATGGCGCCAATGGCTTGTTTACCCATGGCACATTGGTAGGTGTTTCGAGGCGATTGGTTGTGGTGCGGGAAGGGGATCAGGCCTGCAACGGCGCCGAGAATTGTGAATGGCTCAATCTCTAGATGGGTTGTGCTCATTGTTACTTGATCTTCATAGATAGTAATGAGAGCATCGTTTTCCTCATTGACATCCAGGTACTCTACGATACCCTTTGTCAGGAAGTCGTCAAAGGTGACTTTGCCCATCTGAAGAAGACGAAGATGTTCTGGCTTGAGCTTCTGCTTGCCGTTCTTGACAATGATGTACGGCCGACAAATACGACCTTCATCGGTCGCTATGTGAATTGCATTGAAGTGTGAGTTGGTGTGAATGCCGACAAAGGGCGAGATCCAGCCGCGGCGACGCATTGTACGGAATCTATGCGTAAATCTCTTGGGATATCTGGTAAGTGCAAATGGTGTACCGTTGACGTGAATGATGTAGGAACCTTCGCGGTGCATCTCAGCACCTGAAAAGTTTCTAATCGGCTCAACGCCAACATCAAGGGTGAAAATCCACCGCATCACAGGTGCCTCATCCACGTTTGTTGTGATGTGCGTCATCAAAGCAAGGTTCTTTACCAGACCACACGCCTCACCTTCAGGCGTATCAGAGGGGCAAAGCATACCCCATTGTGAAGGCTGAAGAGCTCGAGGCCCACTCACTTTTCGAGTCTTCTCAAACTGACTACTAATTCTTGTCATCATACCAAGAGCACTGATGTAACTGAGTCGACTGAGAACGTGAGTGACGCCGGCTCTGTTCATGTTGAAACGCTTGACGCTCCAGTTTCCTGATTGAATAGCCCGATTGATTCCCAAGCCAATGCTATTGGCATGATTGCTAATCATGTGAACAGCGTCCAAGGGCACAGCTCGATTATTCTTTTTAAGAAACTTGTCGATTGACATCTTCACTTCTCCCATAAATCTCTTGAAAAGATCTTCAAAGAGGAGCGAGAGCAGCTGGCCAGCCAGCTCAAGACGCTTGTTTCCAACGAAATCTCGATCATCCACCAACTTGGGATCCTGAGAGGCCATGAGAACTCGCCGTGTCATCATAGCCACATATATGGCCTTGGGGTAGAAATCGAGACCATCAATGGGGACATGCGCAATGATAAGATTGGCTAGAGCATCTAGTCCTTCTTCAACGTTGTTGCGGCGAGCCTGAGCACCAAATTGGCCCTTCCTCGAGCCCATTTTGACGCGCGACCCTATGTATTCCAAGGCCTGGTGCTGCGTAAAGATACCGGCCTTGGCAGCTTCGTCAAAATTGACAAGGAATTCATCCTGATATCGGCCATCCGAACCCGCCACAAGCTGCATAATCTCGTAGTCCGAAAGACCTCCTAGAGCTTTCAGAATGATGACGATAGGGATGCCTTCAACCAGAATATTGTGGGTGAGGGTGATTTTGTCCTTTTTTAATGTAACGTATGTCTTCGACTTTCGCTCGTGGGTGGAACTGGTTACTGAGGCGGAAATGACGCCGTTCTTCTCGTCGGCTTCGACAATGACACGATTCTTGCTGAGCTGCTCCTGAATCAGAATGACCTTTTCGGTGCCATTGACGATAAAGTAGCCACCAGGGTCCAGGGGACATTCGTTCATCTGCTCCATCTGAGAATTGTTCGCTCCGCTAAGTCGGCACTTGCAGCTCTTCAGCATGACGGGCATCCGTCCAAGCGGCACATTTTTGCGGACAATCTTTTGCTTGTCACGGATATATGCAATATCGACGAATATGGGAGCGGCATATGTCATGTCACGGAGTCGGCATTCCATTGGCGTGACTTCAGTTCGGGATTTGGAGTCAGTGTAGTCCAGTCGGCGAGGCTGGTCGACTCGGATATCGGTGAAGCTGGACGATTGAATTAGCAAATGATGATGACAGATGGGAGCTGTTTTCAAACATACTCTAGCCAAAAGTTGCTGTCGACATCGCTGCGGATGGTGCGATTGGCGCGAACGATTTCCTTGATCTCGGTCTCGACAAAGAAGTTGTATGAGTCAATGTGCCTGGCTCGACAGTTAGTAGACTGCAGCAAACGCCGTCGTGGCGGGGTGGATGAGGGTGGAAGAGCTGTGCGTACTGCTTCACAAGGCCTTGGAAATGTTAGCATCAGATCAGAGTCATAACGAATGGCTGGTAGAGCGAGGGAGAGTCTTTACCTTTAACCTTGAGGAATGCCGGCAGCAGCTGGAACTTGTCTTCCTTGGTCGAGATGGGATCCGTCAGCTTCTTGCCGTTGTAGAAAGGCTCCAGCAGGGCCTCGAAGCCATCGTCTATCAACGGCATCTTGTGTGTCACCTCCAGGGAGTCATGGACTGGCGGATGGATGATGTCGATGGATCGATTCAAGGTTGCAAAAATATTATTTTGGCGCTGCTCGATAATGCGATATGGATAAGCAGCTTGCGCCGAAGAAGAAAAAAAGTACTGCCCCGCGGTGAGCAAGCCAGTGGGGCGTCTGCTTTATTATGTCATGGGCCAGGGATTAGCTAAGGTTGATGGGCGTTCAGTGGTTTTTCTTTAGCACTAAACAGTGACCTGTAGCTGCAGCAGCAGCACCCAAAACTTTTAGATCGGGCGGGCAGTGTTATTGATGAAATTGGAAGATACTTGTACACATCTATGGAGTCATTTAACAGCAACTGCGTGTAGTTCAAGTGTTGCAATAGGATACAAAGGAAACTTGAAACCTTTTATGTACTACCACAGGTTGTCTTCTACCTAAATACTACTTGGCATTAGCCAGTAGATGTCTAGTTTCTTGACCATCTGTTGCTATCACTGCCTATATGTACTTTCTGCTACTATTCCTACTCTCCTCTACTATCCGCCACTATCCTCCAGTATCCGCTGCTATAGATATATTCCTCTAGCATCAACTACCATCGCTACATCTTTCTAATATCTACTACTATAGCGAAATTCCTCTAGAATCTGCTACTATAGCGATATTTCTCCAGTTTCTACCTGTATTGGCACTACGAATATGAGACACAGAGTGCTAAATAGCAGACTTAAAGATGTTGAATACATGTAGCAAGGCAGACCTGTCAGAGTCCGCGGTCGCCATCAGCCAATCATTTACTAACATGGCTGAGTGTGCAACTGATCCGTCAACCCAAGAAACTTGCAGGGGTTCTTCTGTTCGGGCCAATCTCAAATGGCTGTCAGTTTGCGGCTATTGGCCGCCTCATAACTGGCCGCATCCCCCCCTCTCACCGAAGACAACAAGATCGAAGCACCATTCTTCATACCCATTACGTTGACCTCGCATTCGAGTAGGCTTCTAATCGTCCGATCCTATGCCTTCCAAGCCGGGATTTCGCAACCGGTTTAGGAGGGTTTTCTCCCGGAGCAACAATGCATCTACAACTACAAGTTCACGGATACAGGCCGCGGGGATAAAGCAACTTGATGGCCTTCATGAGCCAACAAGCTCTAGATCTACTGCACCTGCTGGATCTGATTTGAATACTGGGCCTGTTCTAACTACTACGTCCTCTGGACCTACCAGCACACCCACCAGCTTGGCTGAGCACCTCTGGGATCGAGCATATGATGATTTGAAGAAACAAGACGCTGCATTAATACAAGCCTACGAAAAAATCCTATCTAATAAGCTTAATGAAGCAACTGGATCAGAGCAGAATATAATTGCACAGCATGATGCCCACGCGAGGCGGAATCAGATGCGGCAGCTCATCTACGATGGCTTGAACAAGACGGCGAAAGAGGCAAAGGTAAAAGAAGTCATTGGCATCGCTATTTCAACAAAGGATATCATCACCAATGCTGTTCAGGCTGTCCCAAAAGCCGCCCTTGCCTGGACCGGTGTATGCATGGCGCTTGAGGTAATTCTACCCCGAGAGAGAGACAGATATCATACCGAGTCTAAGTGTACTGATAACATAGATGATGCAAAATCCCATAGCAGCAACAAAGGCCAATCGTGATGGTATCGAATATGTTATCAAGAGAATGAACATGTATTGGGAATTATCTGGTGTTGCCTTAAAAGATAATGCCAATGATGGCCTTTCTGGCATCCGGGGCGAGCTGGAAGCCCAAATCATTAACCTTTACAAAGTGCTCCTCACATATGAGATAAAAAGCGTCTGCTCATACTATCGCAACCGTGGTTCTGTACTGCTACGCGATATAATTAGCCTCGATGATTGGAACGGCGATATACAAGCTATCAAAGCCGCGGAGCGTGTCTTTCATGACGATTTCGCAACATTTACGAGACTAGAAACGGTCTCCGATATTAAACAGCTGGTCACTCATGTGAAGGAACAGTCTACTGCCCAGATAACAAAGGAAGACCAGCAATGTATGAGGGATTTGCGCCTAAGCGATCCTTCCGATGACAAAAAACGTATCGAGCAGACCAAGGGCGGTCTATTACAGGAATCATATACCTGGGTTCTGGGCAATCTGGAATACCAGCAATGGCTGGATTCAGAAGACAGCCGATTGCTTTGGATTAAAGGGGATCCCGGCAAAGGCAAGACCATGTTACTTTGTGGTATCATCAACGAACTCAGCAGTCAATCAAGCCAATTGGGTCATGGTATATGCTACTTTTTCTGTCAGGCTACCGACCAACAACTCAACAACGCTTCTGCTGCCTTACGTGGCCTAATTTTTATGCTTGCGAAACAGCAGCCATCACTTATTTCTCATATACGAAAGAAGTACGACGAAGCTGGCAAGAAGCTGTTCGAGGGACTAAATACTTGGATCGCCTTGTCGGACATATTTACTGCTATTCTCCAGGACCCAACGTTGAGGAGCACATACTTGATCATTGATGCTATCGATGAATGCGTATCCGACTTTGAGAAATTATTGGATCTAATCGTGCACGCCACTGGCATCAATGCTGGTGTGAAGTGGATTGTGTCCAGCCGAAACTGGCCCAAGCTAGAGGAGCGACTACGACTCGCCGAACAAAAAGTTAAGCTGAGTTTGGAGCTTAATGCAGAGTCTATATCCAGTGCCGTCAACTTTTATATCGAGAAAAAGGTTCATCAGTTATCAGATCTAAAAGGCTACGATGAAAAGACCTACAGCGAAATCAGGGACTACCTCTTCAGCAACGCAAATGATACATTTCTCTGGGTGGCATTAGTCTGTCAGAATCTCGCAAAATATCCACGATGGAAATTTTCTTAAGATATTGAACACTTTTCCACCAGGCCTCGATTCTCTATACGAACGCATGATAGAACAGATAATAACCATAAACGATAGTAGCGATAGTAGCGATATCAGTCTCTGCAAGCAAATACTGGCCGTCATGATGAGCATATATCGCCCTATTACGCTACAGGAACTCGGTTGTGTCATCGAAATCCCAGAGGACCTGAAACTTTCGACTGATATCGAATTTCTAAGGGAGATTGTGGCGCTCTGCGGGTCGTTTTTGACCATCCGGGAAGACATTGTTTACTTTATTCACCAGTCTGCTAAAGACCATCTCTCTAAGAACGGCCATGCCATATTTCCTTTAGAAAACGTGCATCACAACATCTTTTCTCTTTCGCTACGGGCCATGAACAAGGTTTTAAGAAAGAACATCTACGAATTGCAGGACCCCGCATACCTCACAGAAAATGGCATTAGAATGCCACAAGCAGGTCCAGATCCTCTGTCTCCCATTCGATACTCCTGTGTACACTGGGTCGACCATCTTAGGGATAAAAATACCCCCGGAAGGGATGATCTTGGCGACGACGGTATAGTATCGTCATTCCTCTGGAAGCATCTCCTTCACTGGTTCGAGGCTCTAAGCCTCATACAAAACGTGTCAGCCGGCGTCGTCTCGATAGCAATGCTCGAGACCATACTCACAGTTAGTATGTAAACTAGCACCTAGTTCGGAAAGAAGCTGATATCTCCAGATACAATCCCCTAATGGAGAGCTTCTTAGCCTCCTTCGAGACGCACATCGATTTATTCTCCATAATCGAAGGACAATCGAAATTGCCCCCCTTCAGACATACTCATCTGCATTGATATTCAGCCCTATGAAGAGCCTAGTACGACAAGCCTTCCATCGAGAAATCCCATCGTGGATACAGGAGGAACCAACAGTCGAAGATAACTGGAGCCCTTGTTTACAGACGCTAGAGGGCCATACCGCTTGGGTGACTTCAGTCGCCTTCTCATCAGATCACAAACATATTGCCTCAGGGTCAAAGGATAATACCATCAAGATATGGGACGCCGTTACAGGTGTATGCCTCCAAACCTTCGAAGGCCACACTGATTGGGTAACTTCAGTGATTTTCTTGCCAAACGGTGAGCAAATTGCTTCGGGGTCAGTTGATGAAACTATCAAGATCTGGGATGCAGCAACAGGCAATTGCGATGAGTCGCTTGAAGGCCATACTGGTGCAGTTCAGTCTGTAGCCGTCTTGTCAGATCATCAAATCGTCTCCGTATCACACGACCAAACAATCAAGATCTGGGATATTTTAACGAAGGCTTGCATCATGACACTCAAGGGACATGATGAATATATCACATCGGTAGCTACATGTACTTTTGCAAACGGCAATATCGCTACAGGATCTAGCGATGCGACCATCAAGATATGGGATTCAACTACCGGCGCATGTGTTCAGACACTAAAGGGCCATATTGCATGGATATGCTCGGTAGCTTTCCTAAACAGCTAGTAAGTTATCTCGGGGTCGGATGATGAGACCATCAAAGTCTGGGATATAGATACAGGGGAGTGTGTTCAGACACTTAGACATACCGATTCTATCTGGTCACTGGCCATTGTGGCGCCTGGTCACGTTGCTTCAGGATCAGACGACATGATCAATATCTGGGACGTAGTTACAGGTACGTGTATTCAGACACTACAAGGGCACACCGATTATATCAAGTCGATAGCTACTATATCCTCTGATCAGATTGTGTCAGGATCACATGATGGAACAATTAAGATATGGGACTGGCCATAGGTACAAGCGAGAAAAGCTTTGACAGCCATAGTCGTCTTGTTCAAGCAATGGCTTTGTCCTTGGATGGGCGGCAAGTTGCTTCAGGATTAACAGACGACAGAATCAAGGTCTGGGATGTGGAAACAGGCGCCTGTGTCGAGACACTCGATGGTCATAGCGACTTTGTGACGTCCATCATTTTCCTTAAGGACGGCCAGATTGCCTCAGCCTCATGGGATGGGATGGCCAAAATCTGGCAGGTTGATACAGGCGCGTGTGTTCAGACACTCAAGGCTCATGGAGCGGTCTACTCAATAGCCTCCTCGGCAAACAGCAAGTATATCGCTTTGGGTTTGAAGAAAAAGGTTGAGATTTGGAACTTGACTAAGGGTAAGTGTAGCTGGATTCTTGACGACACAGGTTTTGTCAGTTCACTTGCCTTCTCTATGGATGCTCAACAGCTGGTTTTGGGATCAGGCACTTTTGAGAATAAGATTACGATCTGGAATATCGCTACAGAAAGATGCACTCATACACTCGCGGGCCATAGCGAAATATTATCAGTGGCCTTTTCTTCCGACGGGCGGTATGTTGCCTCGGCATCCGCGGACAGCACAGTCAAATTCTGGGATGTGGCTGAAGAAACGTGCCTTCAAACACTCGAAATCGGCATACTGCACCGCCTTTCATTTGACCCGACGACGAATCACATCATCTATAGCGACATTGGCATTATAGATCTGGATTCGAGGTCTGTTGCCACTCGAGGATACGGCATAGATAGGAGTCATGAGTGGATTACGAAGGACGGGAGGCCTCTCCTGTGGTTACCTGTGCCATATCGATCCTATACTTCGGTTATCGTGGACTCCTCAATTATTTTCTGCAAGTCGGGCCATATTCTCAAAATAAAGCTTTTAGACCCAGGACCAGATATATAGCTTTCCCTACTAGATCTATCTATATCTACTAGATTTATCTAGATTTATTAGATTTATTTATATTTACTAGATCCATCTACATCTACTAGATCTATCTACATTTACTACATCTATCTGCATTTACTAGATTTACTGGTTTAATAAAACAATCGTCTAATTAAAACCTTGCGCTCTGAGTCTCTTACTCGTTTTCTACTTATGTATTTTCTTCTCCAGTGCTTGCGAATCTCACGATCAAACAATATACGTGATTTCTAAGGATCAGATCGAATTCTTTTGGAAGCTTTGGCTAATCTCATCCAAACGGCTATGTAGCTTAAAGCTTGACCGTAAAGCATGGGAATTATTATCTGGCACCGCGTGTCTTAAATTTAAAGCCAAGTACACACTACATATAGGTAGTGGCAATTCCAGATACTAGTGGAATACACATGTAATTACCATATCAGCAGATGTTGGAAGAAAATGGCGAAAGTAGCAGACAGGTCTCTACTACTACCTAACTGTGTATGGGAGGAAGCAAAAGATGGGATGAAAGGGTGAACCTCAATGGTCAGCCACGGATCCCCTCTGCAATATTTGGATGTCATTGACGCGCTCTGGTACAAATACATGTATTGTTAGTGCTAATCTGACTTTAGATTCGATATCGATGCGGAGTATAAGGTTCGTACCTGTTGCCTTTACCTTTGAACAGGTGAACAACTCCTCCCTCAAATATTTCTTCATTTTTATTTCACCATTTACCTCTACTTCTATTCAATTTCATCTTTAGTTCCCATCACTTTTCCCTTCGGTTTCGCCCCTTTGCCCCCTCGATTAAACATTTCACCTCCATTTCCAGCCATGGAGGACGCCGATCACAAGATGTATGCTCCGTATGTGTACAGAGGCCGTGATGGCCTTCTACGCGACGGCCAAGGCCGCGGAGCCCGATTGCTCAGCGAATTTACACGAGACGAACTCCTCTGACTCTTTCGTACTGATAAGGAAGGATCCCATCGATATAAATTCACACTATTATTGATATTCCCTCCTATGAACCCTCGGTTCGCGATGCTGCTGCCAACTGCCTATAAATATAAACAGTTTTAGGGTTTTCAGATCTATTGGATATACTAAACTTACGTACATTTTCAGTGTGCGGCAAATCTGCCTGATATCCCAACATATCATTGGATTGATATCTGCAATAAATCAGTACCGGTCTATATTTTGCCGGGGAAAAGATGGCTGCTACTCCGTATTGTACTTCACAACTACATTTACCGACGGTGGTTTCGCCCATATCGAAGCGAAATCGACTTTTTGCGCTTCATCTACAAGTTCATAATCCCGCAGGACCTGCCTGATAATACAACAGTTTCTCTATCGACTGTGGATACTATTATCTCCTTAAGCAAAGCTGTTATTGCCAGGTTTGAAGCACACCGCATTGTCAAAGTTGAAAAGCGCGCCGCGTCTCAAAACTTTTGCAGCATTTCCTGGAGCGATCCAGTAAACCTTGATTTTTACATCCTCCAACCATTATTCCGAGCGTTGGTTATTATTGTCTCTGATGAGAAATACAACAAAGAACCCTCCACGGCACTTGGAGATCTTCCTGTCTATTTAGCTCGAACAGGTGTGGAAGAAGAACTCAGCGCACCTATTTCGTTTGAGCCTCTCGCAGCCAAGATTATCTGTCATATCGAACCTGGACGTGTTATTCAAGTCACTCTGGAGACAGCCATTGATTTTGCCATCGGGCTAGAGGCCAGAGAGGCCGCTGCGTTTGGACTTCGACCTGATCCGGCAACCGATTGGAAACCGGACGAAGACATGCTTGAGGCTTGGCGGTCGATAGGAGAGACTGAGCCGCTAGTCGGGCCAAACTCTCAATGGGTAGACGACAAGATATATTCGGAGTGGTCAGGGAGGGGGAAGTGGAACGAGGCTTCGCTCATGCCCCGGTATGAAAAGACGGCGTTTTGGATGGAGGGTCATAGAGAAGCCATGGAAGAGAGGTACAAAGAAGCGCAGCGAGCAGCAGCAGACGCGGCTCGTGCATCTGCTGCTGGTAGCCACGGCCAATAATCTGGTTGCATGGATAGATGCAATAAAGTTGATGCACTTACTGCGTTAGGTCATGTTCTAGGAATTCTATGCTCTACTGGCCACCTACCTTGGCAAAGGTCCTGCCAGAATGCTTTCAACCTACCCTTAGATATTTGGTCGCCAATTCATGACCTGGGTAAACGTTTTCAACAGTTGTGGAGACGAGGTCGATCTATATATTTACTAGATTAACGAGGAGTTACCGCGCCCTGAGCCATCTGAGGTGCCCTCATACTGAATCTCAGGTCACATCGCAAGAGTCGAGTAAACAATAAATTAGAAGAACCACTCATGACAGCTATTGTTGGTATGCCATGTAAGTTACCACTAGCTTGCGCCCAACAGAACGTTGTAGAGTCAAAATTGTTCGCTATCAACAGATTAGACTAGAGATGCGTATAATCTGAGCTCCCAAAGCTGATGCAATTCAAGCTGCTAACCTTATAGCTCATCACGGTCCTTTTTGCCCATGCTTGACACAGTTTCACAGTACGACGAATCAATCAGGCTCCGCCTCCAGAGCGCAACACCAGCAGCCGCCGCGTATGTTAGGTCCTGGGAGATTAGCAACTCTACCTTTGGGCCTGTCATAGCATCCTTATACCTGTGAACAGGGTGGTTTTGTATACGCGTGATGGCTTGTCTGACGGCGTCCATGAACTTTGGGTTATCCGCGGCCTCACCCGCTACAAGCACTATACAGTGCTTTCCCAGGGAAAAATCACCGCTAAAATCACCGCTGGTGACGTACTCTTCAGCTTGGGATACAAGGTAATCTTCAAGTTTACGCCAAAAGCTTTCCTCGTCACTTGCGTGCTCTTGCTGGTATAAGCCAAGTTCAGGATTGATGGTTCCTAATCGATTACTCGAAGCTGAAAAAGAGTAGCACGTTGCTTGTTGAAAGGAGGTGTATAGAGAGTGATTGGTGAAGCTAAGCAATGTCGTTAGCAGCACATCATTTGTCGCGGTAACAGAAGAAAACGGTACTTGCCTAACAAAATATACTATTTGGTGTGTAATTAAAGGCTCAGTTTCGTAGGCCCATGGAGGCTCATCAAATATACTAGGGTCGAAACAACGAAGCTTTGGGCATATCCGGCGCCCGTTGGCAGCGAGAAAAGTATTAGTCTCGCCAAGATAGACAGGATCCATATTTTCAATCGTTACAGGCTTGAGGCCCGCCAGTATGCGCGCCCTTTGCAGTAAACCATCCAATAATCTTTCTTGCTGGTACCAGGCACGCATATATGGCGCAGTAAAGACGACAGTGGCTGGCAGAGGTCCTCCAAGAGTGGCTTCTGATGCAATTCGCAGCGATCTAAGCATCTCGGCGAGGATTATGCCGCCATATGTTGGGCCAAGCCCGGTATATCGATTCAATAATATCAAGATTTCTTCCCATAATAGACTGGATATGGTACGCTCTTCATATTGTTCCAGGTAATCCCCTTTCTCCAACTCGCCTTGCATAAAAGCCCTATATCGTGGGCTCCCCTCGATCTTGGCAAGATTGACAATAGTTCCATTAGGCAGATGTGCGACAGCAGTACTAATCGCGTTAGATGGAATGACTTCTGAGCAAGAGTCAACGTACCCGTAGGACTGCCCAAGATCAAAGCCGATGGCAGGTCGTGGGTCAACTCCACTGGCCGACGCGAAAGGCAGAATGGCCAGGAGACAAAAAACGGTAGTTAATCGAAGCCTATTAAAGCCGGGTCGATGAGTCATTTGAACTATGGCGAAGCCTTGTTGATTTGCAAAAACAGAGATTTAATCTAGTGACTGTTTACGTTGCGCGGGGGACGGTGAGTTGGCCAGGTTGAAGTTGCGGCGTGACTCAAACGAAACGTACCAACAGCCTACATGTACTATAACACCTGCATTCATTATCACGTGGGTAATGAATGTGCTCTGTGCTTGAAAATGTCATCGCTTGATGAAATGGACGCTTTATTATTATTTTTTTCTCCATCAAAACATAGATGTGAGGGGAAAAGTCGTCTTTACTGGGTTTGCTGGGGAATACTACCAAATATGGCGACTATAATACAGACAGAAATACAGGTATGTAGATACTAGGTAGGTTCTAGGTAGGTATGTAATGTTAAAGAGTTGGAAATGCCTTACCTATCTCTGAAGCCTCGCTGGCTTACATACATGTACATGTATAAATAAGCTCTACCGATTAGTATGCATATAAGATGCATTTATTGCAGCTGGAACCCGTTGTCACTACTTATATTTGGCAGAGCAGTACAGTACATATTGAAAAGCATATATCGTATATCCCTGCATGCCTCCTAAATACATAAACATATATTAACACCCAGTCAGTCAACATCGATACAGCAGTCGCATAAATACAACAGATAAACCCGAGATATAATCTTCTCAAAAGTTATTCTCAATACACAAGCGCTTTCAAGCCCAGCAAGCCTTGCCATACTTGTCAATGTAGTATGGCCTACCCGTCTTAGGGTCAGTCAGGAAAGTCGGCTTTGAGGTCTGGGTATAACCCCCTGTCCCCCAGTACTCTGAGAAATAGCCTTCCTGTTCATCCATCGCGGTTGTAAGCCCACGTACTGAGCATTACATTCCCTGCCTTTGTAGTCGACGAAATAGTATGTTCCCGAAGAATGCTTCCGCAGGGAACAAAGCTCAGGCTGGCCATGGCGTTGGTAATATGTCTGTTTCTGGGCGTTGGAAAAGACCAAGACGATATGATAGGGGTTTGAGGTTCTGTAGCCTGTGCTTTTCTCTGTCGACTGAATCTCCTTGCCTTTGGCATCGCACTGATGGTACTCCTCATCTTGGCCAATGTAGTAATATCCACCATAGTCATCTCTGTAGACTTGCTTGGTCCATGTGCGGCCAGATGAACCGCCGCCGTCTCTACCCTCATCGTCATTGTCTCGACGAGGCTCTGGCCTTTTTAATGGGTTTAAAGGCTGGACTTTGAACATCTTCTGGTAATGTTGCAGGGTCTCCCCCAAATCAGGCGCCGAGGTACCCCAATCAATGATAGTGCCATCTATTGGAAGCTTTGCCCCGCCTGCCCCAACTAGGATACATATGTTGGTAGTGTTGTTGAACCAAACGGCAGCCAACATGATAAGTGTGCTTCGAAGCAGATCGGGTTTCGCCGTGAGCGGCTTCCCATTGAACCCCCAGGCGGTAAGTGAAATGTAGTTTGGGTTTGCATACTCTAGGTATAGGAGAAAGTCTTTTCTGTCAGTTTTAGAGAGTACGAAAGTCTCTGGGCGTGAGGCCTTGGGCATGTTGACGGCGTAATAGATTTGAGAGAAGGTGTGGTGGTATTTTCTTTGATTGAGGATGTTTTATTCGTCTTCAAAAGCAAATGCGAGAGGCACAACTCAAGGCATTTTATATCCATCCCAAGTATCATAAATTTAGTAGCCATCTGCCTTGTCGTTTCAGTTGACAAGGTTGAACCCGAATTGGCCATGATGTTAGCCATGATATTGACCATGATGTTGGCCATGATGTTGGCCAACAAGTTGAACAGAGGGCTGAGAAAGCGTCAAAGGGAGGCAGCCAGCCGCCAAGGTGCTTATTCTAGGTTAGCAGAACACTGCCTGCTCGTAAATGGGGCTTAGACTTACACGGCTGTAGGGAATCCGTCAGCCTTGTGTTGGTGATGAACATGAGGCTGTTGGTGATGAACATTTTGGCGTTGGTGATCCACATCATGGTGTTGGCCATAAACTCAGGGCTTAGCGGCTGTGGATTATACGCGATTGGCTGATTGCGCTTTTAGCGCGCGTTCGCACTAAGCGCCAGCATTGTTGTAGGCGCTTGCAGCGTCGGGTCCTGCTCGTACATATATCATCCATAACCTGGTAATGTTTCATGTAGCAACAGCCACAACAACTAGCAACAGCAGCTCACATCTTTTGGTTCCTTTCTCACTGCATACGTTGCGCATCTTAGACATCTGATTTTTCGTCATCATGTCTACAGAAACAGCTCAAGACATGTAAGGGATACTTGATGGGCTACAAAATAATTACCGCCGCTAACCTAGTGATTAGGTCCGACGAGGTCATCCCTATACCATACGTCGCAGGCGCCTCTCTACGCCTTGAAATCACCCAAAACTACCAAGACTTACCCTTACCCCGAGTGACTACGGCATCCATCACTAGGGTACTCGATATCACCATGTCTTCGGTGATGTGCGTTACTATTACCCTGGACTCAGGCCAAGACGTTCAGGCAGTCCTGAAACTGTACGATCGTCGGTTCGGTGTCGATCTTCGCGACTACAGAATGGTACATCTGCCTCTTACAACTAAAAGGGAAGCGTTGTTTGAGTCCTTTGTAAGGCGAAACGCTATTGGCCCTTTTCTCACACAGCTAGCCAAAGACCAGGAAGGGAGACTTCTGCCTATTAAACCTCATCACCACCTCGACGACGAGAACGTCGAGGGCAATGAAAAGTACGAAGCGGCTCTGTGGAAAGATTGTGATGACATGTTTCACTGCGAGACTAAGGCCTATGAGTTGCTGAAAGATCTTCAAGGTGCCGGAGTACCACGTTTGCTGGCCACCGTCCGCCTAGCAGACACAAGCTCTATCATACCATCGGATCTCATCGACGGACCTGATGCCAAGTACTGGGACGTTAATGGCATTCTCCTCCAGTACATTCCTGGAATTAATCTGATCAATCTCGACAGCTCATCAATAGACGTCAAGGAATGGCCGATATTGGTACAGCGTTCTGTGGATTTGGTTCACAAAATCAACGAATACGGCGTGGTTATGATGGACTGTTCCACACGCAACGTGATTGTGGATCAAGAGTCGCATCAACCTTTTGTTATCGATTTCGCGCAGTGTTGGTTCAAGCATGAAATGAAAATGTGGGAGCCTAGCAACGAACAGGACGATGAGGACGATGAGGACGATGAGGACGATGAAGACGATGAGGAGGAGGAGAGTGAGGAGAAAATGGCTAAAAATGAAGAAGATGAAGGAAAAGAGACTGAGGAGAGAGAGAATGAAAGGAAAGAGAACGAAGAGAAGGAGGGCGAGGAAAAAGAGACTAAAGAGAAAGAAGATGAAGAGAAGGAGGGCGAAGAGAAGGAGGACGAAGAGAAAAAGGACGAAGAGAAAGAGGATGAGGACAGCGAGATTGACCTAGAAGATGAGTACTGGTATCGAGTAAGGTCTACAGACAATCCTGGTGCTATCGGATATGTTATGAGAACGCGACTACAGAGAGAAAAGGGTGTCAAGATCAAGGTCCAATTCCCAGATATCTATGAGAGACCGCTAAAATAAGATAATCAAGGGAGTAGCTATTCAGCACTCCAAGTTGACTATCTAGAACCCCTGCGACTACTTGAAGTTTGAGTATTGAATTGATGTGAAAGAAAGCTGTTTACCGTGTTTACTGCTATAGGAATTTAGCTGCTAGTGCGTAAGTAAAACTGAATGTAGTATATACCTCATTCTTTAAGTACCTGTCACTTCTACAATTATTTACTGTTACAGCTACATTTCTCTAGTATCTTCCGCTATAGCCATAATCGTCTAGTATTGGGTATTATTTTCAGGTTGCACTACGGAGTGTTAGATAGCACAATTGGGGACCATGTTGAACACATGTAGGCACCCCCTCTCCCCCGACTGTAACAAAGAGGAGATGGGGAGGGACTAGTAGACGGGATTGTACATATACGATGCTCCTCTAAGCCGCCACAAGGCATAAAATTTGGCTCAACGTGAGTCACCGCTCTCGGTTCAACGTAAAACTTGAAAGCCTTTACAGCCAACGAAAAACCAAGTAGAACATGACAGAAACGTGTGGCGCAGCAGGGAGGACCAAGGCAAATCTTGTCCTACCCTTGGCGGCTGCCTGAAGTGATTGTGTGTAAGTCATTGTATCGATTGCCTCACTCTGATCAAAGCCAAGGACTCAAAGGGGCCCCATTCTCATGAGCATTAAAAACTGCCAGTTCGCACTTTTTCAGGGTTTCCATCGCCCTTCGCTTGCATTTATGCCTGGTATTGTACTCCTAACGTCTTTTCACCGGTTACACTTTTGAAACTTCAGCTCAGTTTGATGAAATATCTTTGGTGTTGTAGAAGGCAAAGACAAAATTGGCCTACTTGAGCCTCCAGAATCTCTTCTTGTAGAAAGACAAAATGCCGAACGTGTACAAGAAGGGCAGAGGGCTCAGTCTTGACGATGGCGCTACTGCAACCAATCCCTCTGGGCTTCTTACTCCTCCAAGGACCCCTTCCCCTACGCCAGATACGGCTGTGAAAATTGATCAGCAGGCGACAAAAAAGATCGATCTAAGCGTGCTGAAATGTCGACTCAATCTCCAGGATTGGCGATGCGGATGCCTTACCCAACAGGGGAAACCCTGTAAAAAGTATACGCCAAAAGAGAATAGGACGAAGGTGGATAGCTTGATAGAATCGATGGTGGCTTTGACTCAGTCGTCTATGGAACTCGAAGACAGGCTACGAAAGTTGGCTGAGCTAGTTCACTGCCATCTTCATCCCTATGAAAGACATATAGAAGATCGCGTTGAGAAATGGACATCCATCTTCCCTACTGGAGATGCTAAGCCATCTATACCTCTGGAGAAGCGGATCACAATTGCTCTACGTCGCGATTACGCCCATTGCAATAACCGTTATTGTATAGGGAAGACATTGAAGCAGGAGGATTGCCGTTCGAAGCTTGATGGACGAAACATGCAAAATTACACCAAGACTATTGATGAGATTATCCTGTCGGTAGCTTGCTTTGATGATACTAAAGTTGAGTATCTTCTCAAAGTCCTCGCATGTAATGGGCTTTGTGATCACCACCAATATCAGTCATCTAAACATATCGAGCTATGGACTTCAAGACTCGTGGAGATTCGCAGCACATACCAAGCAGAAACTAAGCAATTGGCTAATAGCGGCTGCACTCTGGATGACTCTGATATGTCTGGTACAACTTTACAACGAGAAATAGTTCAAAGGCTAATGCTCAAAAATAGCACTAAACATGATCTTGAAAAGCGAGTCGACTCAACACCTATTGACTTGGCATTACCTCCACCAGACCAATACTGGCCCAAAGCCTTTGATGAGAGTACCTTTAAAATAATCAAGAGAAGGGATAGCCCTCAAGACCCAAAATCTTCATACAAAGAGATCAAAGCTAACGCGATGCGTCCTTTGGAAAAGAAGTTGGGTGACCTAAAGAAGGGATTCATATATCTTTATACGGTTAAAGGAAACGAGAGATTTGTCAAAATCGGATACACTACTCGCAGTCCGGAAACACGGCATGAAGAGTGGAAGTTGAGCTGCAACAGAGAACCCAAGTCACTCTTTGAAGGCTCAATAGTCCCAAATGCCCGCCGTGTTGAGGCCTTGTGCCACGCCGAGTTGGATTATTGTCGGACAAGAGTCTATTGTACCGGCTGTTCGATACAGCATATTGAATGGTTTGAAATGACGCCTGATGATGCTATTTCGGTTATCCAGAAATGGTCAAAATGGATGGAATCTAATCCATATACTGAGACATTGTCAGAGTCCGGTGTAAAGTGGGCATTAAAAGCAGAAGAGGTGAAGAAGCTTGATGATACCGATACATTCATGAAAGATTTAGCGCTTCGATTTGACAAATGAGCCGAAGTATGAAGCATTGATGGTTGCATTGGTGGCTCGGAACAGTACTATGGGTCAATTGATCAAAAACTGGAGGAAAGCAGATGATAATTACATATATAGCGACATATCATCAATTGGTAGATGATTGGCTTGGCAACTCGAGTTTATAGGTTTTCAATCCTTGCGTATTCTACTATTGGAGTTTAGGGCCTTGCGATAGCCTACATCGCTGTTTATGAACGGCATGTTCCATCTACTACAATATCCCTCCAGGGTGTACTTAAGGACATTGTTTTCGAGAACATTCTGTGTAATTTGATTGATAAAGCACGATCAAAGTTGTGTATTTAGGTTGTTAGATTTTGAGCGTTAAGTCTTATGTTCAGTCCTCCGATGGCTTCAAAGGGACGCCGGATAAGAAGGACCTCGTTTAAGAGTACATGTACAGTACGGGAGATTAGTGGGTATGTACTTATTAAGTAGTACTTTTATAGAGGAATATGTATCCATTTATCTTTCACCCGGATTTTACTATATAACTATGATAGCAGTTACTAGAGGAATATAGATACAATAGCAATTACTGGAGAAATATAAATATAATAGCAGTTACTAGAGAGATATAGATATAATAGCAGTTACTAGAGAAATATAGATATAGGAATAAATAAATACTGAAACAACAGGCGTAAAATTTACCGCATGGGCTCTTCAATTTTTCTTAGTCCCGATTTTTCTGTCATCCGCTTGCTGTGGTAGCAAGAACTGCTACTTGAAACTTCTATGTAATTCAGCTAAACCTGATGAAAAAAAAAAGTACGTTTAATGGACTAGAATCTTCATTTTGGTTATGTTGGAGCTTAAGCTAACCTTTGCGGTTATTTGCGAAACTTATTTGCGAGACAGAAAACCGTACCAATATGATGGCAACCGGACCGAAAGTCCAGCCGAAGATTAGTAGTAATTAGTAATTAAAAAGAAACGAAACCACCTGCTGATTCCGTGAACGAGTGAGTGCTACTGTACAGTGATGAGTGGAGAGGCGCGGGCCGAATTCAGCTTCTCCAATTGCCGAGGCGATACGGCCGATGATGCCGGTATTCGAGATTGTTGCGGATGCGGGGAGAATGGACATGGAATCATCTATGCAGGAACCATAGTCGAATGAAGCCCTAGTCCATTGCAACGTCACAGCGCCACCATATCGCAATGTGTTTCTTTTCTCGTGCCTAGTAAGAAGAGTACGTAGCATGCAGCAGTGATCTTCTCAAGGGCACATTCCACCCATCACCTGATATATATACACATCCATTACTCCTTCGCCGACAGGCATGAGCTGTGTCCACCTGCACATACGTGAGTATTCAGTTTAGCAGCTGTCAAAGTCAGATGCTATGAAACAACGCTGTTTATTCCATCTTCAAAGCATACATCGCAGTTCGCCTTTTGGGAGTCCTCGTTTGTATGCGATGTCCATGAGAAGAGACAAATATCACACAACTGCCGTTAAAGTCACTGGGTTAGTCTCATCTAGGCTGCAGCTAGAATGTCTGAAGCGGTCCAATCGCCTTTGTTTGAGGGTTGCCTAGCTGAGGCCAGAAACTGTGGAGGTAGCATGTTAAACCCGGCAGCGGCATATATGTGCAGTTCCATGTAAGTGAAAGAGCTGACGCTCTCCGGAATCGCCCAAACGAGTCACCCGATCTTAGTCTAATAGAGCGTCGATCCGCGATTCCAGCGCTCTTGGTCGCCTGATGTCTTTTGAGTAACCATACTGCCCTTTTAAGGCTATATATTCCGCGCTAGATGGATCATAAGAGTTCCAAGTTCTTCTTTGGGCTTGGCCCAACTCATGCGCCCGTCCGCTATGAAGTCTCGAAACCGTAATTTGTCATGTGCTCCAAATGAAGCAAAGTGAATATGGACCAATAGCGATGAAAAGGATCGTCCCTAATGGTAACTCGAGTGGATTAGCTTTCAAGGACTGCATATAACTAAAACGCGCTTGCTCTCCACCTTATACGCCTAGTTTATGTGATATACGCTTGCCTGACATTTTATGCGTTTCCTTTTTGTTAGACACAATCGGAGTAAGGGCCTCAATAAGATATCACTTTGCGCTTATATCAACATTGGACATGAGAAACTTGCCGAGAATGACACTCACATAGATACACAAACCGTTGTCCCTCATAGTCCGCCCACTCTTTCGAAGTGGTGATATAGCCAAATGAAGGCGCATCTAAGAGGGGCTGTCATTTCAAAATAGATTAGTAGACGGAGAGCTTTTCGGCAGTATAGTCATGCTATATTGAAGGATTCATCGCCTAGTCGCTCGCGATGTAACATGGGGTCATTCTTCAAGCCAGCACTTGCACTTCCTTTAGCAGATTTAGGAAGGACGCAGAACGGCATACTTGGACATTTCGTGAAGACCAATGCTTCCAATTCTAGCTCATTATTCGAATCGCGGCTTTCTGTTTTTCTATATAATGGCCTTCCATTCATTGCCGCCTCTGGTATATTCTTCTGTAGACATGGGCTCCAGTTCATGCCCTCATTGGAATGCTCAAAACTGCCAGCTACAAGTTTGAAAGGCATCATCAGTTTCCAGGTAGTGACATCCGGTTAGAGGTTCTCAGTATTGGGGTAATCATTAACTGGGTTCCAGTAAGATGAAGGCCCTTAGCGTTTCCGTCTTTGGTGCTGCCGCCATTGTCCTCTCAGGACGTTCCGTAGCCACCAACTTCTTGAATCATAGCCAGCTGCTTTCCGGATTTGAAGACCCCAACTGGTTCGAGCAGAACATCCCGTTCCTCGATGTCCCCAATTCACAGATTCAAGCCGTCTACTACTATCGTTGGCAAACTTACAAAGAGCACCTCACTTACACCGGTGCTCAGTATGGCTATATGCTCAGCGAGTTTTTAACGCCAGTCTCTTATGGTGCGCCGTACGGAGGCGTCGTAGCTGCCGCAGGACATCACATCATCGAGGGTCGATGGCTTCGGGATCAGAGATATGTTAAAGATAACATTAATTACTGGTTGGCTGGCCCTGGCACGTTCCCCAAGCCGCAAACTGATACTTACAATCTCGACACCTCTGATTGGGCCCACGAATACAGCTTCTGGGTAGCCACCGCCGTGTGGCGCCATTATCTTGTAACTGGAGATCGGGATTTCGCCATCGGTCAGTTGGATAATCTTGTCAAACAATACAGAGGTTGGGACAACCACTTCAACCAGAGCCTCGGACTTTACTGGCAAGTCCCTGTCTGGGATGCCAGCGAATGCACAGCCGCATCCTATCAGACCAGCGATCCTTATCATGGCGGTGCTGGATATAGACCTACCATTAACGGATATCAGTATGGAGATGCTCGTGCTATCGCGTCTTTGGCCACCTTGAAGGGAGACACGGCCTTGGCTTCTGAGTATACAAGCCGAGCCAGCGCTCTACAGACGGCAATGCAGAATACTCTCTGGGACAGCTCGCGTCAGTTCTTCATGCACCGGCAACGGGACAACAATCCCTCGGGAGCGCTGCTCACCACTCGTGAGATTATGGGTTACTTTCCGTGGATGTTCGACATGCCACAAGCTTCTGGCATCGCCGCCTTCTCCCAGCTGAAGGATTCTCAGGGCTTTGCGGCTACGTACGGACCTACCACTACGGAGCGACGAAGCCAATGGTATATGTATCAAGGCGCAAACTGCCTTCAATGGGATGGCCCATCATGGCCATATGCCACCGCGCAGGTTCTCACTGCTGTGGAAAATGTGCTCCATGACTATCCCGCGCAGTCATACATTACATCGACCGATTACTATAACCTTCTTGTTGGTTACGTTGCAACCCAATATAAGAATGGAATCCCTTATGTTGCCGAAGCCCATGATCCCGACGCAAACCAGTGGATGTACGACACTTATAACCATAGCGAAGACTATAATCATTCCACCTTCATCGACAACGTCATCGCCGGACTCCTTGGCCTACGCGGACAATCCAACGATACTCTAACGGTTGATCCTCTCGTGCCGTCCTCATGGGACTACTTTGCATTAGAGAATGTTGAATACCACGGACATCAGGTGACAGTCATCTGGGATAAGTCTGGTTCGCGCTACAATCAAGGTTCTGGATTAAGGATTTTTGTTGACGGCGCTCTCGCGGGCACTCGTTCTACTATCGGTTTGCTCAGCGTCAACGTCGGCAGTGCAGTTATCCAAACCATCAACTCGCAGGTCAACATCGCCGCCAACACCCAGAAGTTCTCATCGGGATCAACGCCATTCGCATCTTACACCTCGCAGTACGATGATGTCTGGAGGGCCGTCGACGGCATCGTGTTCCGCAATGCTGTGCCCCAGAACAGCCGCTGGACTTCATACCAGAGCCCCAACGCCCAGGACTATTTCGGCGTGGACCTCCGACGGTCGCAGGCAGTTTCCAACGTCCGGCTGTATTTCTACACCGATGGCGGCGGCGTAAAGCTTCCCTCGAGCTACGATCTCCAGTATCTCTCTGGTAGCACCTGGATCACAGTCCCCGGCCAGCAGCGGAGCACAGCCTCTTCGACGTCAAATACACTGACTCAGATCACCTTCCCGACAATCACCACCTCGCAACTTCGTGTCGTGGCCCCCAACCCGGGCGGCGGATCAGGTTGGGGTCTCTCCGAGTTCGAGGTGTGGACCACAGCTGTCTTTCAGATCAATAATCTGAACAGCGGCAAGCTCATGGGCGTCCAGAACGCGTCCAAGACCAGTGGCGCCTACATTCAGCAATATGAAGACAACGGCACCCGGGATCATTTGTGGCAGTTCGTCAAGGCGCCTGGCGGTTGGTACAAGATCCAGAACCTCAACAGTGGGCTCCTGCTGGCCGTCGAAGGCCAGTCAACGTCCAACAGTGCGCGTCTTCAGCAGTTACAAGACGATGGAACAGACGGCCAGCTTTGGCGAGTACAGTCAAACAGCGACGGGTTATATTTGATAAAGAATAAGAATAGCGGGCTGGTGGTTGGAGTTGATGGCGAGTCGACGGCTAATAGCGCCAACGTTGTCCAGTTCCAGGACAACGGGACCAACGACCATCTATGGAGCTTGCTTGCGGCTGTGCCCGCTAGTTGAGATTCAATCTCGGTCCTGGATTGATGCGTGTATTCTTGCAGAGTGGCCATTTAGCCTGCATTGTGTATATAGTATTAATGGCTTGAATTGACCAAGCGTCCATGTTCAATCACGTACATAGAATAGCTAACCTTCATGAGAATCTTAAGCATTATATTGTCAATTTTAGACCCCAGATACAAGCCTTTCTCTGGTTTCTTTTTTCTCCTTTTTTTTCTCCTTTTTTTTCTTTCTTTTTTTTCATATAACCCGGACGGAGTCACCACCAAAACTCATATCATCAGCATGGATAGTAATAGATATTCCGTGGTCCCGTCAAGTTTTTTCTTTGGTTCATTCTCTCTTACTATGTACACGACTGAGATCTAGTGGTTAAATCACGGGGTTCTGTTTCCTAAAATTTATAAAGTTTGCACAAAGCCTATAATGTGCCAAATAATGTTTATATCTGTTGCAATAATAGAAAAGGGGGAGATAATAGATATACGATAGACCTTATTGCTTCTGGCAGCGTGGATGGCGGTGATTTTTGTGGTGGTGATTTTTGTGATGGTGATTTATGTGGTGGTGATTTTTGTGGTGGTGGTCCAAAGGCTGAAGGAGGCCTCTGGACGCGTTGAATCATTGAAGCGGCATGATTGGACATCTATGCGAATCGGTGCTTTATTTGGCCAATAACTGCTACCTGGCGGGGAAGCGATGACGACCAAATGGAGGAGGAAGATGAGGATGAGAACGAGGTGGTGCCGGTGCTGGCGCAGTTTTTGTGTCCCAAAAGTGGAGGAGGGTGGCCTGGGGGAGGGCGAATTCTGCGTATAAAGTCCCCCGGCCGCTTCCAAGAATCCTCCGACTCATCACTCCCACATCGCGCTCGCTCTCTCTTCATTTACGAGATTTCACAGAAAACCCCATCATTATTGACTTTTCCTTCCGTGTTGTTTCATCGAGAATAATATTTGGAATGGCTTCCTTGCAGCCACAGCACAGCCTACACGGGGCTGATGATGGAGAGTTGGAGTTCAACAGCCCATCGGACAATCCACCCGCAGTTTCTTCTAGTGAAGAGTCGACCATAGATCTTATGAGTATTTATGATCCATCATATGATTACAGCGAACAGGATATATCGTAAGTTTACATAAAGCCTGCACTTGCTTCATGGTAATCTCCAAGGAGTATGGTGTATCAAATAACGTCAAATAAATCTATGCGCTACCATCTGTTAGGAGATAGCCGAGAATCGCTAGTATTTATGAGTCTCGAGCTAATTGCCCCGGGCTGTGAGAAACCTCGCAGCCCACAAGAACTATAAACACCAACGAATTGCGTCCAGTCGCAGGCGACTGTCGTACGGAGTACGAATGAGCTGGAGAAATAATGCGCTTTTATACAGGTAAGAAGAGCAGAAAACAAGAGGGGCAATCAGGTAGGTCAGCGAGCTTGCCTGTATGATGACAGGCTCAACTACATGTATATATAGCTCTCGCCTTAGAATAAGGCGATGATCTCCTCCTTGCTCGGCGGCTACCCGCTTTTTAAGGTCGACGCAATTCTCTGAGGAGATACCCTTTATCCACACAATGTTTTTAGAGGAATTTAGCTTACCATTACAAATTGTGAAAGTCTGAGTCAATTCTCCGGTATATGGGATGATTTTATTGCTGGTCTTGATGCTCCGGGTGGAATCATTTCCACGCCCAATAAGTTGGAAGAGTCCACTGGGAATGATTCATCGGTAGATGTGCGCGATAATGACTACTTAGATAGTCCGAGATGCCTAAAGATCAGTGATATTCCGTTTAATGACGTTCTTGAAGACCAAAAATATCCCGCTACGTCTGAAAGTGTGGTACTCTCGTCTAGTTTTGAAGTGACGCCGCCCATACTGGGTGACTCCGTCAACCGGATGTTAGAGTAGGTCATCCGCTTTCAAATTGAATAAGATCTTCAAGGCTCATATATCGATAATAGTACCGCTAAGCCTATACGATGCCGAATTTGCCCAGCTCGTTTCGGAGCAAAACGTTCTCTTAAACGTCATTTACAGTATTAAGTTTTATTCTGAGAGTTACTTTGAAGTACTACCTAGTTACTAATATGTTACCAGGACCGCTCACTCTTCCGAAAGGCCTTACGCTTGCAAGCTTTGTTCTAAGAAATTTAAAAGGAGCGATTTACTCACGCGCCACTTAAGGTATTCGCTTGTATTGCGTGAATTGACCTCGAAATACTAATGTTTTACCGGTAGTTGTCACTCTCCCAAAAAGCATTTTGCTTGCGATTGCTGTCCCAAGAAATTTAGAAGATGCGATGAGCTCAAACGCCACTTAAGGTATGAAGCCATATTCTGTGAACTAGATTTGAAATATTAATATAAAGTTAGACGTGTCCATCGTTTAGAGTAGCCTTTTTGGTGGGTGTGGGACGCTTCTATCGAGAACAGCTAATGGCATGCGTCGCTTGAAATATTCAAAAGTGTTGGATGGAGGGTTTGCGAAAGAGTTCGCATTATGTACCAAATATTTTATGGTTGGAAGAATGAATGGGCTAGGAGAAGCATACTTCTGATGGCATACGATGTCCCTGAGTGGATTAGCTCATAGCCAAATCAATAAATTTCTTTCAATATCTAATAGCTCTCTCTTAAGGTAATATTACTTGAACAAAGCTCTATATTGCATCAACTACCTGGGTAGTGAAATGCTCAAGATTCAGCATTAAGCAATTGTAACACATGAACCCATTTCGTCTTTCAAATCTTTGCATCTTAATTTCCCATTTTCTCCTCCTTCTGTTTCTTCATATTTTCTCTTCTTCTGCCACTCCTTCTCTGCCTCTTTCACTTCCCCTTCCTCCTCCTGCCTTTTTATATATAGATTGGTACGGTCGCATATTGCCAGTACAGTGACCCATAGAAAATAGTTCCGCTTGTAGCATAGCCCAGCATTTTGCTGGATATCATTACCCCAGAAATATACTTTCGGGATCAAACATAACGTATCTAAACAATCGTGGAAGATATTATGAATACTAAAGCATCAGTAATAGCTGTTTAGAGCGTATTGGCGGCTCGTGTTTATTTCTAGTTAGGTATTATATATATGTACTTCTTATTGTTGACATCACCAAGTATGTTCGACTAGAGGTAAGCAGTGGAAAATTCGAGATCCCGTCCAGCTCTTATTTTGAGTTTGATGACTTCCATTTTACTAATTCCGAGTCTCTAAATCTAGACTCACATCATTATATTTTGACAGTCAAGCAAAAAATGACTCGTTTATTAATCTATAGAGGCTTTCATGGCCCAAGTCTCGAGCCTGGGAAGTGGAGATGGTAGTGATGCTGGCGTTGAAACATTTACGAATACATCCTTTGCTCTAGTAGTTGAAGAGCTGTATGCTTTAGTCAATCTCGAGATCGACTCCCACAGTAGCATGCAGGTTGCAAAAAAACCTGCCGGTCTACACTATGAAACTGTAAGTGATAGGCGTGCGTGGAATTAACAGAATCTGACTTTGGTGCAAGTACCGTTTCTCCAAAAGTAGCTGCTTTGCATCTGTGGCAACGATACCTGCCCGCTTATTGAAGTATGCCTCCTTGCGACTAAGGTCATTTCTTCCCCTAACCTTTTGACTGGCAACTATTTATACAGTTCAACGCATCCTCACTGGCGGCGCCAAATTATTGACACAAAAGTGTAGGCCAGGCAAGAGATAGATGTAGGCCAGGCAAGTATCTCTTGTAAGCATTGACTGCGTGCTGCAGCTGAATATATGCTTTATTTATTAAAGAAAAATGTATCTATCATCCAATTGAGAGGTCTAATGAAGACGTAACAAAGGAAAGCTTTTGTCTATTGCATGACATTAGGTAAAGATCGTGTAACACAAATGAAAAGAAAGGAAAAGTATAACTAATGATAGTATAGTGTTGAGTGTTAATATATTTCTGTATGAAATCTTGCCTTCGGGCTAATGCGTTGATGAGCGGAGTTGTATCAGAAGATAGAAATCATGCCGCTGGACGCAGTCGTGGTAATCTGGAAGGAGGGGCATTTGACTGAACTTTCTTTGGTGGCTTGGATTGAATCTGGGAGCGAGTCTGGGAAGTTTTAGTCCCCAATGCAGGTACGCTGTTGTTATCCATAGTCATGAGAGGAGGCCGTCTGCTTTGAGAGGGAGTAGGGGTGGAGCTGCGTTGTCTGTCACTGGGCTTGGTCGTATTTGGTCCTGGAGGTCGGCTGTATCCTGGGCCACGATTGCTATTTCTAATGGGTTGACGTGATGTTGAGTTCTTCCTGGCTAAATAAGGAGGCGGTGGACTTGGAACAGGAGTGGCACTGCGCGGTAATTCGCCGGGGCTGGCCACGCTTGCCCCTGGATGGCGAGAGTATGTGTACCTGTATACTGAGGACCTATCATTACTCCCGGTACGTGAAACATGTGCTGGTGTTTTCTCAGCAGTAATAGAAGAGTGCTGTAGGCTTTGGCTGAGAGGAGCGCCGCCTTGTCCTTCGTTAGAGTTGATCTGGTCTGGCTCTGCGACTAAAGGGCGATTTTCGCGAAGGATGCCATTGCTTTCAGTAAATGAATCATATCCTGATGGGATTTCCTCGTCATCAATTAGTGACCCGCTGTCTCTTCTCATGTAGCTACTTTGGTTTGTAGACTGCGGTGATTGAGGAGGCGACAACGGGTACTCTATAGCCCTTCCATCGGCGTCGTATCCGCTGTTTGGGTGTTTCGTTGATATGTACAGGCCTGAAGAGGCTGACGCATTGTTAAATTGCCCGTGATTCTGCTCGGAAACAAGACTTTCTTGCTCTCTCCGGACAGGCGATGGAGTTCCAAAACGATATTTGGTCGATCCCGATGGGCTTTGGCGCATTGATGGAGCACTGCCATCACTATGCGTTTGACTCTGCTCATGCCCACGGGCTCTATGCTCCGGCGAGAAAGCTGAGGGAGTTTTGACAAGTGGATAAGAATTTGTTTTGACAGATGGAACAGGATTTGAATGGCGTCTTATGTTACTGTGTTTGTCATTCCTCTCGGACGTATTGCCCTTGGACTCTTCTGGAAACGGTATGGAGGCTTGAGAGGGCATACTTTGTCTTCGCTCAGTTGATAACATCTCAGTTCGATTTTCATCTTTTCGGGGAACCGGCGATTGGCCGAGGCCCATGCGGATGTCTCTCATTGCAGCCTCGTAATTCCCTTGTCGAAACATCGCTGCTAGAGACGGCGGGGCTCCCTGTAACCACGATTCAAGCGTTTGATGTGTCGTAGAAGTATCATAAGAGCTTGCTCGTTTTGGCGCTTCAATGGCAGCCACTTTTGGGGGTTTCTCTTCTTCGGGAATTGTTTCCCCCGACTTCGCGTTGCGGCTTGTGTCATCCAGTTGGGCCATTTCAAGCGGCGGATGCCGAGAATCAGTTTCAAGATTGGAATCTTCAAAAGCTGTCACTATTGTGCATGTTAATTAAAGATCCATGAAAGGGCGTGGCAAGTAGATCGTTGCACATACCTCTTGGATCAGCGGTATCTTTCTTCTCATTTTTCCAAAACGGCCAATAGTGCATCGCACTTTGTATAAGACCAGGCGAGATTGTGACTTGTCAGAGATTGTGAGCTGAGAACTGCTTTATTCTAATAAAGAGTAAACTTACGTTGTACTCGCTGAAGCTTATCCACCTCGCTCGTAGCCACTACCATGAGTAATGCCTTTGCGCATGCTGCAGCCGTTGCAGCAGCGTAGTCTTGCCATTTCTCGTTCTTATGCGAGTCTGAATAATCAGCAATCCCTCGAATAACAACGCAAGGGAAGTCATTCATCAGTCCTGCCGCTTCCATCTCGATACAAAGGATGTCGTTCTTAAATTGCTTGGACAGCGAGTCTCGGAGATTGGCGTCTTTGATAACTTGGTTGCCCGATGCAATCAAGCCGCAGTGTATCATGCCACTCTCTCTTTTGCTTCTCCGAACCAACTTGCTCTTATCGCACCGGCGACAATCGTCCTCATCTTCATCACTCAGACAAGACTCATCTGCTTCTACATGGCCGTAGCTTGGATGAAACAGGAGGTCTTGGAGAGAGTCCGATTTTTTATAGCTTTCAGGTACATCGGGATCTTTTTCCAGCTTCTTTAAATACTTGAGCATGTTTCTTCGTGTTGTGATGTGATCAGCTTTAAATCTTGTCAATGCTGTAAGTAAAGCTGTTGGCGGAGGAGCCAGAGATCCCGTTCGTACGAACTGGCCGGCCTCTGTCTTGCCCATGTCCCACTGGACAACGCCAGGCTCCGTACCATTAGGGCAGCTAATAACCACATCTCCAAGCCGGGTCTTGTGAGGGATACCTCCGCCTACCCCTACCATTAAGCCGACTCGGATATTTGGAAAGCTGGACACCATTCTGGTTGCAACTGTTGCTGCAGTGTTGTTGCCAACCCTACCTAAGGGCAGACCAGCAATAACAACATTATGTTTGCCAATGCTCCCAAGCATATATGTATTGTGGTCACCCGATGGGTTGGGGAGGTCCTCATGCCTATCATCAAGCATGAGAATAGCAGCGGTCTGTTCGTTTGGTAACGCACAAACCCATCCGATAGTGTAATCATTGTGAGTGTGTCGTAGACGGAAGTCCTCCATAATGACGGATGTCTGCGCTCAATGGCGATGGGATTTGTTTAAATGATATAATTCTGACTCAAAGTACAATCGAGTTCCGAATAGAGGACAACTCTTGCTCTATAAGTATTCATAGAATGCACGGTTCAAGAGCCTGAGAGAGAAGATGCGGATATTTACATGTTTACATGAAGCTATCGGCAGCCAACAGAGCCGCACGGCTCGTAGCTACGCACTCATTATCCCACTACCAGATCCAGCACCCAACACCATCCCTCCTCAGAAACACACAAACTGGGCGCCATTCAGACGCAAGTCCAGCTTTGGCAACATCACCACGTTGGCACCGTTTTTGGCGCTACATTATTTACGGGTTGAACAACAAACTTCCAGCTGCCATTATCCCAAATGCCAGTATTATGCCAATGTTATGCCTGGCTACCCAATGTCTGAACGACATATCAGAGCGAACCACGCATGCAGCCTCTTGGAGTGAATACGTGGACCAAGAGGAATAACAGTATTAATCTATGAGCCTCATTATGCTGTCAAATCGAAGTGTTGGGTGATAGCCGATAGCGGCTCGGATGGCCGGAAATGGCAGCGCATCATGCAGCTCTTCGGTGATGTGCTGGACACTTTTTATTGTACAGCGTCACGCGGCAGGAAAAAAATAGTTCGTGGCTTCTATCGATGACAGCCTCCTTTGGAGTAGATGGTCCATTTATAGGTAGTTATCTCCACAATGAGGCGCCGATGCAGGAAGAATTGGGAAGAATTGGCTAATTAGATGATGCATGTAAGCTGGCAACGTCATATGGAACATTTGGAAGCACATCAATTGCATTCCAAGTTACTGGGAACCACGGCCACAAGAACTGTATACAACATTAACACGCAATGTTTAGTGGTTACTGCTAGGTAACAGGTTCAAGCAGGGAGAGAATAAGGTGAGTAGCTTGTATCATATTTGACATGATCTCACGGAAGCATCATAGATTGGTCACATCGCGATATCAGGCACATCCGACCATTGGCAGTGGAGAATTCGGGGTCCCGTCAAGGAGTTTTCTTGAGTTTAGATGTCACTGTCTTCCTTTTAAACATATGCAGACACGCTGTTTTATACACACGATTACTATCTAAGCCAAGCATTAAGAGAACCTAATCTCAGGTCTGCACAAGAACCGATGTAAAGTCTTCTACTAAATATCCTTGATCAAAAAATAAAGAAATTCTTTATTCAGTCTCAAGTTTCGCTATTTACGACTAAGGTGTATATGTGCTCTTCTCAGATGTTTGGAGCGAGGCTGCATAGAGGACGTCTTTCTAGCTAGTCTCTATGAAAGAATTAGTCAACAAGTTGGCGCTTGTTCTGGTTGCCTAATTCTTAATCGTAGAATTCCTCTCGATTGACAACCAATAAAAACCATCCAACCTCTAATGATCGATGTGCTGATTCCAAATACCGATTGCCGATAATCTGAAGGAAGCCATACATGATCCTCGAAGCCGATCCTTATCCATTCCTTATCTGGACTGAAACTAAGACCATTAAAGACCAGATTTGGTGTTAACCCCTGAATATCTGCTATCTCTTCCATAGAAGTTCGATTCATGACCAAGGTTCCGACATCTGTATACAAGCGCATTTTAGAAGCTGGGTCGTATCGCAAGCTGCGAACTTCACCAGTCTTAAGGGTTTGCCGAATTTTGCCCGTTGTTGTATCACAGAAACAGACTGTTCCATCATCCAATGCCGAGGCCATTACTTTGCCGTCAGGGGAGAAGGCAATCGCTGTAATGAAGGCAGTGTAGCCCTCAAAAGTCTGCTGATGTGTGCTCGTCGCTAGGTCCCAAAGCTGGACTGTACTATTACGAAATCCTAAGGCAACTAGTTGGCTCTTGGGCGAGAAAGCAATACTTGACACAAAAGTGCCATTGCTTTTAAGGAGTTGTTGGTGCGTGCCAGTTAATACATCCCAGACGCGAACTGTTTCATCATGTGATGCCGACACCAGCAGCCGGCCATCAGGTGAGAAGACGGCTTCCGTAATCAACTTGCTATGGCCCTCCAGTGCCAGCTGGTGAGTGCCCGTTACTGTATCCCAGAGCTGGATCGTAATATCATCGCCAACCCCCCGCGTAGCTAGCTTGTCATGAGGTGAGACAACCATTGTCCACATTGACTCACTATGGCCCTGAAGCGCATGTTGATGCACACCTGTTACTGCATCCCATATTCGAATCTGATCCATAGATAGTGAGACCAGCTGCCGGCTATCATACGAAAAGATAACCTCACTAACCAATTCGCCGGGGCCATCTAATGTCTGTCGAAATGCCCCAGCTGCTGCATCCCAGAGCTGTACTGTACCATCGACAGATGCTGACGCTATTATTTGGGCATTCGGTGAGATGCTAACAGCTGTAATCCAGTCATTGTGGCCCTCAAGTGCCTGCTGGCGGGTACTCCTTGTTATATCCCAAAGTCGGACTGTTTCATCATGAGATATGGATGCCATTAGAAGATTGTTAGGCGAGAAAATGATACCAGTGATATCGGCACTATGCCCCTTCAGAGTCTGATGGCATACTCCTGTTACTGTGTCCCAGACACAGATTATATCATGGCCTGTCGCTGCAACTAGCTGACCGTTGGGCGAGAAGACAACGTGCCTTGTTATTTCTTCAGGGAGCTTTAATTCTTGTTGATGTGTGCCCTTTGTGACATTCCAGAGCCGGACAGTGCCACCGTATGTTACATATGCTACTAGCTCGCCGTTTGGTGAGAAAGAAGCCGTCCCAGCCCAAGCATCGTGGTCTTTAAGCACCTTGTCATAACTGCCCGTTACTACCTCCCAGAGGTAGAATGTACCATCGTCTACTGACGATGTTATTAACTGGCTATTAGGGGGAAAAACAACAGCATTGCTCGAATGGATATTATATTTAATTGTTTGCAGACATATACCTTTAATATCCCAGAGTTGGACTGAACCGTCATTTAACAATAATGCAATGAGTCGGTTGTTAGGTGAAAATTTGACTGCTGTAACTAGGCCATTATAGTCTTTAAGTGTTTGCTGATAGGCGCCAGTTCTGGTATCCCAGATCCGGATTGTATTATTTGTTAATATTGACGCTGCTAGATGCCCATCAGGCGAAAAGACAACTGCATCGATCCGAGGTAGTCCATCGTCTTCCATCTTGACTTCTGTAAAAAGACTGCCTTCGCCCACAAGTGTTTGTTAGAGAGAGCCAGTTGTTGCATCCCAGAGCCGGATTGTATGCTCGTTTGACGCCGTAGTTATTAACCTGCCATCGGGCGAAAAGAATATTTCTGTGACTCTTTTGCTGTGACCTATAAGAATCTGTCTGTGTGTTCCCGTTGTTACGTCCCAGAGCCGGATCATGCCGTCTTCTGATGCGGATGCCAAGGTCTGGCTGTCAGGCGAGAAAGCAAATGCTGTGATGTCTTCGCTATGGCCTTCGAGAGTCTGCCATTGTACATCCCAATCAGACTTCACCCCTTCGATACTATCAATATCCACGAGGCATTCATTCCAGAAGTTTTGCCGCACCTTACTCGATGTCGGAGAAAACATCAAGGAGGCAGCATAGATTTGTAGAGGTACTCGATCGATGATTGACCCGAAACTGGAGATGAATCTGCTTGCATCTGCTGTGAAAAGAACAAGCTCTGCAGGTACATCGGGCAAACGCTGCGAGAGTTAGCTCGGCAATGATACACTAAGAGGCCCGCTTACCTGAAATATCTCTAGAAGCCTCCTAATGGCCATGGCTGCGTCGGATAACCTTCCCAGAGTGGCAAGGACTTCTACCCAGTGAAGCAAGTGTTTATATATTTATATATTAACGTGGGTATTTCACTATTCATTCGCTGTTCACCGTGTTGTAGGTGATATATCCAATAAAGGCAGGCATACTTAAGGTCGGGAGTGATATGTTTATCCACGATATGCTGATCAATGTCCTTTCTGCGCTTGCCTAGCTGTTTAATATTGCAAATATCCCGTTTAAGCATTGCATTCATATGACCAAGACACTTTGTGGCTAGCGTGGTGTGAGTGCTTGCAGTGTCTATAGAATATATGCTATTTCCAGGCCGTTCCGTGCTGAGAATGAAGTCGCTGAACGATTTATGTAGTAGCCGCACGGGAATATGGTCCTCAGCAGGGATATTCAACACTGCGTGTAACTCCGGGAGCCACCAGACAACGTCATCTATATCCATCTGGAGAAGAGCGGCGAGTGATGCAGCCGGCATCGGATCCACTAGAAGGACAAGAGACCCAAGGAATTCCATCCGGCTGTCAAATTCTGCTGGCTCTAGACCAGAAAAGACCTGATTAAGAATGGGTTCGTAAATCTGATGAAGCTGCGACTGACGATCATCACACTGTTTGAGCCATATCCGTAACTGCTCTTTCGGATTCTTGGGGCGCCGTTCACCATGAACAAATCGACAGAGAGTGGCGGCATAAATGAACAAGGGTTCAGGAGTCGTAGCTAATTCCACTAGGCGGTCTAGTTCTTCTTGCGTGGGCCAAGGGTTTTGCTGAACTCTGCGTTTCTTTCTGATGTCTGCGAAATTATTCTCCAAGAAGGTTTGGATGCCTGACTTAGTTTCAGCGGAGAATCTCCCATCGAGGAGCTCAATGTTGCAAAAGTCTCTGTCCTTCTGAAGGTCCATGAAGGCATCTCGGATCTCAGGAGATGATCTGCTTGTGAGCAGCACGCGCAAGCGTATTGTGCGCAAGGTCTGAAGCTGGAGAAATAGCGTGATAATCCTCGATAAGTGATCTTCGTTCTCGCACTCATCTAGGGCATCGAGGATGATAACACTACATGTAGCTAGGCGGGGCATGTTATCAGGAGGAAGCTCTGCAAGAGGGCTTAGAATGAGTTTTTTGAACTGAAATTCAAGGGCCATCCCCTCTATTGCGTCCTTGTCCAAACCGGAGAGAGACCTTCTGAGGTGTTCTTTCATAGAAGGTATCTTTTCCATCATCTGCATTGCAATAGTAGAAAATAAGCGAGCGGTGCCGTTGCGGCCTTGCTGTCCTCTTTTGAAGAAATATCCAGCAACCAGTCGATCTTCACCATTCAAGACGTCTGCAACAGTTCGCGCAATCGTAGATTTACCAGTACCTGCAGGGCCTAAAGCCAGAACAGGGGTTCGGCAGAGTCCTTGTTTGCCCACTGAATGATTGTTTCTTGGATATGTACCCTAGTACCGCTTTCGCATTTTGGGCTATCTTGAACATCAGCACTGTCATATCGTGCCTGGCTGACAGTAAGAAGATCTATTGGGTGATCTTCGAGTAATTGACTAATTCATGGTTAGCATAGACTTCGCATATTTAAATCTTTAACATACTTTGTGCGCTCATGTATCTTGAGATGCTTAGATGAAACGTCGAGATGCTCTGTAGAGACTTGAATATGTTGTCTCGCGATTGACAAAAGCGATTGTATATCGGTACAACTCTGTTGCGTAGCTTCATCAATAGCTTCTAGGGCTTTCCGTGATGCCGCAGTATTTAAGTTGCTCCAATCCCTTATCATGGTGAGTTCTAAATCTTTAATTACCGTAAGCATTCCTTTCCAGTCATCAGACCCAGAGATATCACGCCCCACGTTGGCAAGCCAGTTTCGATAGAAGCGCAAAACATTCTTGACCTGGAATTCGAGTATGTGCTGGTAAAGATCAATAATTTGAGTCTCGAAAGTATCTTTCATATTTGAGGCATGTAAAGAGTCTGGCCATAGGAGATGTTCGAATTCCATGTAGTAACGTATACGAAAAGTAACGTATATAAAACCATCTCGACTCGCCTCTTCTGCAGCACTTGAGCTTGTCAGGACGGGTAGGAGGATACAGACGCCAGCCCATGCAAGGGACGCCTCAGGTGATGCTTTCACAGCCTCATCAATAAGGGTCTTAATATTTTGGACGAATTTTGCAGCTTCCACGACTTGGTCCTTGAGAATGAATTGGTGGCCAAAGAGCATATACCTTGTCTGCTTTTCGTCTACGCGTTGCAATCCGCGTTTTGTAATATCCTCCAATTGTTTCTGGCGTTCATTGGAGTCGGTAGAGATCATACTCGTTGTATTATTCAGATCCTCATCCGCAATTGACGTGTTCTGCGATATACCATTTCCGGCACATGTCGCACATGTAAGCTGATATGAACCAAACACGGCTGTTAAATAGACGTACTGTTACTATAGTTCAGTTCTTTCGAGAGTAGCTGCTCATATCGATCTACCAATCGCTCATCCGCTTTTCGGAGAGAATCGTAAGCGCGATCCCATAACGATGGTCTCGTAATCGACTGCCCAGAGGATGCGGGGGATAGAATCGTGGGGGTAGAGGAAGCGTCTGATGGGAATATTTGTCGGCTGGGAAGAATTCCAGCAGGGCTTTCGGCAGATGTCACAGTGATCTGTGGTCCTGTGGATGAAGTTGTCTTTGGGCGCAAAGTCTGTTGATGGATGACAAGTGATGGGTCAGAGAGAGTGCCGGCGTCTAGAGACTCTGTTTTGCTAGGCAGCAGTGTTGTCTGCTCTGGCTGGGCGTCGCTTGCGGAACTGAGATTATCATCATTCCGACGGCGACTGCGACTGCTGAAAATTTAATTCACTAAGAGCACAATAAATGCAGTAGTTTCAGCAGTAAAGGAAGACAAGCAGGCGAATGATACAATTCAGCGAGAGTGAATTATTGGGAGTTCAAAATGTGGCACGGAGTATTAGGGGCCTTGATTGGTCCACGGGCAGTAAATCTCCACGCATGCATATGCAGTGAGATGCAACTTCGCTAATACAATATAAGCCGATTCATGATAATGGTTCTATGTTTTTATTGACTCTCGCTGACTCTCATGATTGAAATAAAACTCCGTTTAGATGTTATAAAGTAGATGACCTTGATCTATGATATGACTTTGTTTCCCATCCATTCTGTTCTCTTGAAGAGCGTCTGGGTTGAATTGAAACGTTAGTCCAAGTTGGTTTTATAATCCCGCTGTGTCGGGAGGCATGTTGGTAACAATCTGGAAAGTATAGGAATTTATTATGCAACTGTTTGGTGATTGAGGCGAGCTATATGGATAAAGCAGAAGCGTCGCCAGTGAGTTGACTTCTCCTATATTCTTCTACCTTCCACTAGCGAACATCAGTTGCCGTTTTTATTTTGAAGCTGTTATACCATTTACGACCCTGGCTGTGGATAACCATAATCATATCTAGGCGAAAAGGTCGGGGGGTTCTTATTGTTTTTATTTCGTTGCTTCCACTGATGTTTCCATCGGTCTTATTATTATAGAGCGAATATGCTGAACACCCCACCACATACGACCAGTAAAGGAAAAATTAGAAGCTCCATTCAACTATTTCGCGACAAGCGGAGGACAGAGGACAGAAAACCGACACTGGGAAGATTTCGAACACCCACAAGTTATACTACACGAGTAGCTGCTATATTTATATTTCCAAGTAATAACTATTGCTATATCCACATTTCCCTATTATATCTATATTTCTCTAGTAACGGCTATTATGTTTATGTTTATCTAATAACTACTACTATATCTCCATCTTTCTAATAAATGCTACTATATCTACGTTTTTCTAGTGACTGCTACTATATCTATGTTTTTTCTATTTACTGCTAATATACTTATATAATAAAGTTGAGTTACTGGCTGAATAGGTGTTCTACGAGTTAATTAGGCGCTTATATTACTAAATGTATATACGTATTTATTTTGCGGTCTCGCTCTTTCTTACCTCCGCTTGCGCAAGTCCAATGCCTTCTATTTTTTGCATGGTTCAAGGCCGTTCCTTTAATACGGAGAACGTATTGTTTCGAGAATAAGACGACAGCGTCAACCGAAACCCACCGTGTCATGTAATTCCTTCATCCACATCATAGACTCTCCATTGCTCCTAGATCAAGACGACGAACAGCTTACGCAGGCTTATATTCCTACATATCTCGTTACTCATATAACATCTTCTAATCCAATCTATGCTATTAGCCGTGGGTTCTTGACTAAGATACCACCGAAAGCCAATGGAAACTGCTCGACGAACTGTGTGACTCTAAGATGCGTGTGACAACTTGTCTTGAGATGGTAAGTACCGTTACCCATATGTCTAAGTACATCGTCGTACGTCGGACAATATGATTAGTAGTAACTGTCAGAATTTTATATTACTACTACCGAAAGACTGACTCTATCTAGCAGTCTTCTAAATGGGAGGCTGAAAACTATAAATAGAGGGTGAAGCTTCCCGCACATTTTGTTTCAAGCTACCACGAATAAGCCATTCAGACAACCTAACCTATTGACTATTTATCTTTACCAATCAAGAATAAAACACAGATTAACCGCCAAAATGCGCACCTTTTCTGCCGCAGCCTTCCTTTCAATTGCTTGTGCTACTGGCATCTATAGCCAAAATCTCGGCTCATTTGATACATTCATGGATACGCAGTGTAGTGAGGGAAGGGAGGGGGTGACTATTCCCGACCTAATCACGTACCACACGGTCTCTTCTAATTTTGCATCCGTCAAGTCTTATTCTCTTGAGTGTGACCGTAAGTTTCCAAGCCAAAAATGCATTCTACATTTTCGAGTGGAGAAGAAATGTTCTAAAATTTAATCTATCAGTTCTGATTTGGATTGAGCACGGAGACTGGTGTCCCTTAATCATCCCCCCATGCGATTCGTCGTGTTATGAGCTCTATGGAACTCCTCGGGGCTGGAGACTTTCCTGTCCTAATAAATTTATGCTGCCATGAATTGGTTTATTTGCGGAGGCTTTTTGACGAACCCCATGATAGATTGAGAGTCCGATTTAGTGACTGAGACAAGGCTAGCCCAGGTTTTTAATGTCGAGGAAGTTCATCTCCTCGATTTCTATAGAAACGTCGAGACAATTTTACGCCTTAAATCTACTCCTAAGTACTTTTGAAACTTTATTCCAAGCTAGACTTGGCCGCAGTAGCTTGAGGAAATGATTTCCTGACTTGTTCTTATATATGCCGACATTTCTTCCCCAATTGCCCCTTGAAATAGCTTTTAAATGCGCATTTCTCATCAGTATTCTGTTGATATAACTTTAGGAAGCACATACGTTCGTTTTAAAGCGTTTTCATTCATTTCTGATCTGCAGTATATTGTAGAGCTCGCTCCCCTATTTCTTGTCATCCTGTTATTCGTCTTCTTTCATTCGACCGCCTTGCACGAAGAAAGTTTCTACTTTGGAGCCAGTGCGATCAAGCTTCTCATCTATCCTCTGTGTAAAGAGTTGGTGGTTATATGTGAGCGTAGCACACATGAATACTTCGGCTCCATGTTCTCGCGGCCCCCCTGTTGGAGAAGCCATCGCCCAAGATTGAAAGGTGGCGGTAACTCTGCATTGGGCTGTTTACAACAATCTCTTTAATAGCTTGGCAATGCTCACGCATTTCAGGCAATCTGTTTGACGATTCAATTTGTGTATATACTTCTCCTCAATAGTAATGCTACGAATGCTCCGATGAGGAATTGTACCTCTTCGCTACTCCATCCCCATAAACTCAACAGCAATACGCCAAAGAGTAAACACTCTGCAAAAATGCTCATTCATACCACCGAAAAACCTGTAGCTCCGACAAACAAACTCAAGCCGCCTCGGAGAGCTTATTGGAAGCCCCTTAAGAGGATCATCCGTAGTCCCCGGCTCATCCGCAGAAAAACGCAGCCGGATACTATGAGTCGAGAAAAACTGAGCCACCTTACTGTTCTGATCCGCTCTCCAGTTAAAAACGGTATCGCCAATATACGCAATGGCACTGATGAGGTCGTCTCTAAACCTGTCGGGATTTCTTCTTTGGGCCGCTTCCACTTGTTCTGCCAAAGCAAAACCGTACCATCTATTTCCGGAAACATGCTATTATAACACGTCAGTCAAGCGGCCACTATCAATGAATGCATAAACTTACCGTGCCCCCCGGTCCTCCAGAAGTACCTTCTCCAGGAGCACTTCCTCCAGAAGCTCCCCCAGAGGCTCCTCCAGAAGAGCCTGCACCACCGGATCCACTACCTGAATTACCAGGCGGGGAGGACTGGAGCATCTGGATAACGGTATTCATTTGCCTAGACAACCCTGCAACATCATCACGCAATTGCCGAATATCGCCGTTGCTTGGTGACTGACCGGGATTAGGGGTCTGTGCAGGAGTGGTCTGTCCAGGACTGGGGTTGATAGTTGGGACGGGAGTGGGAGTGGGAGTGGGATTTTGTCCGGGGTTAACAACACCAGCGGCCGTATCCGTCTCCGCAACAGCTTGGGCCGGAAGAAGCCCAATGAGTTCTTTGGTATAGGCTGCCGCTGTTGCTGCCGCATACCGCTGCCATTGATCGTTTTTATGCGAGTCTGCATAATCGCATATGCCACGGATAACCAGGCAAGGAAACTGGTTCATTAATCCAGCTGCTTCCATCTCAAAGCAGATGCAGTCTTCCCCTGTCCGTTGGACCATTTCCGCGCGTACTTTTGGATCTCTGATGAGCATATTTCCCGACGTAATAACTCCATAATGAATCACAGGGCTAGTTGAGTCCCTCTTGACACGTCTTTGCAGTTGTGTTGGATCACAATTCGAACAGTCGTCGCCCCCCTCGTGGGGGTATGAAGCGTTAAAAAGCCTGTCATTTATAATTCCCTGGTAGGTATAACTCGGACCACCATTGTTTGGTTGACCAAGACGGGGAAACCTGCTGACCATTTGATCAAGGTACTGAGGGACTTGGGGTTCTTGAAGACCATGGCGTGCTTGCAAGTTAGTAACCGCACTGCGAAGAACCCTAGGAGGACTATTTAGAAATCCGGTACGTCGGAATTCTCCTCCCTGAAGGGCCTTGCCAAAGTCATATTGAACCACGCCACCGCTGGTTCCCTCTGGACGGCTCACAACAATATCACCAAGACGAACGTCTCTGCCTGGTCTAGGGACACCGGCTCCGATGCCAACCATGAGCCCAAATCGAACTTGAGGGAAGGACAATAAGGTAGTGACGGCGGTACCAGCAGCGGAAGCAGTTCCATATTCCCCAGCAGGAAGCGAGGCAATAACTATGTTAAAGGAGTTAATGTCGCCCCAGGAATAGGAATTGCTGTCATTTGGAGGCTGAATGAAATCATGAGGTCGCGCATGCTGAATTATCAAGCATGCCAATTGCTGCCGTTTGTTCATGGGGCAGCGCGCTGATCCATGCAATCGTGTATGAATCGCGGCTGTAGGATCTGTTGGGGGGTGGATTGGCTGACATGGTTGAAGTGGTTCAAGCTGATATATGTAAGTTGATGAGGATGAGATAGAGAGTCTGGTAACTTATTGCCCGAAACTTGCCAGTTTATATAGAACTCAACAGAGTATTCACATGTCAGGTTACACACAGATATATTGGGCATCTCAAAATATGGCCTGTCAGATTGAATAGCCATCTTGCAGGAGGGGCTTCACTGCTATTGGTGAATTCAACTTGACTGCGGCTGAAACTGTGCCGCTTCAGCTGTCAAGATGCAACCCAATTAAAATGCAACTGCAATAGTCCCAGACTTATGTCAATTGCTATTGGTTTGTAGCTCGTCATAATGATCTGACAATACTACATGTCTGCATATTTGATTTTTGACAAAAGGTCATTTACGTGGCATAGCTCTATTGGATTCTAGATTGTTTTGTTCGCAAGGCATGCATGGGGTATATGCGGTTGGGTATGAATGAGGCTCTGCGATCAGACACATGCGGGGGAGTGCCCATTCAGAACGCCTAGTTGCTATTCAGCATCCCGCATCTCATACTCAGAGTTACACGTAATGATAATATCTGGTACTGCTGAGTATAATCAGAGTATAGATAAATAATAGAAAAGAATAGTAATAGTAGCAGATACGTGTACTCAAGGAGTTGGATATATACTACTTCAGTAAGTAAATACCTGTACGTATGTAGTCTTACATAAAGGGTTGTCTTTCGCATAGCTAAGTTGACAAACCGGTGTATGCACCTACAAGTTAATATTGTCAGTCGTTATATCCATCGGTATTTTCTATCTCTCCTTTGCAGCTAGTCAACTCTGTCAATTTAAGGCCAATTGCCGTCCTCATCAAGCACATACAAACTGGGACTGTACTGCTTCTGTCCCGAGTTGTTCGAGTACGCTGGCATGTATACATATATGTAACTTTCATCTTCCTAGCTCACCCTGGAGTACATTGGCAGCTTGGCGATGAGAACTTTTCACCTTCTTTGTAGGTGGATTCATAGATCAGAAACTTGTTGGTTACGAATAGTGAGGTCCAAATTCATGCGTTTTCTATTTACACGGCAATTGAAAATCCAAAGTTTACGACGGTGTCCCTGGCAAAACAGATGCTGGAGGATTATCTCAATAACTTAAATGTTTGATGCCCGATATCGAGGCACACAGGTTGTCAAACCATTGGAGTTCATTTACATGATATGGATGATGAGGTCAGCACCCCTAGCTAATAGACTCAAACCCTGCACTCAAACTCACCCAAGCCGTTCTATTTCCGCCTGGATAAACCTCCTTGTAGAGACTGAAACATACAATTGGTAAGTTTTGTACACTTATTACTTAGCTGCTTGTCTATGAACTCCTATCTTTCCCCTGTCTATCCCTTAGCCTCTATGTCTAATCTTTTCCAACCCTTGTTCTCCCTGCGGACGTCTCTATCTGATCTTCTATCCCACCTTCTTTTCGTATTGTACATTGCCTCTCTGTCCCCCATTCCCCAATTAATATATTACATGACACCCCCTTAATTTACAAGATCAAGACGTCATTCACAGGTACAGTACCTGTGAAGTCATTGGTCTTCACCTTGGGCAGGAGTCGTAGTTGTCGGGTCCGCTTGATTTCCATCCCGCGTTTCCCAAAATATCGCTGGCTCTCATAGCTCCAATGGAATACACCACTGACGCACTGAGCCATGCCATCCACAAGGGTCTGGACTTCCAAATCTACAGGCCCGACGTATCGTGGGACTTGCGGATACAGGTAGTAGAACCTATTCATCTTCTCATCAGCCAGATCTCCTGCCATATCAATGCCTTGTTGGACGTCAAGGTTGTACTGGCTCATGAGGATGGTAACGATGTTGTGCTCATCGTCTCCTATGGCCTGCTCCTTGTTGTACGAAAGGATGTCCTATGTGCGTAATCAGTAAGAACCCTGGCGCCGTCGCATACGCGTGTTGATCATCTGGAAAGGTTACATGTACCCACATTGGCAATAACGATGAGGTCCACCGCCAAGACTTCCAGTTCACGAATGACAGGATGCTCTCGGATATCATCCGGGATGTCACTGTTCATTTCGTAAAAGGCAATCGTGGATGGTGCGCCAGAGGTATGGCGTCGGACGGCAAGGAAGTCTTCCAAATCCAGGATACGTGACTCTGATCTGAATTGAGCCTGTTGGACTACAGAGTGAACATATTGTATCCAAGTTGCACCGAATCTAGCCCGAAAGGTCTCGGTAGCAGTACTAGGAAGGTGAAGCAAGAATCTAAAATCATAAGTAAGCTCTAAGCATGGGTTCGCTGCAGGTACGACTTTGCCACTTACTGTCGTATTATTTCACCTCCGATCCATTCCCCCTTTGGTCGAGGCGTCTCAGGACTTTTGAGAGTATCAATCATGACCTGGGCCTGATAAAGAACCTCTTCTGGAGATGCCTTGTCGGAGTATTCGTCAAACATGAAGAAAAGATGCATAAGCTCGCATCCAGACCTGATTTGCTCTGTTTTGAAACATGTAAGTATCATTCGAATAATGGAGACTTAGAACAGGGCATGTCTCACCTTTCGTCATTCTTGCATAGCACATGCCCGCGAGGAGATCTTCACAAGTTCCTTTGGTTAGCTTGAACATCGCGATTGACAGTCAGGGCGCAGAATTGGAAGACAAACTGAGTTTTCCTTTCTCATGAATAAGACATTGTGTTTCTTGATCAAAGGCAGTAAAACTCGCCGACCATTTCAAACACTCCTCTTCGACTTCTTCCAAGTATGAGCTCACAAGTCTGGGCCACCTCCATCCCGCTTCAAGCGGCGGGAGTCTGACCTTCTGACAAGCTGTCTCCGGCAGTTGAGAGTTTGGCATTTTGCTTGATGGAAATGAGGCAAGTTGTTAATAAAAGTTGTAGTTGTGTTTTTTTCTTTTCACTGTTCTAGGCACTTATATTTATATTCATCTGAGCAATAGGTACAGGTAACTTCGTTTCTACCAAGACCCTATGAACCATCCATTTCTCTCAGCGTATTCCTACCCGGCATCGAATTCAGACCCCTGCAATCGGACTCCAGACGCCATCCCAGATGCCGGGATTGGTACCCCGGTTTGGGCAGTTAGCCGGTCTGACAGGTAACGGCTCACTTCCGGTTTTCAAACCAGGTTGTTGGGCCGAGTCCATTCTGCGCGCTTGACCTTACATGTGCCGCCCCCCTAAATCTCTTAACAATTCTGACATACATACGGATAATGTTCCCCTATCTCTTTGTCTGGTCTATCCACATCTCGTGTCCCGCCCTCAAGTGCAGGTTACATACATAGGGGGGGGCTTAACGTCTCCCCGTATTACGCCGTACCTGTCAGAAAATAGCGATCCCTGCAAGTTATTCGCGGCAATTGTAATTACCGGGGGCGGACGTCGCAGTAAATGGCCCCGACCATCCTCTGCTGGTTGCCACAAGCGAGTGATGGAATCCCATTCTGCCGGTAGCAAAGTAGTATTAATGTCGTCCTGCAAGACAGCAGTTTTCTAGAATTCCATTCTGTAGTACACAGTAAAGTATAATTGAGGCCAATATACGAGTACTTATCGCTACCATGGCCTGGCTAGATTTGCCTTCTCTTTACAGTAACCCGGCACTTGGCACTGTCTCAGCGAGCCATGCCTTGATTGCCATCACGTTCTTCGGCGTTTCGTACTGGGTCTTGTCTGCAGTTTACTCAGTAACATTGCACCCTTTGTCCAGATTCCCAGGTCCATGGTACACCTCCTTGAGTTGTATTCCATTCTGGATCTCTGCTATCTCCGGACGACAGGTGCAATGGATGCAAAAGCTCCACTCCAAGTACGGCCCGGTTGTCCGCTATGGGCCAAACGAATTGAGCTACATGGACGGCAGCGGTGCCGCCTGGAAGGCAATCCATGGCCATGAAAGGGGCGGCCGAGAGTTTCCAAAAGCCAGAGAGTGGTTTGTTGCGCCGTATAATGGTGAGGATCCAAAGAGGCGAAAGATATCTTGAGCAGGGTTAACAAAAACGTACCAGGTGTCTATGGGATCAACAGCGCGCCAGCGCATGAGGATCACCGTCGCTTCAGACAGGTTTTTGCACCAGCGTTTTCGGAGCGAGCCTTGAAGCGACAGGAGCCAATCTTCCAGAAGAATATTGATCAGTTGCTTTCATCATTGAGTCAAACTTCCGCCGATGGTCAGAGTGTAAACATGGTTGAGTTGTACCAATTCACTGCATTCGACATCATGGGGCATCTCACTTTTGGAGAGCCGCTCGGCCTCCTCCAAAGCAACCGATACTCAAAATGGGTCGAGGCGGTGTTTCACTCTATCAAGGTTATCCCTATTGCACAAATAATTCAATATTACGGGATCCTAGACTTTGCTTTCAAACTTTTGGAACCACAATCTATAAAGGAGATGAAATATAACCACTTTAAGCATTCTGCCGACCGTGTCGATAAGAGACTCCAGAGAAAATCGGACGAAGCAGATATCTGGAGCTTGGTCCTCGACGCAGATCTAGACAAGCAACTGACTCTAGAGGAAATGCACTGCCACGGCGATGTCTTCATGCTAGCAGGCAGTGAAACAATAGGTATTTTCCCGAAATTTTCAATTCCCCGTTGCTGTAGAAGTATAGGGATTTAATTTTCTGATTTCATAGGCACGACACTTTCCGGTGTGACATACTACCTGCTCAGAAACGAAGAAAAGCTGGGTTTACTCCTGAGGGAGATCCGCGCAAAGTTTCGGTCTCAGGAGGAAATCAGTTTCCAGAGTGCCGCGGAACTCGTATATCTGAACGCATGTAAGTACACGGTTGCCACTTCACAAATCCAATTTTACTCATATGCACGTACTTAACCCTTTTGGAAGGTATAAAGGAAGCACTCCGGTTATATCCCCCGGTGCCAGTCGGAGTTCCAAGAGTGGTGCCGAGCCACGCATCAGGGATGAATATGCCTGGAGGCCCCGTCCCCGGTGGAACTCGTGTCTCTGTCCACCACTACGCTACCTACCATAACCCCGATAACTTCCGGGATCCTGACAGCTTTGTCCCTGAGCGTTGGCTCAATGACCCTGCCTATAGCGGCGACAACCGTGAGTGCTGGCGCCCCTTCGCCTTCGGACCTCGGGACTGCTTGGGTCAGAACATGGCCATGCGGGAGACGCAACTCATCCTTGCTCGCCTCTTGTTCAAGTTTAATATAGAAATTTGCGACGGTTTGGAGGGCACCTCGGACTGGGATGAGCAAAATGCCTATGTGCTTTGGGAGAAAAAGCCGCTCATGTGCCGACTCACATTGGCATCTGGTCACATGTCTTCCCCTGAGGAGGATTAGATTCCTTGTTGTGAGCATGGAGTTATGAGTGGGGCAGAGCAATCAGGGGAAATCTCGCTCATTTGAACACTAAGTAGTTCTAGAACTCGAGGAGGCGGGAAAATCAGGGAAACGGGAAAAAAGCGAATCTGAGTTATCATACGGGCGCTAGGAAACTGAGGACTAGTTTTTAGAGACGGCATCACTTGTGGAAATTTGCAGATTGTATAGACGAAAGGCACCGTAGCCATTAATTAATTCTAATTCCTTCTTAAATAATACTCAAAATTCATACACCACTTTGACTGTCATGGGGATCACACTCTAGTAAGCATTACCGTGTCCTCGCTGAGAGTGGTCAGTATAGCCAGCTTTATCTTCGCCTTCGTAGCTGTGCTGTACGGTGTAAGTTGTCTCGCGCAAGATATTGTTTGATCCCGGCTTCAAGATATACTGGTCGCTTCTATTATCGTCTTCTAGCTGTTCGTGGGTTCTGTTGAGAGGGTTTGTGCCAGGCCGGCTGACTTTGGACAAGGCGTAGGAAGAGTCCTTCGCCTCTGTACCCTTAATCATGCGGACCAGCGGCCTGAAGAAGGGGATTGAGGCGGCGATGACAGTTGCGCTGACCTCGGCAGAAAGCCAGATCAGGGGGAAGGCCGTTCCGTAGGTAAAGTCTGCGTTACGGGCAACAAGGCCAATTGTGGAAGTCTTATAGATACCCACCACGCCGGCTCTGCAAGTTTTAAAGTTAGCAAATACTCCAAAGTCCGAAGTCAATGACATATTCAAGGTGTGAGGCGACTTACACTATACCCAAGCTCATGGAGGCAATGATACCAAACTTGTCACTACTCTTCATCTGCAGGTTCCAGATAACAATAGCTGGGAACGCCGTAAGGACCAAGTCCATGGTGGCTGAGTACCCTGCTGCGTACGATCCCAACCCGATGACAGCATCGTTCTGAACGCATCCTGGAGTAGGTGGAACCGAGCATTGAAAGAACTGGACAACGGCAATGCTGAACATGGACCCGTTGATGGTCACAAGCATGAACCACAACGCGGCCTTTTGCCAGGTCACAGTCACTAGCTTCAGTAGTGTCAAGATGAAGGAGGACTTGGACACGGCAACCGAGATGACGGCAAAGAATTGGCCTATCGGTAATAGGTATAGTAGGCGCGGCAGCTTTGTCAAATCCGCGTCTTCATAGTGCTTCCCGAGCCCGAACTTTGTAGCATAAATCGACAAGACAATGAAAGTCACAAAAAGCAACTAGAAAGGACATGGAAAAGTTAGTCGGGTAGTTTCCGAGAGACAAGACATGGCGCAACCTTACCCAGGAGAAGAGAAGCACCGCGTCATCAATGCCGAGTTTCGTAGACACAAGGTGTTTGCTGAAGAATCGCAGGCTCATGAAGACCAACGATAGTGCACTGCAAACTATCATTGTGACATTCATGGCCGGAGCCATGGAGTTCGGCATTTTGAATTGTTGCCGCTGTTTCGCACAGACGCCAAGTAAACTGAAGATATGCAACCGGTCCAGAACTCGTGCTCGCCTTTGTGAAAAGAGCAACTCACTAAAGTCGGGTCAGCGGACTTTTTAGAAAAATACGGCTTATAAAAGTTTTCTACTAAAGACTTTTCTTGCAAATGAGGTGACTTGCTCAGGCAAGCGACTTATGGCTAGGAGTGCAGACAGACTCTGCAAGCTACCAGGTTTATGCCGGCTCTAAGAGCTGTGGGATCACCCGGGGCAGGGCTCCCCTGTGCCGCGGTTCATCAACCTACTCCGTATATAGTCGTAGCCCCTGGTGATGCGAGCTCTCTCTGCGGAAAACTGGTACTACTTTTACCTCCGGGCCGTTGGAGGGCGCCAGGGTTCCGGCAAAAGAGTCCATCCGTATTACAAGGGCTCATGGTCAGCGTGCGAAGTCCAACAGAGAAGACAATTAGTACCAGGCAACTAGTAATAAGCTGGGTATCCCCGGGTGCATCCGTCTGACTAAATAACGGGACGGGAAACTGATAGACGATCACTAACTGTATGTGGGGCATTATAGCCTACGGAGTACATTCTCCGTATCTTACCTGGTTGACAGATTACATTTTGTGGGCCAAGGTTCATGCCGTTTGTCTTCATCATCCTTGCCCTGCCTCTCAGCAGTACCAAGTTTGCACCAATGGACATGTGGCAAACCGCGTATTCCCGGCCGTCGAACCGAATGAGTGACCAAGCTGGTTTATAAGGAATTACCCACAACATCGGCAAGGTTTAGAGCGACGGCCATCAGTTGTCCAGTGGGTAGAACGCTAGACACATCAGTGGACAGGCCTTAATTGGAACGACGTATGATTTCTACAGCCAAATCTTTGCCTCTTGAGCGGAGAGGTGGGGAACCAACTGGAGGAGCGGCCAGGCCCCCGGCAACGTTCCAACAATGCTGTTGGTGTAACCTAGGATTCTTCAAAAGTGCTTCTACCGGCTTTCTAATACGGTGGATTCGTTTCAGAGTTCTGGGCAAGCTGATTCTAGGCCGCAAAAGAAATTTGTTCATGTCGTATGCAGGGGCGAGCTAGGGTCCCTTGAATGCTTCGCATACGACTACTACTCATATAGTCACCAACTGAGGGGGCAGGACTCCAAACTGAAGTTATAGGCCGCTGGTTCGGTAGTTTTTCAACAGGAAGCTGAATCCTATTTGCTTTTTCGTTCGTGATTGTTAAACTCAGACTTGTATGAATCCAGTAAAGCAACACTTTGGCAGAAACAATGGCGGTGATTACCTCCTCAGGAGGAGTTTATGTCGTGGCGATCGTCTGTGTTGTTCTGTATACGGCATACCGAAGGATCCTGCCAAAGCCAATCCCTGATATCCCGTACAACAAAGATGCGGCAGCAAAGTTGTTTGGTGATGTGCCAGAGATGATGGGCTATGTGATGCGTACACAACGCATTTTTGTAAGACACTGCCACTACTCACAACGCCAGCTGGCGGATGCAGGTTGCTAACATATAACTTTGAATAAAAATAGTGTTGGTTAACGTCTCTTACCACTCGCCTCCAAAGTCCTATCGTGCAGGCTTTCATCAAGCCCGGAGGACTCCCATGGGTGGTGGTGACAGACCCTTTCGAAAGCCAAGATATCCTGCTTCGGAGAATCAAGGAGTTCGACCGTAGCGAATTCTTTGGTGAACTCATCAATGGTATCTTGCCAGAGCAACATATCCAATTTATCTCGAGCGACCCTCGATTCAAGAACAACCGGAACTTGATCAACCACTTGATGGCCCCGACTTTCATCAGGGAGATCAGCGCGCCTGAGGTGTACATGGCCGCAAGCACCCTGATGAAGTTGTGGAAGATCAAATGCAACATGGCCAAAGGCCGCCCCTTTTCGGCTCATCACGATGTCACCTTTGCTACGTTGGACTCCATCTTTGCCTCTTCCTTTGGCCTTCTCGAGAGCGAGACCAATACGATCCAGCGCATCAAGGCGTTGGACAGCTTTGAGCCTGTATTCCCCGATGATGTCGATGAGCCCGTCGCTTTCCCCGAAGGTCACACTCCGGAAATCTTCTCGGCTGTGCTCACGCTGGCCAACTCGGTCACAGACACTCAGCTCTCTCCTGCCCCGGTACTCACTTCATGGGTCATCCGCAAGTTCCCCTACATGATCAAGGCCAAGAGCATCAAGGACAAGTACATCGAGGACAAGGTTGAAGAATCCGTCCGATTGATTGAGAAAGACCCCAGCATCAAGCCCAAGAGCGCGCTTCACTCCGTCCTCCTTCGCGAACGCGATGTGGCGATCAAAGAAGGCCGCAAGCCCGACTACCGCAAAGGTGCCATTGCCGACGAGTTCTTTGGTTTCATGACTGCTGGCCACGATACATCTGCTACCACCATCGCCTGGGGCGTCAAGATGCTGACTGACAACCCTGCCGCGCAGAGCCGTCTCCGTGACGAGCTCCGCTCGGCCTTCCCAGCTGCTGTCCGGGAGAAGCGCGACCTGACCTACGCGGAGCTTAGCAACGCACAGGTCCCCTACTTGGATGCCACCGTGGAGGAGATTCTTCGCCACTCAAACACCATCGCCTTCGTCGTCCGCCAGGCTCAGCAGGATACCACCGTCCTCGGCCGCAATATCCCCAAGGGTACCAATGTCTTCCTCATGGCCAATGGCCCCGGCTACCTCGAACCCAACATGAAGCTTACAGATGAGGCACGCAGCCCTGGGGCCCGCCAGACGGCCAAGTCGGCTCTGACTCGTGCCTGGTCGGACGATGACATTTCCAAGTTTGTTCCTGAGCGCTGGCTCGAGACGGATCCCGATACCGGTGCCGAGGTGTTCAACACGATGGCTGGCCCGTCGCTGGCGTTCGGTATGGGACTTAGAGGATGCTTCGGCAGAAAGCTGGCTCTGCAAGTGCTCAAGATTCACTTTGCGTTGATTGTCTGGAACTTTGAGTTGTTGCCCATCCCGGAGAAGCTGGGTGGCTACGACGCCGTGCAGAAGTTTGCGAGGGAGCCGACAAAGTGCTTCATCCGGCTCAAGGAGATTGAGCTGTAAGAGACTTGGGATATCGCTTGCCGTGTATTTGTATGTATAAAATTAATAGAACTAAGCTTGAATTTCGTTTGTTGGTAAACAAGGCTTAAGTCAACCAGGCCCGGGTCCGCGGTACCAGAAGGAGACCGTGAGCTGCATGTGCTATTGGCATCTGCCCGTCTTGATTTGTCACGATAGGCTATTTCGTCGCCAATGTGTTCGCCTATTTCTCTCAATGTAGTTGCCTCCATCTATCAATAATAGTCTCTCGTATCCTTCAGGGGCCGGGCCCTCGGAAGAGCTGTCGCGGCTGGACCGTGCTCACTTCCCCGGCCTGTACACATGCAGGGTTCAATTGTAACCGATCTTAATAAGTAGGCGATGCTGATAGATAGACGTCAAGAATTTATGTCGCTTCACATCTCCATGGTTATGAGAAGTACAGTCTCGTTGTGTTGTATAATGCGAGTGCGCCCCCTCAAGAGGGTAGAGAAACTTCAGGTGTATATGTTGGCGAACGCTTTTTGCCTCAGCCCACGAGCACGGTGTCTAGCCATCATCCTTAGAAACAACATCTTTGAAAAGCCTGCAAAAGTGCGACAATTAGCGCCTATGGGAAAGCCGGCAATCGAAGATGGGGGTGAGTTGAAAGAGGATGACCTGCTTTGCGGGAGCGCCTTAAGAGATTTCGGTTCGGAGGATTACCTGACACGGCAGAGCGCCCGTCGTCTCTGGCTCTGCTGTCCATGAAAAAAGCTGTCGACAGCGACGATCATTTCCCCTCTCCCACCCGTTTTCCCCTCCAAGGCGATAGAGTGAGTGGCCCTCAAAGCCAAAGGGTTGCAGAACGCATGTTGGCTATGTTGTGTTGCGGAAGGTTCTGGTCGATGATAGTGCGAGGTGCGGTAGAGTATCTTGTTGCATTGTTCCACCAAATATTCTGTTTCATACGAGTATACGAGAATAGAACATACCATAAACGAAGCACCAAGCGAAACACCGAAAACCATGATGGATGATGAGCGGGACTCTGTCCGAGACTGAAGCAAGTAATACCTAAACCAGCCTGCATAACTACAACTACTCTCATAACGAAGCCTACACCCTTACCAATTATAACATAGGCTTCTTGAGGATAGCCGACGGAGATTTTGAGTTTGCGTGTTTGATGGCATCTCTTCACACTTAGGGTGAGGGAGTCAGCTTTTCCGTCGTGGAAGGCTCTGTATGAATGGAACCATTGTACCGAGCCCAGCGCGTCCTCATCGGAGAATAAAATTGCAGTGTCAGTCAAGCCATGACCTCCCATTATGCCAAGCTTTGTAGTGAAAGCCGATTATGAATAGGAAGAAATGCGTGTTCGAGTCTCAATGTTGAGGTTCCACTTATCCCACGGAAACATGCATCAGCAGCGATTGCGTCGGGCTCATTGAATTGACGAAGCAGTCATGCAAAAAGTCTCCCAGGGAGCTTGCTTTTCTGTGATAAAGCTGATGAAGCTGAGAAGGTGGAAAACTCTGTGTGTTCTGCTATGAAAGAGGGAAAAGCTAGCTGCAAACAGAAGCAAATAGGAAGTGGGCTTGGCCAAGGAAGGTGGTTACACAGATTCACGTGATAACTCAACATTCTGAAAGCGCAAGATGAAGGAGCATTAGTCCGGCATTATGCAGAAATTGAAGTAGACAGAACTACTACCTATCCAAGCCACTATTGCGATATGCGAAACGTGGAGGTTTCTAAGGCCTAAGCTATCGTCAAAAGGTATCGCGGCTTTAGCAACGGGTATCAAAAGGCAGTATGTATGTTCGAATGGCCAACTTTCGCGACGAGCGACTCGTGGAATCCGGGTCATCGCGGACGCTGTTCTGTAATCGTGAGTCAAGTCTTGTTGTCATCAATCGATCTCACTATTTTCTGGTCAGGTATAGTGGCGAGATCATAATATTCCCGATAATGAGATACAAGAAGCAAGTATACACGTTTTGAAGTTGTTTCAATTGTAATTATTCTTACAGAGATGAATGGGAAGCACAAATCGTTGAGAAGAAATGCGGACTCATCATGCGGAGTTATAGTCAATGTGAGGTTGAGGACTGAGCATTTGCAAGCAAACATTTGAACTGTAACTCCCTACTACAAAACGAGTTTTGCGACTCTAGGCAGAATACTTAGGTTACAAGACAGAATATGCGGCAGGTGAATTGCAACTCTTGAGTGTTAACCTGAAGAAGCATACCTTACCCTCATGTCTCTTCCAGATCTGCTGGATAAGAGATGAACTGAAGGAAAACTTTCTATGATGACATGTATGAGTACTCTAACGCTGTAACATATACGAGTCCTGGAAGGGGATATCAGTTTCTGATGCTGGATACAAACCGTGGAACTTTGACAAGTGGCTCAGAGGAGAGCGGTATATGAGATACGGAGGGAACCATTCGACACTCCAAGGAGGTTGGGATTGATCTGCATAGCAACGAAACACCGAGGCAGGCAACAAAACACCGAAATGAGCAATGAGACACTGAGGCGAGCAAGAGACACCTTTACTTCAACTCTAGCCTTGTTCGATCGCTCCCTGGATGTAACGGCAGGTATTCTAGCTGTAATGTTTAATTAACCACCGAGCAGAAATGCAGGTACAAATGACTAGAAGGCCATAGTCGCTCTCGAAAAGGAGAAAAGGGAGATGTAGCATCAAAATATGGAGATCCGGCCGTACGGCACTCAACACCCTTGCTTGTGTGTGGTCCGCAATATGCGTCGGCGTGGATCATAAGCCGGGCAACGGAGCTACATACAAACCTACACCTCGTAAGCTTATAGCTGCCATTGTTCCGATTCAGCGAACACGGTCGGATATTAATGGCAATTTCGGTATTTCAAATCTCCTGGAGATCCAGCGCTGCTGGGTATCTTGGTATCATGGAGTGTGTTCTGCCTGGCATCACGGAGATATACTGGCCCACTCCTACGTATGGAATATGCCACTCTTTATTCCATGTCATGCCATTATCAGTTGGCTCTTCAGACTATTAGAGACTAAGAAAAGTAAGAACAGACATCTATTCAGACGTTGAGATGTTCATGAGCATATATCTACCTACCAATACACCCACCTGTGCGTAGCTGGCTTGACTGGGTACCTATGTAGGTACCTATACTTATGCAATATGCAACGGAGATTCCGGATGTTCAGTTAGAGCAGCAAAATTTCGAATTAAGCGTTGGGCATGATTTTCTAGCTTCCTACTTCTTTGAGATTCCATCCATGCAGTCGATGTTGCTGCGCGAAATACCACTTGTATGTAGGATCTTGGACACAGAGAGATGCTGACATGTGAAAGCGACTTGAACGACTCTGTGGGGGTACTTAGATGGGGGGAGGGAACAGGCGACAGGTACGGGGTACATGAGCAATAAATTAGGTGAACCACTCGCTGAATGACGGAATTCATTTATTATACATGCATTTTCTCTAGAAGGAGGAAGCGTCAGCGAGGTGGTTGGGCATCCAGTACTAACAAATATTTGATCCAGCTTTGGTCCGTTGGCCCGAGGCGGGCGGGCCGTCGACAACCGAGTCGCTGGTACCAAGCGAGTACTCGACAGCAGCATAAAACGCCCGGCGACATATGAAGTACTGCTGACGTTGGTAGATGGGTATGGAATACGAGTGAAAGATAGGGGAGGTGCCAGCAAAGGAATTGTCGGCTCTTTCAGTATTTTACCAGGCGATGTTGTACTCGTATCATTTACAGGGCCGATATGGGGTGAAGTTGAAGGTTGGGGGCAATTATTAAAGACATGCGAGCGTGTGATTGGACTCGGTGTCTTACCTTATCTTTTTGATCCTCTTGCCCGGAGACTGGACTCGAGAGCTTCTTATTCCCTAGCCGATGCGGCGCATTTCGAGAGACGGCCAAACCCACTTCAGCTGTTCGGCGTTCGGCTCTTCCGGGACAAAGTTCAACAGAGTTGTATGTAATATTTTAAGTATGTGCATTTGAGGCCTTCAGCTGTATGAGCGTTACAAGCTGGGCTGCCGATGTGCTTCATATACAGGTAGAGGTGCTAAGGCACTGTGGCTGGTCTGAAAAGTTCCGCGTAGGTACCGGATACTGCAGATTTTGTAGTCGGGGCTGGTTACATCGCAGGTACCGGATACTAAGGTTATGGCGAGGTTGCAACGTCCCCACGCGGGAGCGAAGAAAAGAAAGAAAAAGATGGGTGGTTGCTTGGCCATCAAATCAGCCATAGAGGACGCAGGCAACTTTGCTGATCCATCAGATAATTGGAACAATTTAGCCACTTTGAGGGGCGCCATGGGGTCGCTAGCTCGTGACGTCGTTGCGCTGCAACTGGATGGGAATTACTGCTTCTGTCCACGGCCCGTCACTTACAGCTGAAGGATTACAGTACAATTTGCTTTCCATGAAATGAATATGTGGCCTTGTGACCTGGATAGAGCCCTCCTGCCCTCGCCAAAGGACACCAACTGACTCAGCAGTTCGAGGCAGATCCAAATGCGGAATCCCATCGTCTTCTAGGCTTTTTTTCTTGCTTGGGTCTAGATTCGATCGGTTTTTTGCCACGCAACAACATCATCGTGAATAATGTCCCAGAGCCCAGGCAACTCGCCCAGCCCAGATCGCAATCACGAGGACGCCAGTTGACGCTCATATCAGACAGTGGATTCTCACCTGGCGACTGAAATCATTTGCAGCTGCTTTTGCTAGCGTCGCCGCTCCGGTTTCTCACAGCGCAACACAAATCAAATCCCTCTTCTGAAACCCTCAGCCCGAACATCCCCTCGTCCGAAGCCACCACTCCAACCCGGGATTTGATCCACTTGACGTGACGCCAGATCGAGGCACGTTCTTTTCCTCTCTCTTTCGTCCCGCAGCCTGCAGCCGAGCACACGTTGCCATTGCCGCTTCTCACCTTGGACCGTTGAGCACATGCCGTTCATGTACATGTAGCTTTTCGCCATCTCGCTGCACTCCAGACGAACCCCCCACTTGGACGCTCGCCTCTCACCCCCGGGTATCACCTTGTGGCCGTCTTCTTGGGCCTCATATGAGAGAGAGGGCGTGTACGAGTACATGTACCAGTCGCGGATAGGCACATGTTCCCGGATCAGCCGTCACAGCCTGTGAGTGAGTGAATCACCTGCGTACCAAAGCAACGACTGAGGTAAGTCAAGAGATTTCATCACTATGCCTTTGTTTGACCAGCAGATCGTCGGGCATTATTCTCTTTTTCTTCTTTTATTTCCTCTTAGCTCGACACTAGACCAGCAAGAGTATGTACAAGCGTACAGCAAGACAAGTGTCTGCAAGGCTGTAGATACTTGGCAGGGCAAGGTACCCTTTCAACGTCGTTTGACGTCTCACTATCGCGGCCGGGCATGCGGAGGAGCTCTTCCACGTTCCCCTCCAACCCCGGCAAAGCCTACCTTAGCTTTATTCACTCAACCTCCTGTGATACGATACGCCTTTCACGGCGATTTACGAGTACACAGATGACCCACAGCCAGACACCTGGAGCTGCCATTACACATCTTGCACTCCCCAAGAAGACGTCGGCTGGTTGTGGGGACTCCACCCTTTCCCCGTCCCCCGGATTCTGGTCCGTATCCGGCCGTTGAGGTCGTCTACGGCCTGATGAGTGTACATATATATCTCTCCTCCTAGTTGCGCTTGGCCCTGACACAGTCCTCTTTGCTACTAAATCCTATTTCCCGGTTCTTCCGTTGCCTCCTCCCTAGTCACTTGCCCTTTATATGAGACTGGTCCTCATTTACGTGGCACATCAAATGTAATGCCCGCTTAATGCCACGACGACTGCCATTATTTCTTCCGCACCGCCCTTCGCGGACTCTCCATTAGCACCAGCATTTCCCCTCTATACTTCTAAGTGCTCTTAACCTGCTGACGCCATGACGGCCTCAGTCCGTGTCTTTCATCCTCCCCAGTCCATAGCCGAACGGCTTGCTGAGCCCAACTACTCCTACAACACTCCTCGCAGCCTCCCAGATCTTCCCGACTCATCAAAGGAGTCCGAAGCAGCTCGGTCTCAGTCTCAGACGCCGACCCCCACGCCGGCTCAACGGCAGCCTCCTCAGCTGTCTGCTGCATACACCAGAGTCCCCAAGGCGACATACCACGAATCCATGATGGAGGGAGGCATTACTTTCGGCGCCCAGGATAAGCTACCGAAGCTGCCCATCCCTGAGCTCGAGAACTCTGCTCGCAAATACCTAGAAGCCCTGAAACCACTCCAGTCCCCCAGAGAGCATGCCGAAACAAAGCATGCCGTCAGCGAGTTCCTCAGAGAAGAAGGTCCTGATCTGCAAGAAAAGTTGAAGAGATATGCACAAGGCAAGACGAGTTACATCGAGCAGTTTTGTACGTCTGCCTTAGCTATTACTCTGGTGTCATATCAAAGCTAATATTGGTGAAAAGGGTACGACTCGTATCTCAACTTTGACAATCCCGTAGTACTCAACCTCAACCCTTTCTTCCTCCTCGCAGATGACCCGACCCCAGCGAGAAACAACCAGGTGACCCGTGCTGCTTCCCTCGTCGTGTCTTCTCTGGAGTTCATCCGGGCAGTGAGAAAAGAAGAGCTGCCGCCGGATAAGATCAAGGGAACTCCTTTGTGCATGTATCAGTTTTCACGCCTCTTTGGAACAGCCAGAGTCCCCACGGAAGCTGGATGCCAGATTGAACAAGACCCTGAATCAAAGCACATCGTTGTCATGTGCCATGGCCAGATCTATTGGTTTGACGTTCTCGACGACAACTCAGATGTCATCATGACTGAGAAGGATATTGAGCTCAACCTACAAACGATTGTCGACGATGCTACCCAGACCCCCATCCAGGATGCGGCAAAGAACGCCCTTGGTGTGCTCAGCACAGAGAACCGCAAGGTGTGGTCTGGCTTACGAGATATCTTGACCCGTGAGCATGGTTCCAACAATGCCGACTCGCTCAATATTGTCGACTCAGCCCTCTTCGTCCTGTGCCTTGACTATATCGAGCCGACCAATGTTGCGGATCTCTGCCAGAACATGCTCTGCGGAACCAGCGAGGTCAAGAACGGCGTACAGATCGGCACATGCACCAACCGCTGGTACGACAAGCTCCAGATCATTGTCTGTAAGAACGGCAGTGCGGGAATCAACTTTGAGCATACAGGCGTGGACGGCCACACAGTGCTCCGGTTTGCAAGTGACGTCTATACCGACACCATTCTTCGCTTCGCACGCACCATTAATGGACAGGCGCTGACCCTCTGGACGTCTACCAGCCCCGACCCGTCCAAGCGAGAGATTGATAGTTTCGGAGACGTCAACACCACCCCTCGAAAGCTCGGATGGGATATGATCCCCGAGCTGAGCATCGCGGTGCGGTTCGCCGAGACTAGGCTGGCAGATTTGATTGAACAGAACGAATTCCAGTGTCTCGATTTCTCCACCTATGGCAAGCACTTTATTACATCGATGGGATTCTCGCCCGATGCCTTTGTCCAAATGGCATTCCAGGCGGCGTATTACGGTCTGTATGGAAGGGTCGAGTGCACTTATGAGCCTGCCATGACCAAGACCTTCCTGCACGGCCGCACAGAGGCCATCAGACCCGTAACAAAGGAATCTGTTGATTTCGTCCAGACGTTCTGGGGCGATAACCCGGTCGAGCAGAAGATGGAGGCTCTCAAGCGTGCTTGCCAGAAGCATGTTAACAACACCAGGGAGTGTTCAAAAGCGCAGGGATGCGACAGACATCTCTATGCGCTCTTTAGCGTGTGGCAAAAGTATGTTGATGATTTGATTGATAGCGGCATGAGCAGCCCTGGAGCGTCAAGCCCAACGACGTCTTCACCGACAGCAAGCCCAAGGAGCTCCAACTTGTCACTCGACGGTGTCGAAGTCAGGTCGACCAGGGAACGCGGCGACAGCACAAACTCCAGATCGCGAGACCACCACCCGCTCCCTCTCATCTTTGCCGATTCTGGCTGGGACAAACTGAACACGACGATTCTCTCGACCTCAAACTGCGGCAACCCTTCTCTTCGCCACTTTGGATTCGGACCGACGTCAGGAGATGGATTTGGTATCGGCTACATTATCAAGGACGACAGCATTTCCATCTGCGTGTCGAGCAAGCACCGACAGACGAAGAGATTTGTGGACACGCTGGAGAGCTACCTGTTGGAAGTCCGACGCATCCTGCGCATCACAAACGGCAAGGTGGTCAGCACAAAGGGAAGCAAGGCACGCGAAGCCGAGCTGGCTCGACCGAAGCCATCCAACCGACTCAAGTCTCGAGGCAGGTTGATCACCAGCCCGGACGCGGTCAAGTCGGGAGGCAGGCGCCTAAGTCTGGTTCCGGGATCGCCAACAGAAACAAGCTTCACAAGCGATGACGACGAATTAGGAGGCTGTAAGTTTATACTACCTCTTTCTGACCATTTACATGGATGAAATACTAACTGAAAATACTAGATGGCTTCTTCGATGCCGGAATGCTTTTCCAGGCCCTCAAGGCTCGCGGAAACACCGTCGAGGAGGAGCACAAGGCGTCGGAGCGAGTAGCAGGGCATGCGAAGAGGCGAGACGTTGGCAAAAAGCTGCGTCTAGTCACGGAATAAGGTACCTATTGGGAAATGCTTCTTGCCGTCTCTATGTTCTATTAATGTTTGCGGTGTGAAATGCATTGTTTGCCGTGGAGTCTTGTGTCGGTTTGGGTGTCACACATAGCGCTGCTTGGTGTTACGCAGCGCATTGGGATTATGGTCCATAGCTTTAACTTTGTATCTAGGACAGCTGATGTTGTGAATTTATCACAAGTATTTGACAAGTAATCGCGCCTTTATATCGATATAAACGACGCGCCTCGACGCTTTAAAACGGTAGAAAATGGAGGAGAAAAGGGGTTCAGGCGTAATGCCGCTGCTTGTTACACTAGGCACCTGGTTGCACCATGTAATAGTAACCTGAATGCATCACACAAAGAAGCAGCTGCATCTATCGGTGCTGTGTATATCGATGGGATATGCTATGCATACAAAGAAAGGAGCTCCTGATGACAAAGAAATAGGCTTCAAGCCCGGGATATAGCTGCTATGGAATGGTTCTGTGAAGCTTCCCCGGACATCCGAGACGTGGCTGAAAAGCTCTGCGTAGGTACTACGAAGCTGATGGAGCTTATCCGGCTTCTGAGATACAAAGGACGGCAAGATGGAATCAGTCTTTGCCATTGCATTACTCGTAATCAAAGCTACACTGGTCATTGGAATCATGCATTTGATTTTCTATTCGTTCCCATGGCTACGGCCTTGTAGGTGCAAACGATGAGGCGCAACTGGTAGACTAAGCTCTGGGGAATTTGCCAATGTTCATAGAATCCAGAGGCAGCAATCATCAATGATAACAGCAGCTGCGTACAAGCACGAGTAATGGCAGCAGTATGTATCTACCCTATCAAGCTATCTCATCGAACGACTTGGAGCCAACAAGCTTCCACGATCCATTCATTCGACGAATTGGATTGGAACAAAGATGTGGAGCTAAAAACTTTTTTTCCTCTTGTTCCAAGTTGTGATGGTGTGTCGCCTTTTGCATACCGCGAATTGGGATTAGGCGGCTTTTGTTTTCGATGGGTTTTCGTTGGTTGGACAAGGATCCGCTTGTTTTGCCTCGCCGCCCAAGCTGCCTTGCCACTGGCTCTTCATTTTCTTTCTTTTTTTTCTACGTCTTTCTTTTGCCGCGTTGGGTAGTGGGTAGTAGGACGATCGATGCCCTGTTGATTCATTGTTTCGGAGTGAGGCTGAATTGGGATGGGCAACATGGGCTGATGGGATAGCTAGCAGTCAGCGCCAAAGAAAAGTCAATCATGGAATGGCAAATGCCAGTTTAGGGTAACGATAAGCGAGGACAGCTCCAGCTGCTTTGTGTCTGTCTCTGTTCCGTTTGTCTTCCATTGTTTTCTGCTGTGGGATGGATGCGTCAAGATGACGATGGAGGATACAAAGGTACTTGCATGCTTCTCTGTGTAGAGCTGGCTGTTTGTGTCCATCGATCGGATTTTTGCTTAGCATCAGACGAGACAGGCACGAAAGTTCAAGGAGGGGGTTTTCTTGCAGCTGGGAGGCCTTGTCCAGCTCAGTGTTACCTACAGTACCTGACTCAACTGCATTATCTGGTGCTCTCTTTGCTTGGGCGTTGCTAGGCTACCTACATGTACCCAAGCGGCTGCTCAGGTGCTGCTAGGGTTGTATGGATCGTAAGGCTCTGCTCTGGCTAAGGCAGCAACAATCAATCCAATTCCAAAGGCTGCACAGGATTAATGTGGTACCAGGCAGTACCTTGCGATACGATAAAGCTGTCCAGCACCTTCTAGTGCCTTATGGTGGGGCATCTGTGTACCCGCTACCAACCCGGCTGCGGCAGCCCTTGGAGAATCAGAGGTACCAGGGACCCCCGCCACTGCCCCGCGATGGATTTTTTTTCTTCTCTGCTGGGAGCTGGAGGGGAGATGACATCAAAGGAGGGGGGGAAAGAGGGGAGGGGGGAAAAGCAGCAAATCTGAGCTACGAGTACCTGAGGGTACATGGGCAATTGGAAGCTTCCACGAAGAGAGAACAAAAAAACAAAAAAAAAAAATGCAAGGGGCAAGCAGGGAAAAGGCGATCGGGCACTGATCAAAAAAACGCAAGGGGGCTTTTCCAGCAGGCGCGCGCATGGTCTAGGCGTTTGCAGTGCCTACCAGAGGCTTCTGGGAGCCCCTGCAAGATGCCGGTGTGGGCACCCTTGGAATAGTGTAGAACCGCATCGAAACCCTCCCGCCGTCCTTTATTTAGATGCTCTCTGCAGCCCGCCAGCAACGCCGTTTTCTTTTTCCCGAACATACTCTCTCAAACACTTCAATCTTCACACATCTCCTTTTCTCTTCTCATCACTAATTCCATTTCCAATTACTTTTTTTCGAGAGCACACACACACAATCATTCACAATGTCTATGGGACCAGCCGTCGGTATCGACCTGGGTACTACGTACTCCTGCGTCGGTATCTTCCGTGAGGACCGATGTGATATCATCGCCAACGACCAGGGTAACCGAACGACCCCTTCGTTCGTTGCCTTCACCGACACCGAGCGTCTGATCGGTGATGCGGCCAAGAACCAGGTCGCCATGAACCCCCAGAACACCGTCTTCGACGCCAAGCGATTGATTGGACGCAAGTTTGCCGACTCCGAGGTCCAGGCTGACATGAAGCACTTCCCCTTCAAGATCGTCGACAAGGGCTCCAAGCCCGTCGTCGAGGTCGAGTTCAAGGGCGAGAAGAAGACCTTCACCCCCGAGGAGATCTCCTCCATGATCCTGACCAAGATGCGTGAGACCGCCGAGTCCTACCTCGGAACCACCGTCAACAACGCCGTCATCACTGTCCCCGCCTACTTCAACGACAGCCAGCGTCAGGCTACCAAGGACGCCGGTCTCATTGCCGGTCTCAACGTCCTGCGTATCATCAACGAGCCCACCGCTGCTGCCATCGCCTACGGCCTTGACAAGAAGGTCGAGGGTGAGCGCAACGTCCTCATCTTCGATCTCGGTGGTGGTACCTTCGATGTCTCTCTCCTGACCATTGAGGAGGGTATCTTCGAGGTCAAGTCCACTGCCGGTGACACTCACTTGGGTGGTGAAGATTTCGACAACCGCCTTGTCAACCACTTTGTTAACGAATTTAAGCGCAAGAACAAGAAGGTTAGTAATTCCCCTACAGACACATCTGAATCCCCCCAGAACCCGCATGTACTAACTTCTGACCAGGATCTGTCCACCAACGCTCGTGCTCTTCGCCGTCTCCGCACTGCTTGCGAGCGTGCTAAGCGAACTCTGTCTTCGTCTGCTCAGACCTCCATTGAGATCGACTCTCTCTTCGAGGGTATCGACTACTACACCTCCATCACTCGTGCCCGTTTCGAGGAGCTGTGCCAGGATCTCTTCCGATCCACCATCCAGCCCGTCGACCGTGTCCTTGCCGATGCCAAGATCGACAAGTCCCAGGTCCACGAGATCGTCCTCGTCGGTGGCTCCACCCGTATCCCCCGTATCCAGAAGCTCATCACCGACTACTTCAACGGCAAGGAGCCCAACAAGTCCATCAACCCCGACGAGGCCGTTGCCTACGGTGCTGCCGTCCAGGCCGCCATTCTGTCTGGTGACACCTCTTCCAAGTCCACCAACGAGATCCTGCTTCTCGATGTCGCTCCCCTGTCTCTGGGTATCGAGACTGCTGGTGGCATGATGACCAAGCTCATCCCCCGCAACACCACCATCCCCACCAAGAAGTCCGAGGTCTTCTCCACCTTCTCTGACAACCAGCCTGGTGTGCTCATCCAGGTCTACGAGGGTGAGCGCCAGCGCACCAAGGACAACAACCTGCTCGGCAAGTTCGAGCTCACTGGCATTCCCCCCGCCCCTCGTGGTGTTCCCCAGATTGAGGTCACCTTCGACGTCGATGCCAACGGTATCATGAACGTCTCCGCCGTCGAGAAGGGCACTGGCAAGTCCAACAAGATTGTCATCACCAACGACAAGGGCCGCCTGTCCAAGGAGGAGATTGAGCGCATGCTGTCTGACGCCGAGAAGTACAAGGAGGAGGACGAGGCTGAGGGCCGCCGTGTCTCTGCCAAGAACGGCCTTGAGTCTTACGCCTACTCTCTCCGCAACACTCTCAACGACCCCAAGGTCGACGAGAAGATTGAGGCCGGTGACAAGGAGACCCTCAAGACCGAGATCGACAAGATTGTCCAGTGGCTCGATGAGAACCAGCAGGCCACTCGTGAGGAGTACGAGGAGCACCAGAAGGAGCTCGAGGGTGTCGCCAACCCCATCATGATGAAGTTCTACGGAGCTGGTGGTGAGGGTGGCATGCCCGGTGGCATGCCCGGTGGCCCCGGCGGCTTCCCTGGCGCTGGCGGCGCTCCCCACGCTGGTGGCGATGACGGCCCCACCGTCGAGGAGGTCGACTAAATTCACAAAAAGCTGTTTTGATACCCCAACATCAGACTTGAGCTTCCAGATTGGTATTCCGTCTACGATGTGTGGAGGCCTACTCTAGGGGATCAAGGGATGATGCCATGATTAGATTCTTTCTTTGAGTTTTTGCTTTTATCGTAACTAGCATATCACGGACATGAAGGGTAAAAAGCTGGGCGGGAACGCTGGCCCTGGTTGTATTTTAATGAGTTTTAAGGGAATTAAAAAAAATTCAAATGGTTTAGAACCAAATTACTTGTTTCCATTGACAATGAATATGTGAATGTGTTTTCCCCGGTATTAGAGTGAATGTTGGGATGGTGTTGAATGCAACGAACCATTTTATTAATGGATTACATTCGTGTGAGAGTGGATGGCTGTAATGAAGTTTTTGTCGATGCAAAAAAGCAGCTCTCTTTGGGTATGCTCTTACGATGAATCATACAAGAGAAGAAAGTCTGGATATCCAGGCTATATCGATGCAGTGATGGTAATAATAACAATGATAATACAAGGTGGTTTGTCTTTCTTTAAAGGCCATTATCAAATTCTGCACCTCATTCTTTCCTGTCATATCCCAAATCCTGCCGTATCTTCCTCCTCCTCTCCTCCTCCAACTTCCTCCACTCATTGTCATCAACCTTGGCAATCTCAACAGCCTCAGCAAACGCAGTCCCCGGCGCAACCTTTTGCTCCCTCGCCTGCCAAACATCCTCGCTGCTGCGGCTCCCAGGCGCATAGTACTTTTCGTACTCCTTGCGGCGGTAGTGCTCGCGGACGGCCTTCTCCTTGAGGGTTCCCGAGTAGGACTTTGTGCGCATGCAGAACCAGAAGTCGTCCCAGAGGTGGCCGCAGGAGCGCATCTCGCCGTGGCGGTAGACGGCGTTCCACTGGCCGCCGAGGGAGTTGCAGGACCAGGCGAGGTCGAAAGCCTGGCGGCAGGACATTTCGGTTGGGAGGAGGGATTCGGTGACGGGGTCGAGGTGGGGGACCGGGGGAGCTTCGGGGGCGGTGGAGAGTTTTGAGGAGAGCCATGATGTGATGACGGAGGGGGATTGTGATGATGATGAGGTTGAAGAGGAGGAGGAGGATTTGGGTGTTGTGTCTTCGGATTTGTTGAAGAGGTCGAGGAGTTTTTGGATTTCGGGGTCGACGGGCTCGTTGGGAGCTTGAGAGGAGGTGGATGTTGATGAGGGAGGTGGAAGAGTTGATTGTGTAGGTTGAGAAGGAGAGGAAGAGGGAGATTGGTCGGTTGGTGGTTTGGGGGGCGAAGATGTCCAGAGCCAGCCCATTTTGAAGGTATTCGTAGAATGCGATGAATGTGTATGTCAATGGATCGATATCAATGCGCTCAGGCTGCGGGTTTGAGATTGAGCGCTAGGTTGGCTCCTTTTACGCTCTTTTAGAAAAGAATGAAGGTCGTTGACTCGAGATTGGATTCAGTTGGTGCTGGTAAAGTAACAAAATAAGCCTGCCCGCCTTTCTTTTCTTTCTTTGCTATCAAGTTGAAGCATCTTTTTTCGGGTCATCAAGGTCTATCGACAATCGCATTTTCGGCCGGGAAAACAGCTTTCCCGAAAGTCTTGGCTTTTCCTAGTCTGGCAAGCAGCTGGGCTGGGATGGATTCCTATGACCTCATTGGCCCTACAACTAGCTCGTCATGCTATACTATATGAGAGCTCAATAAACAGACGATTGGATTGGTTTCTCTCTTCACATCAACTCTTGCGAATAGCGAAATGTGCAGTTTCTGTGGCAAAGAGCTGTCATGATTCCCTCGCGAAGCCTTGCGTTGCTGGCGGCGCGATCCAGCAGCGCGCGGGCGCTACGATCATGGCCTGCGGCGGCTCATGTTGCGACGAGACGGACGGATTATGGGCTGATGAGATGGCGAGCTGGGCAGAGGATTTGGGAGACGACGACGGCGATGCCTTTGAGTGAGGGTGATGCTGCTGAGAAGAAACAGGATTCGTCACCTTCTGAGGAGCAAGAGAGTGGGCGATTCGATGTCAAGTCCAACGAGTCGATTCTCTTTTTCGACAGTAAGGAAATGCTCATGGAGTCCTGTCTGATACTTTATTGACTTGATACTTTTTGTAGATTTGTTTCCTCTTAAGCTCACTCCGCTGTTGAGTCGCCAGGCAGAAACAGATCAGCAGCTGACGGACCTCATGAAGCGCTTCAATAGCTCCTCTTTGGGTATCATGGATCCAATCCAACTGGTGAAGAGAGCGATACCGGAGAACTTGCCTATCAAAGTGACGGAGATTTTGCCACGGCTCAAAGATGGCGGAGCGTTTGTCAAGTTTGAATATGATGCTAGTCTGAATGTTACAGAGATTGAAGGTAAGTGAAACGCCATAATTACCTCTACCTTGACTTACTGACTGTTGGCTAGCCAAGCTATTGAAGAAGCTAAGAGAAGAGCCGCTTAAGCCGTGGTTCAATCCCTTCCGCAGAATTAGAGCTCGTCTCGTCCGCGGAGTTCCTTGGCTTGAGGATCTACATCGATACCCATCGCCTCTACTCATGGTGGAATTCGTCCCTCCCGAACCTGGCGCTGCTCCCGAAGAGCTCCCCGAGGAAGTTCTTTACAGCCTGTTCCGCCGGTACGGAAAGATTGCAGACATCATTCCTCAGCCAGCTGATTCAAAGATTACGCCGCGGTATGCTCAGATTGGCTTTCCCAAGCTGCGCGATACCATCATGGCGCGGAACTGCCTGCACGGCTTCGTTATCAGCGAAGCTCAAGGAGGGGGCAAGAATGGAACCAAGCTGCGGTTATCCTACGTAAAGCGAGAAAAGGCCCATAGCATATGGAATTGGATCACGACGCACCCCCGAATTGTCATTCCCATCGTGGCTGCGCTCATCGCCGGTGTCTCTGTCATGATCTTTGATCCTATTCGAATGTTTTTCATCAAAGTGCACGTGCAGCACTCTCTTCGCTACACGGACTGGAGAATTTACAAGTGGTTCAAGTCACAGACACCAAGCTTCTCTTTCCACAAGAAGGAAGAGCATATCGAAGGTCTTGGTACGATATGGAAGCACCGCAAGGATCTCATCGAACAGCTACAGAGCTGGCTTGATGGCAGCTCGGATACTTTTATTGTTGTCACTGGTCCAAGAGGCTCTGGAAAAGCCGAGATGGTTATGAGTCAAACCTTGAGTGGGCGCAAAAACGTCATTCTCATTGATTGTAAACCGATTACGGAAGCCAATGGCGAAGCTGGCACCATCAAGAGGCTGGCGGCGGCAGTTGGATATCGCCCGGTGTTCTCATGGGCAAACAGTATCAGCAGCATGATTGATCTCGCAGTTCAGGGCACGACAGGCGTCAAATCTGGATTCTCGGAGACTCTAGAATCGCAGTTGAACAAGATCTTGCACACCACCGCCACCGCTCTCAAGAATGTCGCCCTTTCGGAACGACATAAGACAGACAAGGATGCCAATATCTCCGAGGATGCATACTTGGAGGCTCACCCAGAGCAGCGCCCGGTCATTGTTGTTGACAACTTTCTTCACAAGAACGAAGATTCTAGTATTGTGTACGACATGATTGCAGATTGGGCAGCAACAGTCGTCCAGAATAACATTGCCCACGTAGTGTTCCTCACTAGCGACTCCGCCTACTCAAAGTCCCTTACCAAAGCCATGCCAGACAGAGTCTTCCGTACTCTATCCCTGGGTGATTTAGATGCTGACGTGGCAAAGAACTTTGTCATCACACGTGTGGAGGAGGATTTAAAGCGCGAGGCACAAGAGGAGGAAGAGCTAGGCGAGAAGAGCAAGAAACCGTCTCAGCGACCCAGCTTGGCAGGATTGGACGATGGCATCAAGGTCTTGGGAGGCCGCTTGACAGATCTCGAGTTCCTAGCCCGACGACTGAGGGCGGGACAGACGCCCCAGGAGGCTGTTGAAGAGATTGTCACCGAAGATGCCACTGACATTGTCAAAATGTATCTTCTCGGAAGGACAGCTGACGCGGACAGGAGATGGTCTACCGAGCAGGCATGGCACCTGATCAAGGCTCTCTCGGAGAACCCAACCCTGCGCTACCACCAAGTTCTTCTCTCGCCTACTTTCGCCTCATCCCTCTCATCCTACGCATCGAACGGAGAGGCTGCCATTGAGAGTCTCGCCGGCGCGGAGCTCATCACCGTCACGACGCACCAGGGACGACCTCAGACGATCACAGCCGGCAAGCCCCTCCACCAGGCGGCGTTTAGCGTCCTCGTCAAGGACCGCGTGCTCCGCGCAAAGATGGACCTGGCGGTTCTCAACGAAATGGCCAAGGTCGAAGCCAAGAACATTGATACGGTGGAGAAGGAGCTGCAGCTGCTGGGCGGGCTGCCGCGGCATACCGGGGAGTCGGCGGGCAGAGTCATGTATCTGCTAGGCAAACTGGATGCTGGACAGAGGAAGATTGCGCAGCTGGAGAGGGAGATGGGTGGCTTGAAGAAGATTATGAATGAGGAGTTCTGATGTGGGATGTAGTTTAGTAGTTTGGTTGTATCATGCATGTATGATGAGAGAGATGTTCTAAGCGTGTCCTATATGTATGTATGGATGGATTGTACGATAGGAAATGAGCCATCAATCAATTCTGCTTTTTCCACAGTTAATGAGCTTGTTGCATTGGTTACTCATGATCTTAAAGCCCATAATAGACACTTTGATTTCCCTTTCCTCCGCCTCATACGCATCAATCAATACTAGGCATACAGATATAGGCGAACAAACCGTATCTCATATAAAAACAACAGTCACGCAATACAAACATCAACGAATTCCATATAAAGAAATGGAGAGACAGAGAACAGAATGCATCTCATTTCACGCCTCAAAGCTTTGTAAACCAGATTAAAGAAAAAGAAAAAAAGGAACAAGAAACAAGAAAAGTCCACAAATACTCCCCTCCCTACCAAACCCATCCGAACAATCAGCCCGCCCTTGCGCCTTCTGAAGATGAACAAAATGAACATTTGACATTTCTCTTTCTTCCCCAACTCCCTTTTTGTGTGTGTGCTTGGTTATAATCAAATGAGAGAACAGAGAAAAGAAAGAACGACAAGAAAAAGCTTGCTGCGCCAACGAGAAAAAAATGAATGGGAGAAATACGCTGTCGATGAAAAATAGGGGGTGGTCAAATCGTATTGAAGAGGGAGGGTTTGTGGGTGGATGGTGAATCGTCATGGCCATGTAAATCGGTAATTTAACTCGCTTATGTTTTTCTCTTTTTCTTTTTAATCTCATTATGCTGCGATGCTCATCTGCGAAGCTTCATATTGCGCGGGTGATATCTCGCAGGCTTGGCAGAAAAAGACTCGACTGGGATTATCGTAGTCGTTTGTGATGCTGTAATAGTTGCCTGTTTACATCAATGTTAGAATATGCCTTTCGGCTATGAAAATAAATAAAAATGCTCACCTCTGGGCACAAACCACATACCGCCCGCGGATATGCGAAACTGCGCCTCGTTGATCGTCACCATGACTTTTCCCGTGTGCACGAAAAAGACCATGTGCATCTTCCGTGAATTCTTGGGCCGCTTCTCGCCACCAGGAGGTAGGTCAACTACACCGGCACCCATAAACGGCATCGTCAGCGTCTTTGCGAAGCGGAACGTCGCATCGCGAATCTCCGATGTCTGCACTGCCAGGGCCGATAGGGCGATGCGCTCGTCCGTTACCTGGACAGGCTCGTCGTCTGCTGGGGGGTGTTCTTCATGTTCCGTCTCCCATATCACGATTTCGCCCTCGACAGTACCTGGTTTGACCTCCCATGCTTCATAATCTTCTTCCACCACGGGCTTCTTCGGTTTGGGCCGCCCTTTGCCTCGTGATGGAGCCGCTCTGCTGGACACCTCCTCCTCAGGCACACGCACAACTTCCTTGATGCTCGGCATGACGAATCGATCCTTGGCAAACATATCAGCTTGCTCCTCATCCTCCCGGACCACCTGCTCGCCTCTCCAATACTGGATAGGCCGGTAAGAATGTCGCCCGGATCTCGTCTGCGTTATGCTGTCCAAGTCCTTGCGCATAGATACCAACCCACGAGATTTTGGCATAGGTGGACCACGCTGCAGCGCCGCAAACGACGTCTCTCCCACATCCCCATCCTCGGCATCCGCGTCCTTGGGCTTCCTCCCAGGCCGGCCTTTAGTCTTGGGTTGGGATTCAGCTTTATTCTTGGGTTTGGCCTTTGCCTTGCTCGCTGCTACCGGCACAACAATTCCACTACGAGCAGGGCCTTTCCCCTTATTCAAAGGCTTTGACTTCGACTGGGCTTTTGAGGGTGCGGTAGTTTTCTGTTTCTTCCGGGGCACAAGCTCTTCTTCGTCTTTATCCTCCTCCTGCTGCTCTTCCTCTGACTGCTCTTGTGCTTCTTCTGGCGTATCTTCACGGAGAGACTTTCGCGGCGGTCCTCGCTTCTTCGACGTCTGAGATGATGATGGTGCTTCCACGCGGCGTTTCGATTCCTTGTTTGACCGCCCCTTTTGCTTGACACTCGGCAACTCCTCCTCCTCCTCCTCTTCTTCCTCTTCCTCTTGCGCCAATTCTTCTTCTTCGGGCTCCTCTTCTGGCTCTTCAGCATCTAGCTCTTCTGAAGGCTCTCTTACGGGAGCTCGAGGAGCTGCTTTAGGCTTTGCCTGCGCTGCCGCCTTGGTCTGCTTCCCGCGCTTCTTCTGCGGCGATGAATCGCCATATTGTCTCTGCGCAGCTTTTGTCTTGGGCCTCGGCGAATCGTTTGGCATCGAATCGACCATCAGTAGAGATTCCTCCGCCCCGTTCCCGGTCGCGCCCATGACATCGTCCAGCTCCTCCGATTCCGAATCGTCTCCGTGCCGTGAAAAGCCGTTTAGCGCTGTCGCCTTTTGTTTCCCATTCGTCTTCGCTGCCTTGTTTCCGGCCTTGCTGGCAAAGTTAAGCCTTCGGGCTGCCTTTTCGGCGCTAGGATTGCGCGTGGGAGAGGATGATCGTTCGTTTGCAATTCTGTTACAGGTAAGTTCGGGTTCGTCTCGAGCTCAAGGAGGGGGGGACAAAGTACTCGATGCTGCGCCGGTTCTTGAGGACTGTTCTCGGTCCTGGTCCAGCACCTAGATTTCGCGAAACAGGGTGTCAGCCATGCTTTTCTTGGAATTGAGAATTGTCATTCGCCCATGAAGCCAGCGAATTAACAATGCGACAAAGCTCACTTGATGATATCTCCATGTCCTCGCTTCCGGATTCATCCCTGCGAGTGACTGCGGGCGACGAGAAAATGGCATCCAGAGGCTGCATGCCATGCTCATCGCGCTCGCCCGTGTCCTTCAAGAAAGCGCCGGTTTTCCTATTAGCACCAAATCAGCGCTGCCACTGCCACAAGCCCTGCGAGATTCGTCTCTCGCCCAAGCGCCAAAACATACCGGCCTCGAACGCCGAGCTCATGGAGAGCTTCCGGCTCAGCTGAAGAGTCGCCTCTCCGCCCTCCGCCTCGAGGCATGATGGGCAAAAAAAAAAGAGGCTGGTCGGAATTCGGTCAAGGGTGCGAAAAATCAACGGATGGAGAAACAAAAAAAATCTCCCAGCGGCCGCTTGGTCCAAAAAAATAATTCGGTTTCCGCTGCCTCAATCCGCAGGCGACGCCGAGCTTCGAGTTTGCGCTGGTCCGAGTCGAGATTTGGGCGACGCGATTTTAGTGGATGTTGACGTGTTGAATTGAAGAGCTGCGCGCAGAAGAGACGGACCAGTATGAGACCAGTATGGCATTTTAGCATTTTAGGCGGGGGTTGGCAGTGATGGAACAGCTCATGAGTGCTGCAAGAGCGCTAGCCGGGCCCGTTTTTCGGACAGCTCCCAGCACGTGTTGCTGAGCTCCAGCGGCGAGCTTTACTGAGCTATGCGCTGTAAGGATGGAGCAACTAGCACTAGCAACGCGTCAAAGTGAAAGACGCGTCGAGGGGGTGGATAAGATCTTTTTATCAATCGTCCATTTACAACACTCTTGAATGCCAATTATACCAGAACAGCATCTCGTACAGGGCATTGGCGGTTGCAATAACACTGTCATTATCCTCTGAGATACGCTGGGGATTGTTTTTAATCTAATAATCCAATATCTACAACCAATTGCTTCCCATCACAGAGAAGATCTTCAACACCACACAGCCATCATCTCCCTCCATATAGATCCGCCTCATCAACCACCAACCGCAGCCATGGAAGAAGACACCCCCGTCCCCGATTCCACCGCCCATGCCTCTTCCACGATGCCCTCCTCCGGCACTTTCGTCCCTCCCTCAGTCTCCTCCCACCGCGATACCCTCATCTCCGGCGCCACCTTCTCCCACTACTCATCCATCCCACCGGCTCTCCTCCCGACCGATCCCTCCGATCCCTCAACGGCCCCGCCCTGCGTCCTCGGTGTCGATGAGGCCGGTCGCGGACCTGTCCTCGGCCCCATGGTCTACGGTATTTTCTTCCTCCCGACCGATATCTCAGATCCGCTGCTCAGAGAGACGCACCACTTCGACGACTCCAAGGTGCTCTCCGCGGCAGTGCGCTCGCAGCTGATGGAGACGCTGTGCACCCCCGGATCGGATCTTCACGAGTCGTGCGGCTGGGCCACGACGGCGCTTTCCGCACGAGATATCGGTGCCAACATGATGAAGCCCGTCTCGTACAACCTCAACGCCCAGGCCATGGACGCAACCATGGATCTCATCCGCGCCGTCTACGCAAAGGGCGTCAACATCAAGGAGATATACGTCGATACCATCGGCCCCCCGGCCACCTACCAGGCCAAGCTCCAACGAGTCTTCCCAACCGCCAAGGTCACCGTTGCCAAAAAGGCCGATAGTCTCTACGCCTGCGTCAGTGCCGCCTCCGTCTGCGCAAAAGTCACCCGTGATGCTGCTCTCGAAACGCTCTTTCACGCCCGTCAAGTCGCCACTGCCGCCACCAGCGGTGAGGAGGCTCCATCTGAAGACACTCCCATGGAATGGGGCTCTGGATATCCATCCGATTCCAAGACAGTGGGGTGGTTAAGGAACAACATGCATCCTCTCTTTGGATGGGGGCCTGAATGTCGTTTTAGCTGGGGCACCGCCAAGGACATGCTCGAGAGCAAGGGCAACGGCGTCAAAATCGAATGGCCTGCCGACGATGACGGCGAGACGAGCAAGTTGACCGACTTTTTTATGTCTGGGGGTGAAGAGAAGCAAGGGAATGAGCTGGCATCATGGTTTGGAACCCCAGCAGGTCAAGAAGCGTTCTAGAGAAGATTCAAGGTGACAAAAACAGGGCATGGACAGATTCTCCATGAACCCGACTATACTTCTCAAATCATAGTTTTGAATTGGGGTGCGCATATGGATTGGCGTTGCAGATATATATCACGAAAGGGAATCAATGGCAGGGCATCGGCGTTTGGTAGTTAAACCTTAGTATTGAATTGGATAAACCAGCTTTATTTCATCTTGTGTAGACATTATTCGTATCCTGTTCGCTCATCAATGCTATACGCTCTTGTGTCCGCCAATGTCCGACAATGTCTCGAAAATTTATACAAAGGGAGCTTTTATTCTTCTCATGTGTCGCCTCCGGGTTCCTTTTATCTTTTCCGTTTCACGTCTAAATGTCATCCGGGCTTTCAGACTCAGTCTTCTTCTTTCCACGGCTATCCAGCGTGTCCATGCTGATGTCGCTGTCTTGCCTCACGGGCATGGCCAGCGCCTGTCGTGCAGTGTCTGAGTTGTTGACGAACTCGCGCAGCTGCTGCTTAGCAATATCCATGCCCTGGTTGACAGCGGCGTTGCCCATTTGCATCATAGGGCCCAGCAGGTTGAGGTACCACGCAGTGTAAGTTCCTCCACCAAGCAAAATGAGAAGAATAAACATGAGCGGATTGCGCAGAACTGGGATGAAAAGTTAGTCAAAGTAAAGGTCTCTTCCAGGGATATTCCTTACCCATCCAGATTTCGTTCCAGCCGAGAACGAGCAGCAACACATAAAAATACCATGGCACCTGGGTCATGCCGCCAATGGCGCTTCGCTTGGCCTCGACATAGACGCCATCGGCTGTCTTCTTGAAGCGAACAACCAGGTCTTGTCGCTTATTCTCACTCAGCACTGTCATCTCCTCCTCAAGGCTCTTGCCCTCTTCTTCATCGACGCCGCCGATAGGAGCAAGATCCTCCTCGTCACCAGCTTCAACTCCGGCGGGCTGCACGCCAATGAATCCGATCAGATCCGGAGATGCGTTATTAGCCAGCAGCTTAAACTTGGAAAGAAGAGGTATTAATGTGAGCGTAGACTCTCGCGCCTTTGTATAAATACCCTCGATGTCGTCCGTTGGCCTCCAGATGCGCGGCACACCAGCATCGTCGTATCGAAACTTGTCCTCGAAGTTTTCCCTAAGCTTCAAGAGGATGTTGCCCTCCATGACCTCCTCCTCAATCTTCTCTCGGAGTGCCGTCCAGCTCTTACGTCGAAGGCGCCACAGGCCAACGTCGACTTCAGAATCGCTGGCATCGAAGCTCTTGGCTCGGTCAGCAAACCGGGTCTCGGCTTCGCTGACTATTCCGGTAAAGACTTTCCAGATTCGGTCCCAGAGATCCTTTTCCGTCGCCGGCTTTTGGCCTTCCTCGGGCGCTCCCGAGCCTCCTCTGCCGGATCCTAGTTTGTTGAACTCTAGGCCGACGGCATCGCCCAACCGTGACTTGACCCAACGCTCCACCCGCGTGGCTAGCCGGCGGATTTCGTCCTTGCGCAGCTTGCTGCTAACCTCATCGAGTTCGGCCTCAAAGAGCTGGTTCTGGGACACAAAGTTGGTCCACTCGACGCCCTCAATCGCAAGGCTGTCTACCTCTGCCTTGAAGATTTCCGTAGTCTTCTTCTTCTCGTTGGAGACGATTTCGGCAAATTCATAGGCTCCACCGGCCTTTTGCCCGGCCTTTACCTTGTTTGAAACGGCTTCGCTAAAGGCCGCGACTCCGGCTTTGTGAGCTGCTGCAATTTGTCCTTGGTACAGGGCCTTGAGTCGACCGTCAACCTTGCTCTCCAGCTCCTGCTTCTTTCGGGAGTAGACGCCCTTGTGGTATCGGCTAGCCTGCACTTCAAAAGCTCTGAAGCATTTTTCACGGGCCTGGCTAGCTGTGGCGCCCAGATCGGGAAGCACAATGGCCTTGCCGAGCTTAGAGGCTTGAGCCTGCTGCTCCTCAAGTGGGGTCAGAAGCAGGTCAAAGGCAACCAGGACTTCTCGAGATATCTCGTCACATCGGAACTGAGCTAGGAGCTCTTGCTGCGTTGGCAGGTCCAGGTCCTTGTTGTTCACGATTTGATCCCAGATGCCCTCTGTGTACACCGACAGTCCATCTGCGGGAATTCTCCTGTGATACTCGGGCAGGAGAATACCGCCCTCGGTCTCCGCAACACCGTCATCGCCCTTTCCTACTCGGTGTCCCGTGGTGAATCTCGCTCCCAGTTGCGCGACTTCACTCTCAAACTTTTCTCCTTGTAGAATCTTGTGGGGCAGAGCTGCAAAGCCAAAGTCAAAATAGTCTTCGATACGGGACTGCTCCAGACCCTCTGGCTTGGAAATGGACGACCAGATCTTCGTAAGATCTTGAATCAATGTGTTTTGAAGCGCCGACAACGGTGTCACTCCAATGTGGTCTCGGATGACGAAGAATAGGAGAGATCGGGGGGTCGAGCTGTGGTAGACCGTTAGCACGTGAGCTTCAATTGGCGCATGTCTTGGAATGCTCGTGGCCTGTAAACCAGTGGGGCGAGGTTCTTTACTTTTTATCTTTCAGAAACAACTGCAAGTTGACTTCAAACACCGTCTTGAGCAGGCCCATGTTGGCTCCCTGGTACAAGCCAACCTGGTGTTCCCAGATGTTGATCAGGAGAACCTCACTAGTAGCGAGGGCAAACAGGGCGCTCTTTCGCTCGAAATCCTGGTCCTCTCCACGTTCTCGGCCGTCGGTACCCTCGACATCCATAACGAGAATGTTATCTGCCATCGGGGTTCCGGCACTTGTCTCCCGCTTGTTCTTGGACAGCCAGATACCCTTGGTCGTTTGACGGCGTTCCGTCTCGGACATGACAGAGAATGTGGTGCCAAAGAGGTGGTTCAGGAGGGTCGACTTTCCTGTAGACTGAGATCCAAACACAGAGATGAGGTGGTAGTTGAAGCCTGCCTCGGCAACGTGCATGGTCTGGAGGTAGTCGTTGAGGTTGCGGCTATGGCGGCGAGGGATTTCGCATTAGCTTCCACTTTGCCTCGAATCACCACAACAGGAGCTTTCCGGCACATACTTGAACTCCTTCTCTTCATCTATGACCTGACAACCATGGTCATAATTGCCGTTCGCCGGCTGGTCACCGACGGCGGAAAAGTGGCCGTTCATGGCTGCTGCTACACTGGAAGCTGAGCAATCCGAAGCGGCATGAGCTCTCGCTGGGGAGACACGAGAGGCAATTGGGTTCTCAAGAGAGCGGAATTGGATGGAGAAACGGTTGAGGGAGTGTAAAGAAGCTTAATAGGAGCGGTATGAAGGACGAAAGTCAAATGTCATTAGCATGGAGCTACTATATGGCGAGTTATGACCACCTTACGCTCTTCTGATCAAGCCGAAAGTGGCATGGTGGGGTACCGTGACAGCCACACGTGGTTCCGCTGGTGCGGCGTTTTGTTGGGCTGGATGCTGTGGCTGGTGACGAAGATGTCACAGTTAGATGGCGTATCATTATTTTCTCCGTGTTCCGTCTGATATTCTGTGAGCTGATTCGTCCATTTCCTTTGTTTGCTTCATTTACTACAGGGTACGGAGTGTAACGACTAAGGCACTTACAACGTTGAATCATGCCCAAGATATGCATGAATGTCCGGCGCTTTTCCCTCATCATGTCATGTCGAGCCATGTGTTTCGTCCTCATCAGCACCGGGATTCGTCAATGCGTGTCATCACCCTCGTGGGCTAGTTCAAGTGGCTCTTCGAGACTAACAAGCTTCCCTAATGCAAGTGTTGAGGCCTGAAAGAGGATATCGCCTGGAGCTCTCCTATTATTACCACTAGCTGGACTGTCGACATGCATGTCTCTCTTTATCTGCAAATCTGGGTGTGAGACATGCTGCAGATCAAATCCTTGACAGTGCCACGCATGTTGGGCCACCCTGCAGCAATTGGTTAGACATGCAGTGGGGGTGGGTTCTGAGATGCAGATGTTGACAGCACAGCTTACGGATGTAGATGACGTTTCAGAGGTACTGCATTAACATGTCTTTTTTTATTTCTCTAGCTATCTAATTTGCGAATACATGTTCAATCAGGCGTTCTAATCACCCAAAGAACCGAAAATCATCGACCTCTATGCCCGAGTCAGAGTCAACAGAACGCTTTCACCAGGTCCCAGCTTGGCCTTGACGCCGCTCTTCTGCTTGCCCAGGTTCTTGTTGTTCCAGACATCGTGGACGCTATAGGTTCCCTTGATGCCCAGGTCCTCCCATGAAGCCGAAACCCACTCGTCACCGGTGCTGGTGCCGTTAAATCCACCCTGGCCGAGATCAGGTCCGTAGTTAGCGAGGACAACAACGGCCTTTCCGTTTGGCGCAGGGCCTGCGATCCAGGCCTGCAGCTGTTTGGCATCCTGTCCTCCCGTGCCGGGGTTGCGGGGCTGCATGGGGTACTGCGCAGTGAAGTCGGCAACGTCGTGAGCCGCCTTGTTGGTGAGCAAGTTCAGGCCAAACTTGTCGAGATGGGTAAGGTCAGAGCCGATAATGAGGTTGGCGCCCGCTCCGATGTAGTGTGTCATGACCGTCTGTCGCTGTGCGTCCGTGATTCCGGTGATAGTGGCATTGTTACCGACAAGGAGGTTGTCCATATCGGGATAGATGTTCAGGTGGTCAAAGAACTCCAGACCAGCAATGATCCATTGACGATAGTTGTCAAAGGCTCGCTGAACTACCTCCCATGACACAAAGGTAGGTTGGTTGCTGTTGTTGAGATCCTGGTCGGTTCTCATGGAGTCGGCATTGGAGTTCCAGATGTTGAAGAACTTCTGAGTCCGGTCAAGCTTCCAGGAGATGTCCAGGCGCATCTTGCGGCCGGACTGCTGAATGGCCTTGTGCCATGCAATGACGGAGCCACTTCCATCAGGAGGGAGCATCTGACCATTGTCGGGCGATCCAGGAGTGACAAAGTCCAGTTTGACGAAATCGACTTTCCTAATGTCGTTGTGAGCACATATCTTATTGGCACGAGAGTAACCACTTTGAAACTTACCACTTAGCAAACTGATCAGCACAGGAGTTATGCCACAGCTGTGTCTCATGTCGTGTATAGTCGAAGATGCATCGGATAAGGCCTTCGTTACCGTGGCAAACATCACCAATCTTGGTGTTTGTGTGAATGATGGTCTTGTTTACATCTTCCAAGAAGGCACCGGGCACAATGTACACACCCAACTTCAGGCCTTTGCTGTGAAGATGGTCTGCCAAGGCGGGGATGTTGAAGGTGGTGTTGTCGTAGAGGATACGGCCGTATTCATCACCGTGATCTCCAACAGACCAGCCCGAGTCCAAGCTGCAGGTGTCATATCCAGGGAGGCCAACAAGGTGGTCGCACTGCTCAATGACATGCTCCTGGTCAAACTTGAAGCTGGGGAGAGTCAGCGGGTTTGCCTGGATGCCGAATGAGTTCCATCCACGGGCGGAGCTGCGGAAGCCATTGGGTGTCTCCTTGTAGGAGATGATCTTCAACTGATGACCATGGCTAGACGTCCGTTTGGCATTGGGAGCTGCAACAGTACCTGTCACACCCAAGCCGAGCACGAGCGCCGAAAGCAAACGACCTGTCATGGCTGATCTTATCCCGAAACTAAGTATAAGAAAAAGAAGGCACAAAGAACTCCTAGGACGTCAAGCAGAGACACTTTGGATCGACTAGCTTGCAGCTCTGGAAGTGGAGGGTTGCAGTTGCGTCAATGATACTCAATTAAGCTTCTACACGGCCATTTTATATCAATTTTGCCTACATACTATCCATTGTTTTTCTCTCGTCATTGATGAATTCTTCCGGATACCTCTTGACCGGGACAATTAGGCAACCCGGCGGTATACTCTCCGCCACTTGCAGCGGAGGATTGCTCGGCTTCTGGCGCTCTCTGCCAAGGCTTACCAAAGACGAGAGATGCAATACTCCGTATTGTAATAATGCCGTTGCCTATTTTGTTCCTCGGCTCTGTCAGCAGAAATGGCCAGACACACTACGACAGTTACGTATTTGGGGGTTACACCGATCTAATGCAAAGTATGGGGATCTTCTGGGGTTCGATGCGGAGATGCTTTACCCCTGTGTTGCGATCGCGGGGGATTTACAACCCCGTCTGGGGTATAAAACGGAACTTGGCGAAGAAACTACATTCGAAAAAAGCTTGGCCGAACTCCGTATTAAGGACGAAGCGCAACTTCCAGCCGACGGAAATACCAGTTTTAGTATTTTGTACTACGGGGACAATTGAAGCTATCTAGAACGAGGAGGCGGAAAAGGTGGAGAGTTCCAAGACGGAAAAGAGTTGGGCGACGGAAAAGGTCGAAGAAGATGGTTTGCCGGCTAAAGTGCTGGGTCACCCGATGACGGTTATCCTTCCGTGAAGGCATTGCTTTGCAAATGTCGACTCCGTTCAGGATATCAAGTAATAACGAGGCGAGACAAAATATTCATTCTTGTTCGTCTACCCTCTTGGAAGGAGGGAGGAGTCAGCTGTCGATCCGAAATCTTAAAGTTACCTCCTTTCAAGGAGCGCCAATCTGTTGACGAGTACCTTGCTGCCATGGCTGGAATCCACAGGAACAAGCTCTGTCTCCTTTTCTCTGATTATCCTTCTCATACCTTCTGAATCGGTCTTCTGTCTCGTCTCATCTGCTCTCCTCCCTTCAGTCGCCCCCTACTTTATCTGGTTGAGACTGAGGAACACTCCCCATCCAAGACCAGCAATGCTACCAACAAGCTGCCGGTAGTCAAAAGGCACGACGACCAAGTTCAATAAACAGACGATCGGCCACACTCGATAACCTGCGAACAACATGGGCCAGAAGTCCTACAACTCTGGGTCAGCCTCTCCAGGGTTCCATCAACAGCTGGCGAAGGGGTAGCTTCAGTTACTTACGCTGATGACACTACTCAGGATGCTGTTAAAGCTCTGAAGGTTCATCTGGCCCATGAGGCAGATGAACATGAGCGTGTTGACCGGTGCTCCAAGAGCTTGATCCAGGATGAACTTGGCTGCCGTGTTGGCAATGTTCAGTTTACCGCCACTCCCCGTCGCAGTATCTTGGACTTGCTTGTCTTTGACAGACTTGTCTTCTTTTTCCTCTGTCGTGGTTGGAAACGTCTGCTCTAGGAACTCCTGCCACCTATAGTTAGGAGGTGTTGTGAGCACCGTGTATACTATGAAGCGCAAGATGGAAGAGAGATCAACACCATCGAAAGTCTGCATGCAAGCGGGCTTCATGTCAGCACATCAACCAACGGCGAATCATTATGATGCCACGGGGCTCTTTACTCACCCCCCTGCGATATGCCAGAATGCCTTGGGCAAATACCCCGGACAGGGCATTTAGCACCGTCGCCTGAACGGTTGCGGCCGTGACTTTGGAGTCCATCGCACCAGCAGTCTGGATTTCTTTCGAAGCCTATGCAAAAGGATCATCAGTTTAACGAGAGCAACTACTGCAGTCGAATTGTTAAGTACGATTCCAAAAGGGGTCACTCCCGGGGAACAAACACCATCGCCTACATGTCCGCGAGATACTCCGAGAAATTACTGAGTCCGGAGCTATCCTATCAAGCTATGTCGCCATTCTACAGCTCCTAGGGAGAGAGGGGTGATGTCTCTCCAGGCTCGCTGCCATCATACCCAATCCAGTCGAGGTTCGGCGACACATCCGAAGCAGACCATCAATAGTCAAAATTTGGCTCGTGGAGCCCACAGAAGACAAACGTCGCATGATGACACGAGACATCTGAGAGCGTCAGGCGACCTGAGGCCAGGGCGAGATGCTTTCTTCACCATTCTCATCTCAGTCCCCCTCTGCAAATACCCCTGTCAACCTGCAAATGTCGCCAAAGTATTTGCCTCTTCCTTGCTTCCAGCCCCGCGCCCGTTTTCACATTACCCAAAAGGGGAAATTATCGGGCATCGATACTTTTGCCTGTAAAACAACAGCGCCTCAATACCGCCGCCAAAAAGACAAAGTCTGGGGAGGCTTGTAAGGCTAAGTCTACCCTTGTAGGGAATAGCCAATTGCGGGGTGAAGAAGATGAGCCGAGTCCACCCTTGTAAGCTATTTCGACGAGGCCAAGAGTTTGTCAACAGCATGATAGGGACTCTTTGAAGGCGTCTAGTCATTATTAGGCTGGATGGAGGGGGAAGAGAAGAAGCTGGAATAACTATAAAATAGGCTCGTTGGAGTGTCATTTTTCAAAAGGAAGTTGACCGAGAGTCAGGAAGAGTGAGACAGGAGTTAAGACAAGCACCGGTCTGTCTCGAGTCTCTCTTACGGACGATTTTTCGATTGATAACCCCCTCTTCTCCTCCCTCTTTTGCCATCTCACGGAGGCTGTTCTCTTGATCTTCAAATCTCCACCATCAAGAGGAGCCATGGAGAAGTCACTGGCCGTGGCCCACGCGGAAGATCTTCCCATTGAGCCCAATGAGAAGCTCGCCATCAATGAGGTTGCTGACAAGGCCAAGCAGGGTGCCGAGGCCGAGCACAACCTGCATCCGCTCAAGGCTCTGCGCCTCTATCCCAAGGCCATCTTCTGGTGCCTGGTTGTGTCTGCCTGTGTCATTATGGAGGGCTATGATACAAACCTCTTGAGCAACTTTTACGCCTACCCCGAATTCGCCAAGAAATACGGCCACTTTAACGACGCAACCAACAATTATCAGCTCTCAGCCCCTTGGCAGGCTGGTTTGGGCAATGCGTCCAACGTCGGATCCTTTTTCGGTACACTTCTCAATGGCTATCTCGTTCTCAGATTTGGTCACGTCCGCGTTATTCTGGGCTCTTTGGCTACTATGAGCGCTTTCGTCTTTATCGTCTTCTTTGCGCCAAACACAAAAGTCCTGCTTGTCGGCGAATTGTTGTGTGGCCTGCCGTGGGGCATCTTTGCCACAACCGCGCCAGCATATGCTTCCGAAGTCCTACCAATGACCTTGCGTGTGTACTTGACCAGTTGGACTAACATGTGCTTCATCATTGGTCAGCTCATCTCTGCCGGTATCTTCGCTGGCCTCGTCAATAATACGACAGAGTGGTCTTATCGAATTCCTTTTGCCGTCCAGTGGGTTTGGCCCGTGATTTTGTTCCCGATTATCTGGTTTGCACCTGATACCCCTTGGCATCTCGTTCGTCAGGGCCGCCACGAGGAGGCAAAGGAGTCGTTGAGAAAGCTCCGCTCAAATCCCTCCGAGGAAGAGCTCCAGGAGAGTCTCAACTTGATCATCTATACCAACAACCTGGAAGAACAGCTTTCCGTCGGTACATCGTACTGGGATTGCTTCAAGGGCTTTGAGCTTCGCCGAACCGAGATTGCCTGCATGGTGTTTGCCGGTCAGGTCCTTTCCGGTATCAACTTTGCCTACAACTCAACCTACTTTTTCCAGCAGGTTGGTCTCACCACAGAACAGACCTATCACCTCGGTGTCGGTGGAAACGGCATGGCTCTGTTTGGCACCATCGTGTCTTGGGTCCTGATTATGCCTTACTTCGGACGTCGTACGACATATGTTGTTGGCATGGGCGTCATGTCGGCTATCCTCATCATCATTGGCGGTCTCAACGCTCGAACAAGCAACCACCACGTCGGCTTGGCCCAGGCCATCTTGACATTGGTGTGGACCTTTGTCTTCCAGCTATCGGCCGGTCAGCTCGGTTGGGCTCTTCCGGCAGAGCTTGGCTCGACGCGCCTTCGTCAAAAGACCGTCTGCCTGGCTCGTAATGCGTATGCTGTGACTAGCATTGTCGCCGGTGTCTTGCAGCCATATTTCATGAACCCGACTCAGTGGAACCTCAAGGGCTACACTGGCTTCGTCTGGGGCGGCACTGCATTCGTCACCTTTGTTTGGGCTTATTTCCGGTTGCCAGAGTCCAAGGACCGGACATATGAAGAGCTGGACATTTTGTTTGCCCGCAACGTTCCAGCAAGGAAGTTTGCCAGCTACAAGATCGATGCCTTCCAGAATGATGCTCTGCCATAGGAAGGGGGGAGATGATTGCTTGCTAATAAGGAGGCCATTTTTGGTCATTTTACAGGCTAAATCTGTCCGGGGGACGACTCTGTAGTTGAGATTAGCTAATTACGTATTATGATAATTATATACCTGTTCATCGCAGTAAAACGTAAAACTTTAGCCGGAGATTGTGAAGAATGAAGCTGCACTGCACCTTACAAGTCAGTGGTAACTCTCGTAGCTACGACCAGGAAACTGCTAGGAGCCACTTCGTACTTGCTGCGTAGATGATTGCTCCTGGTTTGCCCTTGCACCAAATTCAAAAGGATCCAAGCGATAAAAAATAATGTCCAGACTTCATCCCCCAAGCTCTCTTCTTACAAATTCAATCATCCTCCGATATGTTTTTGTTCTTTCTTCTTTGTATCAGTTAATATCTGGGTATTTCATCGTATTTCATTCCGCTTCCGCATTCTCTCCTCGAAAACGATGGCCCCGTGGCAAGACCCCCGGAGAAATGAGACGGAGTTTCAATGGGAGAAGCATATTTCGCACCCTGATTCGCTGGATGAATTTCTCACATAGTTCGAAGAACGTCTCGGCGAAGTCCGGAGGCAATGCCCACTGCCTCCCCTGCATGAGAGGCAGCTGATGAAGGGTGATGACAAGGAGAAGCTGTGCAAAAGGCTCATGGGTGCCGTCTTTTGTGTATTTGTCGGGGACGATAATCCCAACCTGAGCTGTTTCAACAAATGCGTCCAAGAATGTCTTGATACCGAAATCTTTGCCGAAAACCCGTTGACATTATGGCTGGGATGGCAAAATGTGGCAAATGTTCTTATAAACTGCACCAAATATACACGTCGCAAAAGCGGCGGCGGCAGCAGCAGCGTTTACGGCTGTCCAAAAGCTGTAAGACTCATGTCGGCACTGGCACGCTTCTGCCTCGTGGATGAGTTTCCGAGGCATTCAGCTGGCCTCAAACGAATGTACGAACTGAGAGCGATTGAGCATGCACGCACTGCCGTCATACACGATAGTGAACTGACATCATACCAAGCTTATCTATGGGTAAACAGAGAGGGTGGCTCGGCTCCGGAGGAGGTTCCGGAGGAGAAGGAAGGCGACGAGAAGAAAGATGCCGATGAGAAGAAGATTGCCGACGAAATCGAGAGCAGCGCAGATATTTACATCAACATAGCAGACGATGACAGCAACATGGCAGACAATGAAGACAGCACTGCAGACAATGGCAGCGGTACCACAGATATTGGCAGCGGCAGAGCAAATGACGACAGCAGCAGCGCAGAGAACGACAGCAGCAGCCGAATAGCATATGCTACACCGAGAAGGCCCTCCGATTATCGATTATATGAGCGATGATGGATTGGATGGAAACAACTTGTTGATGCTGGTTATCCATCAAGTAGATGGGATTGCCATTTACGGCAGTTTCCAGATACGGCAACCCAAACTACGGAGTACATACACGGGACGGCCTTTTGCTTCTCTAAACACCAAACAGTCAGCTCTTTTTCCAAGCAATCTGCACAACAAGAATAATTAATGCTTGGATTGTATATCCAAATACCTTGCAGCGTCAGTTGCCTTCGGCCAACTTACCCCGGATTGCCCTTTTCAGCGAAATCAATCACCAGCGCCGCCAAGATCTTCATCCCACCAGATCTCACCTAAATCTGTGGACCCCCCAGTTTGTCCCGAGTAAACTCCCACGGGATCCCACCCCAATTTGTCTGAAATCGATAGACCATCGCATTTGCCACGAATCACAGGCGTCCCCGATTAATTGACCGTAACGAACGGCATAATAGCCGCTGGGACCAAGCCAAGACGAATCCTCCGTGGGAATATGGAGGGGAGGGGCAAGAGGATGAGAGATGGGATAACGGGTAGGGGTGACGGAGAGGAGAATTGTTTGGGGGGGACTCTATGCGGTTTGTTTTTGTCCTTCATCTTGTACTTTGTTTCTCTTTTAATAGCTATCGGTGGCTTGTTTCGGTTCCTCCGACCTGATCGCTGGTCCTGGGGCGGGAGAGGCGGATTGCTCTTTTTGATGTTAGAGCCGAAAAGGTATATTAGACGCAGACATAAAACGAATCGCTCCTCTGTTTTTGTCCGTCGGCTCTTCATACCTTTTCTCCCCCTTCAAGAGAAAATATTCACCGTTTCCTGTGTGTTGGTGATACAAGATGAGGTTTCCTGCTAAGGAAGGGCTTCTCGTGGCCCTCTCTGCGAGCGGCGTCCGGGCCGTAAACAACGGACTGGCGAGAACTCCCCAGATGGGATGGGTATGTTACTTGTGTGACTGATGCTTTTTTCGTCCTGTCCCGGCACATCTCAGTCGAAGCAAATCGAATCACACTCACACCAACCAAAAAGCTGACGATCTTTGTGTGTTTCTCCTCCAATAGAACAACTGGAACACGTTTGCCTGCTCCGTCTCGTCGACCCTCCTCACCAACACGGCCAAGCTGCTCACGGAATACGGGCTGCAGGACCTGGGCTACAAGTACGTGGTGCTAGACGACTGCTGGTCGTCGGGCCGCGACGCCGACGGGAAGCTCGTCGCGGACACCACCAAGTTCCCGGACGGCATGGGCGCGGTGGCGGAGGAGCTGCATGGGCAGGGGTTTCTGTTTGGGATGTACTCGAGCGCTGGGGAGATGACTTGCGCGCGATATGGTGAGTTATTCATTTTCCTTCCCTTATCTTTATCTGTTCTTCTGTCTTGCTCAATTGTGCGCTTCCTATGTGGATATTTGGTATTGGATGTTGGTTTGACGAGGAATTGCTAATCGTTTGATAATGTAGCCGGATCCCTCGATTACGAAGAAAACGACGCTCAGAGCTTCGCCGACTGGGGTGTCGACTACCTCAAGTACGACAACTGCTATCATATGGGCCGGTTCGGGACGCCCCTCATCTCCTTTAACCGCTTCAATGAGATGGCCAAGGCGCTCAAGAAGACGGGCCGGTCCATCCTATACAGCCTATGCAGCTGGGGCGAGGACTACGTTCACACTGTAAGTCTCCTTCCCCCCTGTCTTTGGCTTCCGTCACGGAAGCTGCGCAGTCTAAGAACGCAAGAGAGAAGAAAAAGAGCAAGACGACTAACGTCTTGTCGCATTGCAGTGGGGAGGATCCATTGCCAATTCCTGGCGCATTTCGGGCGACATTTACGACTCTTTCGCCCGTCCGGATGACCTGTGTTCGTGCACAAACGCCGCCGACCCAGCGTGTATTGCCCCCGGCACGCACTGCTCCGTCCTGGCCATCATCAACAAGGTGGCTCCCTACATCGACCGCGGCCTGCCGGGCGGGTGGAACGACCTGGACATGCTGGAAGTTGGCCATGGCGGCATGACGGAAGAAGAGGTAAGTGGATAGAGGGGAGAGAGAGATCCCGTGATGGTTCTTGTTGTGACTTCCGACTTACATGCAAGTATTAACATGGGATGGAAACAGTACAAAGCCCATTTCTCCATGTGGGCGGCGCTCAAGTCCCCCCTGCTCCTCGGCAACGACCTCCGCAAGTTAACGGCCTCCTCTCTCGCCATTATCAACAACCCCGCCATCATCGCCCTCAACCAGGACCCCCGTGGCCGCGCCGTCCAGCGCATCTCGCGCAATCTCGACGTTCCCAAGGACCGTCACGGCGTGGGCGAGACGCACGTCTGGAGCGGCCCCCTGGCCAACGGCGACCAGGTCGTCATCTTCCTCAACGCCGCCGACACAGACCTCGACATGTCCGTCTCGCTCGAGGACGTCTTCATCATGGACGGCGTGGGCACCGCCCCGCAGGTCAAGCAGGACTGGGCCATCCACGACCTGTGGGGTAGCAGCGGCTCTCGCATGAGCTCGCATGACGCTCAAACCCTGCTCGACGCCAAGGATGCGGACGCTCGTCGCTCGCTGCTGCAGACCAAGCTCGGCTGGTACAACGCGACGGAGGTTCCCTATGCCCAGGGCCTGAGCCGTCGGGACCCACGGCTGTTTGGCGAGAAGATTGGCGCCGTCGAGGCCGGTGGCATCATCAGTGCCAGGGTGCCGAGACATGCGGCCAAGGTGTTTAGGCTGCAGAGCACCAGCGGAGAGGATACCACCAGGAAGAGCCTTCTCAAGGATGAGCTTTGAAGAGGAGCTGGATGGTTAATTGAGCTTCACGAGACAGAGATGAAGAGGCTAATGAAGGAGGATTCCAAAAAAGAGGGATTTCTCTGTTGATTGATTGGCATGGTTTGGCAGAAAAACCATGGCAGCATCATAGGCATATACATAGAACTGTTACACAGGCATATTTCATAGAACATTTTCATAGCCACCCCAATAAACCCAAATCGAAATGTTGAAAACAAAAAAACCAAAAAAGAAAAAGTGATTCCAAGAAATTATTTCAGGCTGGCAATTAAACTTCTTTATGCAATTTCTACTTGCCCCGGCAAGTGCACTTGATCCGCGTCAAACGGCGGCTCTTCGCACCCCAACGCCATAAACGACGCCGCGCCAGGTTCCAGCATCGTCAGATCGCAGGTATCCTGCCAGCTGCCTGTGCTGCTGGATGATTCATCTCCCTGTCCAGCTAGGTCGCCCACGTTCTCCGCCACTCCTCCTGAAGGCTCCTCCAGCAATGCCGGCCAGTGGATGTCGATGCTGGCAATGGGATTTGAGAAGCCGAGAATCATCTCCGAGTGCTTTAGAAGCTTGGGTAGCAGATTAGATTGGCACCCACGAATGCGAGCCAGGAACTTGACGACAGAGCAGAGAACGTCCTGTGGCCCGAATTCGAAAGAGGGCATGGGAGAAGCAGACATGGATGCGTCCGCCAGACTCATTCCAATGTCGAACAGTTTTTGTTCCTACCAAACATCTTCAGTCAGCATCTGCTCACTCGCTGTGTCGTAGAAAACATCTTTTTATTTAAACTTACAATTGCAATTCCGTGGCAGTCCTTTGAGCTCTGGCTCACAGACCCCAGGGCCTTCATGATGGACTTTCCAGCCTCAAACGGCAGGCCAAGGGCGGGCATGAGACCCTGCCCATACACGAGATTTGGCTTGGTGCCAAACGCAAGTCGCCACATCGATACACGAAGCCACTGTTGCGTGACAAGTGTGTCGAATCTCTGGCTCTCCATCACCGACTCTGCGGGCTGCACAGCGGATAGCTTATTACTAATGGCATGGCTGAGAGCAACACCTTGAGGCTGGCATCCGTCGGTGTGAGGCTGCCACTCGTAGAGAGAACAGGGCAGCAACTCGAATAGGCGGACGTGGTTTACGAAGTCGTGCATGACAATAGGGCAGTCTGAGTCGACAATCTGCGGCTTTGAGATGGTGTTGCGTAGCATCACCGGCCGCCTGTGCTGCAAAGCATATGTTCTACCATAGGGCATGCGAATTAGTTCCCCAGCCTCAAAATTTGTGATGAAACGATTCAAATCAATTCACGCTTACCTTTCGGTCACAAACAATAGCCAGAATATCCGCCGCCTGATTTCCCGTTCGCTCTCTTCCAGGTTGCTGTAGGCCGACTCACTGTGTAAGCCTATTGACAGAGCCAATGAAATGGCCTGATTAAGGTAAAACCAAGCATGGGTATGCTTCTCCAGGTTTCCATAGCCCGCAAAGAGGAAAAAGGATGTCAGCAGCGTGTCTAGGCTGAGGTCATCGACCACGTTGAACTGCAGCCGAGCCTGCTCAGCAGCGGTGAGCAGAGCCTCACCCGTAAGGGGCGAGTCTAGCGATGTGTTGATGCCCACTGATGTCTCGTCGTATTCCTCTGCGTTGTCCAGCTTCAACTGGATCCGCGTCGCGGCGCAAAGAGACAAGAGAAAGGCATACCGTGATGGAGAGAGCTCATCCAAGCGCAGCGAGTCGGTCAGCAGTTCCCTGTCGTTGACGACGGGCATGATGGGAAACAGGTGCTTCATAAACACCTGCACATGAGCCGCCAAGGCCACCGATAGCCTCTGCTTGTCATGTTCCGTCGCCGTTCCAGACGCTGTTGCAAGGGCTAGAAGGGGGTTTTGCTGGCTGGCAGGTCGGCTTCGATTTGAATCTTCCAAGGCGTTGAACTGGATCTGTGTGCTCGGCGTGCTGACCTCAAAGTGGTTCTTGTCTGGTTCTGTGAGGCCCTGCCTGATTTGAGACAGTCGACGGCCTTTGCCTCCCCTTGGCCCTTTGCGCCGAAGTGTGTGTAAGTATCGACAAGGAATGGAAGAGACGACGCAGTTGCTACACGGCAGACCGCGATCGCACTTCATTTTCCGGAAGCGACAGTTGTCGCATACCTGCTGCGGCGGCTTCTGCGTGACGTTTGGTGTAGTCGACATCGTGAATGTGTGTTTAGAGTGATTATAGTGGTGATAAGTCAAGTCAAGACAAAAGACAATGAGATGCTTGGAGATGCAACGAGGCCGTTCCTCCTATATCGGACAATCTTTCAATGTAGGTTTAGGTCATCAACCAAACACGCAGTCAGATGCCAGACTCGCAATTGACAATCAACAGCTTGCAAGATAGTCCCTTGGTAGCAGCAAAGTGCAGTTGAAGAAATGACATCCACAAAGAAGCAACTCACGTCTCTGTTAGCTTCGAGACGAAAGGTAATATCTAAAGAAAAGGGTCTCCCCCAGAAAAAAAAAAGTTTCCTTTTCCCGACGGCTCGCCTCACAGGGCCAGCGTTACATGCATCTCGACGACACAGCCCCCGCAGGTTCTCGGATCCCAATGCTTCCCACCCCCCCTTTCCCACCGTCACTTCTTGTTTCGATCGTGGCCGCCACGTTTTTCCTAGCTCGGGTGGGCTTCTGCTTCGTCTTCGCAACAAACGTTCGCCATTGGAACCGTTTTGGCGAGCCAGAGGCGCACCTTTTCCGAACAGCCTCGAGCAGTGCTGATGGTGGGGACGGATTCAGGGAATAGAGCTCCCCAGCTAGCTTTTTGGGGAAATACTCGGGCTACCATCACAGACCATTGTGTGGAGATGGAGCCATTGGCCGTGCGGAGAAGTTTGCGGGGATGCTTTGGCTCAACTGGTGCCAGCGCTATGCATGCAGACAGACGCATGGGATTTTCGGGAATCATTGCCAGGGGTCGGCGAGTCGGAGCCGTGGTCCAGTGCCGTCAAGTGGCCTGAGCATGCCCATGTCAAGCTGCGTATAATATGAGGCGGTATGGGTTAGCGAAATGTGAAAGAGTCAGGCGGTGATGTGCCAGGAGAGCGGCACTTGGTTCCCCAGGATTCGGAAAAGCAATCAGTCACAAACGGATCGCCGCGAGAGCAACAGACGTTTTCCGTGTTTTGTGACAATCACTTGACAGCTTCATCTTAGTCTTCGGATAAGTTGAAGAGGTTACGTTGTAGTTGAACGTAGTTGAACACCAAATGAGCTGAAGTTGGGCAGAGAACTCCTGAACTCAAGGGCTTAGTCATCGGCTGGGGTAATGGCATCCATGTATCCAGGTCTAGGCTTCTGGTTATAACTCAAGATACAAGGTAAGCTCGTATCAAGACGGTTTAGCATAATGGATAGAAGTAATAGTCCTTTTCTCTTTTTACGCCAATTAATATTCAATGGCGGGGTTTATTCCAGACAAGCTGCCAGTAGGCCCGGGGCACATCCAAGTGAGCCTTGCCACGAGACTAAAATTAGCCGAATATAGTATCATAAAACAGCCAGCCATCAATCAAAAGTGCAAACGAAGCGAGGTTGCCAAGGCATAACGGCAAATCTATTGTTATATGTGAAAACTAACAAGACAAAGAAGAAGAAGAGAGGGTGCTAAAACTAAAAAAGCTAATATGTAGTAGAAGAAATCATGCCGTGATATATATAGCGGTGCCAGCACTGGCCCACAGCGTCTTGATTCCGCGTCTAATTCAATCCAAGTTTCCCATTTTTGATGCTTTTCCTCCTCTCCCGCCATGATGGAAAAAAAAATAGCCAGCTCGCCCTTCGTTGTGCTCGTAGCGTACAACAGGGCCTCTTTTGACGCAGTACAAATCATAAACCACTTGTCCCAAACATTGTTCTTTTGCTTTCGTGTTTCTTCAAACAAACAACAAAAAACATGACCGTTTAATACCGAAAAAGAAATGGAATATTTGCAACTCCATCCGTAGTGAAAAATATCGCCAGGGAGGAGGTCTTCAATCTGAACAGAATACTTCAAGTCGCTCGGAGCGTGCTTGCTCCAAGACTGAGTATCCGTCTCCCTTTATCTAAAAGGAGAAAGTGTATTGCTTCATGCGGTTTTACTGGCCCTCATGGGACGTGGACGATCCTCGTTGGCGTCGACCCACGCTCGCGCCACGGTTGGGGACATGCAACGATGGAGAAAGGTGGAGGGTGTCCTCAGTACGGCTCACGTCGAAGCTGGGGCCTCGGTAGCTAGAATGGCGGCCGATACCGTCCTCGTGGTGAGCGCCAAACTGAGATCCCGGCATCCCGGTCTGAGCTTCTTCGTCAAAGGTTCTTATTCTTGGACTTGTGCCCGACTGCGGGAAGGTCGAGTGCTGGCTGTCTATCGGAGTAAGGCCGGTCAAACCCTCTCCTGCTCGTCGTTTGCCACCACGCTGGCTGCTCTCCTTTTTCAAATCTCCCGCGCTTACTTCGTCTGATGGATCTCTAGACGCAATGGAGCGAGCATCAGCGTCCCACATGCCCGAGGTCTCGAGGACAAGAGATCGGTTGGTGTTGAGGGCTGCGACGGCGTTCTTCTCCGACTGCTGAATCTCTTCGGGGGTCTGACCCGCATTTGATGGGACCATTCGCGAAGCATCGGTTGCCTTGGCCGCCTTGTCTCGGCTGTCAGCAGCCCACTGGTCGGTTACGGCTACAGAGTACGTAGGATTCGTGGGTCCGCCCAAGGCCTCACCACCACCGCCAGGAGCGAGAATGGGGATCTTCTTCATAGCGACAGCCAGAGCACACATAAACTTGGAGCGACGAGTGGCCCGAACGCGGTCGTTGTGCCAGTTGGATTTGTGCTTGATGCTGATTTTCAGGGTCAACTTGTCAAGGTTATTGACACCGCCGATACCAATGCCAAAGTCGGGCTGGAAGTCTCGAGAGTTCTCGGGCGAGCGGACAAATTTCTCCATTTCGTTACGAAGGAGTTCGATATCTTCGAATGAGGTATCAAAAGAAACGTCAACGGAGAAGGTCTCCGACATGGCCTTGCTTCGAGTCACGTTTTCGATCCAAAGGTTATTGAGAACAATGTTTGGGACCTGGTTTAAATACGTTAGTTTGTCCCATAAAAACCCTATTCGGAGACGGCTTGTGTCCTTACCTGAGAGACTTGCATCTTGTCGGTGCGTGTGAAGACGGTGTACAAGAGGGAAATGCGGTCAACCAGCATCTGTGTACCTGAGATCTCGATGCGATCACCGACATCATAGGGATGCTTGACGAATAGAAAGATGCAAGAACCAAGGAATTCTTGGGTGGTGACAGCAAAGACAAAAGAAAGAGATAAAAGAGCGGTACCGGCGGTAGCAATGGTGGTGAGAAGGCTGCTGTTGAAGAAGGACAAGAAGATGAAGACGGCGATGAGCAGGACGACGAACAGCAAGACCTTATCAAATGCTGTGAGGGCCTGTCCAATATCCTTCATTCCTTCGGCAATTGCCTTTCTTTCCTTGCCCATCTCAACGACCTTGCGGACCATTTCTTCGAGGCTGATATCCCCATTGGCGTCAGTATCAATGGCCTCAAAGGCCTCTTCTGCCTCCGCCTTGTATGCTGGACCAAGAACCTCTTCGACGTCGTCTGGGAACAGAGCATCTCTGCCTTCTATGACAAAGGACATCCAGAGACGCCTGGCGAGAGCCTCAGACGATCGCTTCTTCTCGAGAGCTTCAATGACAATGGAGTGGGCCGAGTTGGGGTTGAAGACGTGCTTGCCAGTGATTTCACTCGCAAGATTGCCAAAGACAGACGTCACCTTGTCACCAAATCGGCCGACGTCTCCGATGATCCTCATAGGGGCCACGGCGCCAGGGACGGCGGACTTGCCAGCCTTCCGTCTAAGCATCATCTCGATACTATCTTCGATGATGTAGTCTTCTTCGGCAAACTCGTGGCAGTACATGGGGAACAGAGTACGGGAAGCATCATACAAGAGACCCAGGAGGTGAATTTCCCTCTTGGAGTCTTTGATGCGATTATCAAAGGACCGCTGGTGGTAAGACACACCGATGAGCTGAACAATGGCCTTTTCACCGAGAAGGATAGCGGAGGAGACGAAGCAGGCGCCGAGGACACGTTCGAGGTTGACAACCCAAGTAATGTCATCTGAGAAGGCCTGGGCAAAGATGCTCTTGAAGGTGAGCCAAGAAGCCAGGCCCCAGAAGAAGATGGAGATGACAATAGTCAGGTTGCTCAAGACGGTGGCGTACTTGCGAGTGCCAGCACTGACGATACCACAGAAGAACATGAAGGCGTGAGGGAGAAACCAGGCGGCGGCTTTGACACCCCATAGAGACAGCCAGGAGATTTGAATCCACAAGAAGAGCTTGAACAGAGGAGGACCTCTGCTTTTGTCGTGGCTGCCAAGGTAAATGTCGTTCTTGTGGCCGGTCAGAGGAAGTACAATGAGCGGGACAGCCAGCAAGATGCCAACCGGCACGACGTAGACCATGTACCGCGTGATGACTGAGAAGCCGACGATCTTGGCATAGAGCCGACCCATGGCGTTGAGCTTGGCCTCGTCGCCTGTCTGCCTACGCTTGAGGCTCTCATCGTCCATCTTGCGTCGACGGCCAGCATGGCGGTGGTGCATGCCATGCTTCTCGTTGTGCTCGTCATGGCTGCGGGTGCCTTGCATGGTGGGCTTCCTGGCTCCTGTGGTTGACGCGTTACTCTTGACCGTCGTCAAGGGGTTGAGGGGGATGCCGCCGTTGTCCATGTCGCGAAGATCGCCTCCGTCAAGAGGGATGAATCCAGCAGAGCTTCGTGAGGCGCGAGAGGCTTGACGTTGCGCCATGTGAAGTTTCCCCTACTCCGCAACAGGTGCACGCCTAGAGGTGGAGGGGCGGTGCACGTCGTTTTATACAGAGTACAAGCGTTGCCTACTATAAATAGGCCGTGATATGTTTCGAATTGACAACTTTGATGCCTTGAAAAGCTGGGGCTATTCGTTCTTGTGAAGATTGCAAGGATAGCTTAGGTGCCGTGGTTAAAGCTGAGGATATCCACACAGGACGTCGAGTTTAGTCGATGGTGTGCAAAAATGCTGCGCTACCACCTAATATGAACTGACAATCAATGCCACCGCAGGGGCATAAAAAGAACCGGCGAACGCGACGTTTCAGATACCACGGATGCAGAAGCCGTTGAAGACCGGCTCCAGGCTAATCAGGTTTGCAGGAAATGCACAATTGAGCTGATGGTGACGAGGAAGCACAAGCTGTCGTCGAGGAAATCGAATACGCAATGCAGTGCAAAGGTCAGAACAAAGGCCCGTGCCAACGGCTAGGATAGGCGAAGCGAGTGACAGTCTGCAAAGGGCAAACAGAACAAAGACGAGCGTGAAAGGGAAGAATAAAGGGAAGAGGAAGACAAAAAGGTAGAGCAAGAGGAAGTCTTGACAGGACCGTAGAGGAGCTGGGAGAGGGCGTAGTAAAAAGATGATTGGAGGCTAGGCAAAGTAGTACCGAGAACACTAGGGGTGTTTCAGGATATATAAAAAATGAGTGAACCAGGAGAACGAGCGAAAGACCCGGTCAGTTGGGTTAAAGAATATCAGTCCAAACGAGTGGAAGGGAGGAGTAGGAGGAGTAGAAATGTGGAGAGGGGATAAATGGAATCGAGCTGCAAAAACAGGCGATCTTAAAAGGACGAAGAAGAAGGAAAGGAACAGACTGAGTGAGTGGTGACTGGTGAAACAAGCTGGAGGTTTTGCTCGATCTCACTGGACCGTGGCAGGCCCGATGAAAGGGGCGATCGGCACAGGTTGCAGGTACATGCGGGCAGGTGCTGGAAAGGGCAAGGAAGTGCGGGAAAGTGCAGCGCTGCAAGTACCCGGTACCACCTGCAGGTCGCACGGAAGTGCTGTTAGTGGCTGGTGGCGGTACCTAGGGCGCTGGGCAGCGGAGCACAGGCGTGCCAGGTACTGCATACGAGGCGGCCACAGTGGAGCAGCCGCTAAGCTACGGGGGGCCAGTCCTGCCAGTCAGGCCCTGGCCAGCTGCAAAGAGCCAGGAACAGGTACATGTACTAGTCGCGGTGGCTGCAGGACGGCACGCATGGCGCACATGGAGGTACCGAATACCAGCGCAGGCTTCCGTGCTAAGCGTGTACCGATACGCACACTTGTCGCAGCCGGTGACATTTTGGCTGTACAGTGACATCTGTCGTCAGGAGTGCTAAGAAAAGCTCTCGTCTGCAAGGAACTTTGATACCACACGCACACGCAAACCTCAACTTGCTCATATCACGGATCATCAAACATCTATGGAACCAACTTCAAAACGATTACTACATCTTCCTTATCCGCTTTTCCGTATTATTTCTTCTTTTCTCTTTTAATTCCTCTCGTTTCCCAGCCCGGCAGTTCATCCGTCCACCAGCAGGGCCCCTCGTCCTTCTCTTCTCTTCTCTCGCCTCTCACAGACCACACAAAGCCTGTCCCAACCCCTGCCACAAAGAGAGGCTGTACAGTGGGAACGAACCACAGGCCACGCGACGTTTTTTTTCTTTTGTTTCCAAGGTTCAAGGTTGTCGCTTTGCTGCTCACTTCAGCTACTCTTGCAAAATGGATCTCTTGACTAATGAAGCTGCTGGATTGAAAATTGGACACGGATGGGGTCACGTCAGCCAAGTGGAGCTGCTTGTCATGGACTCGCGGATTCTGGCATTTTGCAAGATTCGCAAAGCAAAAAAGAAAGCCGAATGCTACCATCTAACGAGACACGGCTTTAATGAGATGGACACCCGATACGAGTTGCGGCTGCATGCGGTGCTATTTTTCAAGAATGCCCAACTATGGTCTTTGCTTTTCAGCTCGATTAATTCCCCTATTCTGTTTGCCTCACCCGCCATCGCGGCGATAAGTTTGTTTGTCTGGGACCTGGAACCGAATTGACACTCAAAAGACGAGCGAGAGACACACGGACGCAAAAAAAGAGAAAAAGAAATACTTTTTCACAAGTATTTACTCCGGGCCCATGGCGATGCCTCCACCAACACAACGGGGTGGGATCCATCACCAGGGCTGCTAAAGCCAAGACGGCATTGTCCAGAACTTGAGCTAACAACAGGTTGCAAAACGTTCTTTCACCCCCTTAAACTCCTCTCCTGGCGCTACACTCGCAAGACAAAACGGCGGCCAAAACCTTGTTCAACCGAGTTTGACATGTGTTCGCACCAGAGACGTTGAACGCCTTTTTTCTTCCTCCTTGCACCGGCCGGACTGAATCAGACACGGCCCGAGACACAAGACGACGCCTCCATATCAGCCAACAGCGGGACGGTCGTTATCTTGACGCCCACAACGCCACCGCTCTCTCTTGTACTCACTTTAGTCTGCTCAATGTGGTTCTCGTCCATTCCAAAATCAAGGGCTGATCGCCTCTGTCATTCCCACAACCGCCTAAACCAAGCCCTTGGTGTGCCATCCCGCTAGAGCACACCACCTTGGACGCGACTTATTAACGGCAAGCCAACGTGCATAAACACCATCTCACAGCATCATGCTCGTCCCATTTATCGCTCTATATCAAACGAAGCGCATAACAGCAATCAAATACAATTCGGGGTGCCCGTTTCCCGCATAGATCTAAAGGTATGACTCACGGTTTGCAGTACTCATACGATGATTTTAGCTACAATCTGGAGAACCACGGTCCCCCCCTCCGCAGTACGATCTAAGTTCAATAATTGCGAGAAAATGAAAAAACAAGGCGAAACAAAACACCTCCTCTACCGCTACGTATCTGCCCACATCCCGCCTCCTCCAAAAGCGGGGAGAAAGGCAAATCCCAGGCCCAACGCATGGTTCCCTCTGCAGATTGCATCGTGCAGATGCAGTGCATTCTCGTCCTGTCGTCGTCCTATCTTTCTCGTATCGCTCACTCACGCCGGTCCAATCAAAGCCCTGCGATCCTCATCTTGCTCACCCTTTGTGGTCCCATATTCCGATCACAACCAGACATTTCTCAAAAACGACTCAGATCAAAAAGGATCGCCCCGTCAGCTCTCTTTTTTGGTAACAGCTGCACCCCTGCTGTCGATCCAATCCGCACTCGTCATAACGCTGCACATCAAGGGCTCAAATTAGAAAAGATGAGTGCAGATGATGGTCGTGCTCCCCCTCATAAAAGAGGGAGATTGCCGAGGCTGCTTTTTTGGCTGAAAGATGAATGTGATGTATCCCTTATGATATCATCGGAACCATTGCGCATGCAACCTCGGATCGTGAAGCTGAACCCGCGATTCCCGCCCACAACCTCCACCGTCGGTGAGACGGAAACCAGACAAAGAGACCAAGATGAACCAAGCTTTGTCCTAAGATCCCAAACATAAAATATACGTGCCCCAGATCTCATATCGAAATACCCTACCGGACCGCAGTGGGTCGAAATGTGACGTTCTTCCACCATCATCATCGTTCTATTAATACCCGCACAATCTATCGCCTTGCTTTCAGCTCCTCAGCTCCACCCCGCGAAACCGGGACGGAATGCAACATAGCTATGTTATAGTATACCAATTGCTTAGACTATTCCGCAGAACCCGGCACCAGCAATCCTTCCAAGATCCCGATCGCGCCGCCAGAACTGTCGAATCACGGTCAAGTTCCCCCTGCGGAGAAAAGGCAGATGCACGAGATTGGAGCCCTTTTTTTTTTTTTTTTTTGTCGCAGAGCTTTCCCTTCCTGGGAGAAGATGGGGGAGCTGTTATGGGTGGGATCCATCACAGCTAGGTGTAGATGACGTAGAGCTACAGAACAAGTAAACAGGTGAGCAAGTAAAAGATAAAAATGAGAAGATTTGTACAAGTAAAAGATGACATGAAAAGATTTGTACAAAATGGCACAGGCGTTATCTGTGCTGTTCATTCTTCACATACTATATACTATAGTATATCTGCGTCATCTAATCTTTGGGGGATAATGTCGTAATGTGTACATATAATCTTCAAATCAAAGCAAAACAAGTCTCAATGATGGCCATGCTCATCCAAACAGACCCATCCATCCCATCTCCATATCCTTCCACTCTTAATCCGCTCATGATGAAGATACCCGAATACTCGACGCCAATCCAAAACAGTGCTTTGCCGCAAAACACAAAATAATAGAAAGAAAAAAACGCCAAAGGCTTTCAAAAACACATTTGACTTGGGGGTATCGCTTCCCACATGCGCCGTAGTCATCCCAATTCCGTCCGTTTCTTTCCGTGGTATCATGAGTCGAGAAAAAATGAACACACACACGCCCGCTAATCAACAACCCAAAACCCAAAAATCAACGCCTAAATAGTAACCAGCAAAAATAAAACGCCCCATCTGAAAATCGCAAAGGGGAAAATATTATCAAAATGATCTGAAAGCAAAAAAGGGGGTCCCAAAGAGATATCATGGTGTAGCTTCGGGAGAGAGCGATCTGGCGTTTACAGCCGCTGGTGTAAAGCCAACCATGTCCTTCAGCTCGACCTTGGCCTTGTCATTCTCAAACTTGTCTTCGCCTTCGTCCGTGTCGACGTGTTCGGCCACATCCAGTGTGTACAAGGGTTCGAGGGTCGCGTTTTTCTGAAGAAGGATCCATCGCTTCCACCACCACGGCAGCGTCTTGGTCACTTGGTATTTCATAAACACCCGAGTGGGCACCGCAAAGATGTAGTCCAGCTCTTCCAGCGTTCGTTGCTTCGTCTCCGGAAGCCAAAGGAAAATCATGACCAAGGCAATAATGTTAAAGAGCGCATACAGCCCAAACGAACCCATGACGCCCAACCTAGCAAGCATTAGGGGAAAGGTGATGGACAGCACGGCTGCCCAGAGAAAACAGGTCGCCACGGCAAATGCCATGCCTACCTCACGGTGAGACAAGGGAAAGACTTCGGCCGCGTATGTAAACGGGACGGGCCCTTCGCCGGGCGAGTAGAAGGCGGCAAACAGGTAAATGAAGAAGGCAACGAAGCCCAGATGAAGGCCACCCTGCCCGGGTATCAAGTTGCAAAGCCCTGCTGCCAGCAGCGTCCACGCCATCTGTGGAAAGGTGAATAGGAGCAGAGATCGCCGGCCAAAGGTGTCAATCGTCCACACGGCGGGGAAGGCAAACAAGAAGTTGACCAGGCCAAACCCCCACGAGGCCAAGAGCGCCCCAGTAGTGCTCGCTCCGGCGTCCAGGAAAACGGTAGACGAATAAAAGGCCATGATGTTGATGCCGCACATTTGCTGTGCAATCATGACCGTGTGGGCTGCCAAGGTTGCGCGGCGGACTCGGGGGATGGTAAAGAGCTCAATGAATCGGCGGAGGTAGTTGCCATTGCCCATAAACTCGGCCTCGACTTCGAGCTGGACGTGAATGTAGTAAATGTCACGGCCAGCTTGGACGGGGTCGTTCCGCAGGCGGAGCAAAGATCGCATCGCATCCCTGTATCTGTTCTTCTTGATGTACCATCGCGGCGACTCGGGACAAAAGTAGATGAGGACGACGAGCGGCACAGCGGGGATAAAGGCCGACCCCAGCTGATATCTCCACGCTTCTTTGCCAATTCCCCTGACGGCGAGGTTGGCGCACGTCCCAAGAAAGATGCCAAATGCGTTCCACAGTTGCCAACTCATGACGAGAGCGCCTCGAATAGGGGCCGGCGAGTTTTCTGCGGCAAAGATGGGCACTGTTCATTGTATCAAGTCAGTTTTACCGAATACGCCCTTATATGTGATTTGAAACAGCCTGAATTCAAGACTAGAAGAGATCAAGAAAGGCAACTTACCAGTAGATGCCTTTGCGCCCATCCCGACGCCCATAAACAGGCGGCATATCAACAGCCTAGGCCATGAATTGCAGAATGCGCTCGCTATCACCGGCCAGAGACAAAAGTTGGCAGCCACAAAGATGGCGCCCCGGCGGCCAAAGTGGTTATTCAAGGGATCTGACAACCAGCATCCGAGAAACGACGTGCCGATGTAGGGCGCGGCATTGACCAGGCCGACGATGAGTTTGTCATGGATGGTGTTAGCGCCGATGCCGTACGCCGTCGGGAAGTCGAGATTTGCTCCGTTGGATCCGGTCTGATCCCAGCCCTGGACGGCGGCGCCGACGGAACATGTCACGACGGTCAGGAGCAAGGTCCAGGGAACGCGCCACTTGTGCAGAACCTCGTTGCGGAGGGCATCAATCTCGCTCTGGCTGAGAGCTTCGGGGCCGGTGATGTCCTCGTAGCCGGTGGGATCCTGGGCCACCAGCGCGCCCTTGCGGATGATGTCGCGATGGTCCTCTAAGTTCTTGGTGCGGCAGAATTCGTCGACGTCGGCCAGCAGAGTTCGTCGCGGGATGCCGACGAGTGGGTTCTTGATTCTAAGACACGGAGAAAAAAAAGGGATCGGCAATTAGATGGGCTCCGAGATGAACGAATGGAGGGGCCTCTCACCACGTGGGAAACACGGGTGGGAGAAACATTTGTTACTTACTTTGCCTCTGTGTTTGCATTGAGATTGACACGCTGCGACTTGCGGCGGTCTTCTCCGGCCTCGGCCGAGAAGGACGACGAGACATGATATTCATTCGAGGCTCTGCGGGCGAGAGAGAGAGATGCGGTCAGCAGGTGACTTCAAGACGAAAAAGACACAGTGGATGGTATTGATAAAGTGTCATCATCACATCACCATCGATAACAACAAGAATAAGAACAAGAACAAGACAAATCATGTCTGGGGAAAGGAGAGCCATCACATACATGGTAATCTCGTCGACCCGGCTTTGCGACGATGATGACATGGCGGTGATGGGCCACGGCGAGCAAATCCGGGGAAGCGTCAACACACACAAAAGATGTGGGGATCTTCCCGATCCCCCTCTGGCAATCTCTCGCTCGAGCTGCGATTGCAGAGGGCGGGACGGAAGACGGGGGAGCGGATACGATACGTCGCAGCGAGTGGTGAGTTGGGTAGTGCGTGCAGCCTTGGGAAAATCGGCCCGGGGAGTTTTCTGGCTTTGATTCGAGGGCAAAAACGAGACTCGAAAGAAGGGGGATGGAGAAGGACGAGCGAAAGAGCTGGAGAGAAAGCAAGGAGCAGACGCAAGTACAATACAGTACAAACGGCTAGCCGGAGGGAATCAACTCTTTTGCGCGTAACAGAAAAGCCGGTTTGGTTATGGCTTGGGCGTCTGGTGCTGGTCTGGTCTGATCCGGTCCGGTCTTGGTCCACCTGGCCGCTTCGCTTTTTGTTCCTTGGACGTGGAGAAGCACCAGGAAGGCCGGGTGGAGCGCCAATAGTATGGAACTGTACTGTATGGATGTAAAAGCAGGTACAGGCAATAATTAGTAAGTCATGGAAGCAGGATGAGTGAGTTTTGGGGAGCAAGAGGGAAAAGGGCTGGCTAAGGAAAAGAAATCGGGCTAAACCGCTGAAGCAGTGGCGCCAGAACGATCAGAGCAGCGAACACACTGGCTGGGAGGCGAAGAAAAAGAATAGAAAACCCCGGAACGAAGCAAATGTCACACAGTGAGAGTGAGGCTTCAGGCCAGTTGAGTGGCATTGGCCCCAAAGGACTGGGGGAATCGCATGGGGGGATGGGATGGAGCCATCCATGGGCCGCTAGCAGGGATGGCGAGGGCTTTGGATTTTTCCAACGCAAAGGATTCCATTTGGTGCGGGTGCGCTGCGCAGTCTGTGGCCATGGCTCACTCTGACGCCGTCCGTCGGAAGACTAGGATGAGGATGGAGGCGCTTTTTCCTTTCCATTGAGTTTGTCGAGCGTCCGGGGTTGATTGCCCGCAAGAATAAGAAAATAGAACATTCAAGGAAAAGAGGCTTCTCGGCGTCTCCGAAAAAGAACAATAGGCTCAGCCAAAACACGTGGAACCGGCACGCGACAAGCCGCTCCCTAAAGAAAGAAAAGGCGACATGGAACAAAAACCCAAAAGTCTCAGTCAGATGGAGGCCAAGTTTCTGAGGCGAGATCAACTGCACTGTACGAGTACCGAGAAGCAAAAGGAACATGAAGCAGAGCACGAGTAAGAGTCAAGCCTTTTGCGGGGATCCCGTCTCACCAAACTGGGTGTCGCTTCTCCACAACTTGTCCCTTCGCCCGCAAATCGCAGCCAGTCACAACGTCTGATTTGCGCCTCCCAGGGGGGCCGGTTGGTGTCAGTGTGCACCAATACAGTATAATACAGTGTGGATATTGGGGTTGGGGGCTCTCCAGCTGTCAATAGCGGTTGGTGGCAACTGAAGCTGACAGCGTTGTAGCAGTGAGGTGGACTGCCCAGACCACCGGAGCGGACATCCAGTGTTGCAGCGGGCGATCCCATTAAATTGCACGGGCTGGGCTCAATGATCAATGCTGCTGCAACCCCACAGCATGGGCCAAATGGCCTCGTAGCGTTCAAGTTAAGAGTGTGCAGACCAACCAACACTTTTACACTGCCGATCTCGAATTAGCATTCATGTGAGCTCTCAAGCTTGTAATTTATATCCACAGGTTATATATAGCATAACAATAACAATACCAAAATAATAAATTGGGAAAAATACATTCCAAGAAACTGTCATAAAAGGCTAAAGCACAGCTTCCATCTCACCAACCCGCAACACCCATCGTTTCTAGAGCTTCATCTAAAACCCGGGGCGACGTAATTATCTGACAGCTCCATGACACTATCGAACCTTAACCTTAAAGGTGGCCCGATGTTTTATGGACATCTTGGCATTGCATAATAAAGCAACGCATGGTCCATCGAATCCGCCCTATTTCAAAACAAAATCTCATTTCATTGTACGCTCCCAAGTATAACATCATCAACCGCTTTATAATACTAGCAGCACAAGAAAACTTCCATCCATACCAGGGGATTCTAAGAAATCAAGCTTCTTCCAATCATAATCAGCATCACTTCACGTCACATCACCTCACCGACCGTTCTGGTATACTCATACTGAGCCGTCGCCCACTCACACAGTTCAAAAGCAGGTATCCGGAACATAAAAGACCAACATGCCTCCCGCCTCACTCATTTTCCCTCCCTCCGCAAACCTCAAGTCTTACAGGCAAACAATCTCCAAAGGTGACAAACATTTGCTCCCATCACACTCCAATCACTCCACAAAGACAGCATGAGCATCCAAACGCAAAAGGTCAAACCGAATTCAACGAGGCCTGCAAAAAGCCCTTCTCGTCATTTCTCAGCTACCTACACCAGTAGCAGCCTAATGCAATTGATATCCAAAAACATGACCAAATGATTGCGGTCACAACGCCATTGTGCAGAGAGGCTAGCCAACAGCTCCCAGCTTGATATACCTTTGGAATAAGGAGGTTCCGTCCGTCCTTCCATGCCGTCGCCAAGTGTGTACCCATGTATGTATACCCCAAAAAATCTCCATTACCCAAATTCCGTTTCCCCCCTCCGTATCATGCAACAAAAAGGGCGCCGGGATTCCTCACCAAATGAGAAATATGAATGACATGAAATGAAATGACATGGAAGAAAAAGAAGAGGAAAAGAAAAGAAGAAGATGTGAAAAGACCAAAAAGCAAATAGGTATCGTGTGGGTGCGCTCAGGTTTCTCTCCTCATCGACTCCATCACCTTGTTCTGCATCTCAAAGAGCTCCCGGTCACGCTTCTCTATCTCGTCCATGAGAGCGCCATACTTGGCCTGCCACTGCTCCGATGTCAGATTCCCTGCCGCCGACGGGCCGCCTTCCTCCGACGTCCCGACAGACTCTCCCGGCCCCGGCTTCTTCCACATCGTAACCGGCACGCTATGGGTCATGGTGAACTGCCCCTTGAGGTGGCCAAACCGATACTGCCAGTCGAAATAATAGGTGTAGACACCCTCCGAGGTCTCGACCCGGTAGCACCTTGGACGGTTGGTCATGAGCATCTTTGCGCCGCATAACGCCGCCAGGTTGATCAGAAACGCTTGAGACGACTCGGCATTCTTGTACATGTGCTCCACCGTGGCATTTACCATGGCGGTGCACTCGTCCATGCCAGCAATTTCTTGCTGGTTACCCTGGGGATCCACCCAGTCTGAGTTGTGCAGCACATGAGTAAAGTAGGATATGAGCCCGTCTACATTGGTACGATCGTCTAAATCCTCAAAGAAATATTGAGGCACGTCCTTGTTGGACGTTGAGCCAGCTTGGCTGGTAGCCCCAGCAGAGGGTGGAACGGCGTTGGCCTCATACACTCCCGCCACTGGTGGCTGCGAGAACGGATCCCACCCATTAGCCTGCGGTGCAGGCGGTGCCTGAAGAGGAATTCCTTGGAGCGCCGGAGGATCGTTTGCCGGTAGGTCATTGACGGGGACCATGGGCAGCGGTGGGGGGAGTGGTGGCGGCAGCGGCGGCGTTGCCAGCCGAACTGTGCCTCCCTGCCTCTCGGGAACCTGCAGAGAAATAGCAGGCCGAGCAGGTCTAGCATTGTCAAGCGGGCTGATGCCCATGCCGGCCACGGGGAGGTTAGAAGACGCAGGGGCCGCAATGATGTGCACCTGTGACGGCGCCCGTGCTTGCACAGGCGACACGGCATCTGCGCGCGGAGCAACGACTTGATTGCGAATCTGTGGGTGCATCTGAGTCACGTCGGGAGTCATCGGTATGGCGTCCTTGGGCACAACGGCCACGGGGCCATCAGATGGATTGCTGTCGGGGGTCGGAGCCCACGATGTCATGGGCGGAGGGTTAGGAGGAGAGGGCTCCACGGGTGTGCGATTAATCGGAGGCCTTCCCCTTGGTTTGACGCTGGCATCAGCTCCTCCAGGTTTCCACGCCGAGGATACGTTCTTGGGTCCCCGCCTATGGGTGGAAAGCTTGGGCTTGGATGGAGAGATGGCAGACCGGGGCTCCAACGCATCGTCCCAAAAAGAGCTCCTGGTTGAGGGTGTTATAGCGGAATTGGGGTACCGAGAAAGCGGAGTCTGCACGGAGTCGTTGAAGCCCCAAGCAACTGCGGCGCCGGGTCTCGAGGGATCCATCGGCACGCCCTGGGCTCGTGCATCTGGATGAGCCGACCACGTCGCCCGAGGACCATCAATTGCAGATGGAGGTGATAGGCGCTGCCGCTGAGCCACCGGAGAGTCGGTCCTGTCGTCCGCCTCGGGCCTCTTACGGCCCCTCTTGGGGCGAATATGGGGTAAAAGAGCCCTCAGGGCCATGTCATCCTCGATGGCAACGCCATCACGAACGGGCTGCCCTGTGGGATTTGGGTCGTCTGGAATCTCAGTCCAGTAATCGTTGCTTATGCCCATGAGGTATTCGAAGAACGCCTTGACATGCATAGAATTCATCCATTTCTACGGCATGTTAGCGGCTCGTCATCATTGACCAAATGACGGAGATGATGGCGGGAAAAGACAATGAAGAGCGCACAAGCTGCCGACGAGGACATACCTTTAAACGGACGCCGTACTGGGCAACCTTTTGGGCGCTTTCGTCCTTGGACAGGTCCGGCGGCTCGACGCCGAGCCTGGTGGTGAGTTCGGTCCATGTCTTGATCTCCTTGCGGTAGAATCTCTGGACCAGGTCGAAGATGAGAAAGGGGCTGAAGCTCTTGCCTCCACTCTTCGGGGGGTTTGCAAAGGCCTCTCGGAGGCTCTCGGTGTCGGCGTCGAGCGGCAGCGCCGGGTTGCAGTAAAAGATGAAGCGCACAAAGGCGTCCTCGAGAGTGTCGGGCGTCACGTTGCGATCGGGCAGGGAGGACCGCTGGACCATGGGGCGCGGGTTTGAGACAGCCATGTTGGTCTGCGTCGCCACGGCTTGCGGAGAGGACATTGTTGCAAGACGCCGTGCTGAGCTCTCATGTCTTTCTCCTGCCCGTGTCTCTGTGTGTCGCTGCCCGCAATGCCTCTCCCTCAACGACGGCCTCTCCGTCTCCGTCTCCCTCAGCTTCTCGTATATCGTCTGTAGCCTCTCGTCGCCTTTTGTCGGTGCTTTTGTCGTCTCTCCCTTGTCCGCGGAATCGTTTCGTTCAGACGCGCCCGCAGTCAGTTCGGCTACTTGACCACGAGCAGGGCACTAGGACATGGCGCAGCTTCCCGACAGCGACGCATCAGCTTCAGTCCGGGTACTGTAAGGCACGGCAACGGGGGGTGATGATGCGAGCGCCTGGCGGTCAAATGGAAGGCCAATTTCTCGTGGACTGTCGAAGATACGGATTTGCTTCAAGGGCAGAGCTGGAGCAAAAGCCCAAGTGCAAACATGACGTTTCGCGGCGAGGAGCGTGGCTCGCTAGTCGCCTTGCCGTGGCTGAAATCATTGGCGCAGCGGCACCCGCCGGCGACAGTGCGCAGGGCTAAATATAGCACCGGAACATGCTAACGAGGGCGGTTGAGCTGCAAGCCCAGGGAGACGAGACGATCCCACGGTACAGTAGCGTGCTGTGATTGATTGATTGACTGATTGCCGTGTTCCTTGCTTGCTTGCTGAGATGGCGGTAATCATAGTCTAGCTGTGCTATTTTGATTGATTTGATTTGATTTGATTTTGGTGTGCGCCTGCAGGTAGCTTTAGCAGCAGGCTAATGTCCGATGCATCTGCATATTATTACATTCATTGATCCATACTACTAGCACTATGTTGCACATCATATCCCACGGACTGCCAAGGTAGGCAAGAAATAGTAACGACTGCTCGCACATTGGCAGTAGTCTAAGACCAAGGTTAATTCAGCAACGCAACTCTGGCGCCGCCACAATTCCAGCAGTCCCAAATTCTCGGTTGTAAGTGACGAGTTAGATTCCCTCGAGCAATGTGCGAGCATCTCCCCTCGCGCACGTTGCACGCCACTAAAAGCCCGCGCTAAGCCGTCGGAAAGAGATGGGCTGGAACAACTGACAAGTCAGCTCGTAGCCGTTTTTGTCTCGCATCTCGGTCGGGGAGAGGGAAACAGGAGGCTTTTGCTAGCTGGCCGTTTTCATTTCCCTCTGGACAGACGGGCGAGTGTACCAGCAGCCCCCCTTGGCAATTTTTTGGGGTGGTTTGGCCCAATCATGAGACGCAAAGGTGACTGGAGAATCTGAAGGAACCATGCACAACATCCCGTGTGAGTGGCCAATGGGAGGGCGGGGATTTTCTTGAATGAGAGCTTCTCCTTTTTCCTGCTTCTCCGTGTTTAATTTGTTGCTGCTAGCACTCCATAGTGGGTGAGGGAATATAGCAATTGGGATCAAGTATGAAGGGGTTGATACAGCTGCTCGCTACTGAAATTCGTCGGAAGAGGTTAGTACTGCTGGGTAGTAGTAAGCACCGGATAATAGCATCTGATAGTAGAAGAATGAGGATGAGAAAGCAATAGAGAGGAAAAGGAATGGTTATCGCAGCAATGCACTTTACCCTATCAGCTATGACGCAAGCTGGTAAGACATAAGACGGGGGATTTTCCTACCGCCCTGGAGAGCTGCGAGTACGTACCCGTAATATTAAGCAGCAAGACACGGAAAAAGCCGTCTGCCCCAGCGAAAGTGCTGTGAATCTCACATATCTGGGGCGCAAATCACATGGAGATCATCTGGCTCGGATATCTCGCCTAGCTTACCTACCCAAGCTACCCTAAAGGACAAATATCGGCATTTTGCTTTTTGCTCACATCACATCCTATGCTACATCTTCCTTGGAAATGTGAAGAAGGAAGAAGAAGAAGAAACAAAGCACGTTTTCTTTTGCTAATATCATGCCATCTCGGATTCCAGCGGCAAAAGAAAGAAAAAAGAATACCTTACTCGTACGAGAAGCAATCCAACAAAAAACCCCAAAGTAGGGAAAGGCATAGGTCCCTTACTGCAGAAGCGGAAGAATCCATCGACGCCTTGTTTCTGATCAAAAGCGTCACCTGCATGTGTAATTATTGCAATTACTCATTCCCTGGCGATCGTAACGGGAAATATTTTCCTTAGCCGTCGCCGTCACCTCGGTAGAACTTTAGACCATTGGGTGTAGATTTTGGTCACCAAACCCAACATTGAACACTTCACGCACCAAAATCTTGCACCATCGCCGAGGTTGGTTCCCACAATAATTCCAAAGGATCACAATTACTAACCACTGCTGAATTAGGCTTTTGCGTGTGCCCCCGCCGGCAGCTCCACGGTAACGCAACAGCAGCGTCCAGCAGATACATACATCAAAGAGCGGCTAAATCCGGCAACTGATGCTCTAAACTTCCAGGTTAACAAAAAAAAAAACTGGATCGTCACGCCCGCCCTGCGAATGGCGATTGGGTTTCGCATGAGGAAATTGATCCCGTTTCGGCGAGGGCCGTTTAGTAAGCCGTACGCCTTACAAATGGCTTCCAGCGAATGAGTGGGGGTTTCTGTGACGTGCTCGCAGTAACGTCGAGCCACTCAGCATCATGACGGTGGTTTGGATTTGAAATCGAGCGGCCGATACCTGTCGCGTGTGTATATATATATATATATATATATCTTACAGAGTATAGAATTCGAATATCAATATCATCTACAATCTACATCTCAATCTCAGCGTGGGCATTGAACAGCCAAACACAATTACATATATACCCTCTTATAACTCACAACAACCACCCATACATACAAATCCTCAACCCCGCCATTGAACATCCAAAACACCAAGACAACAAACACCCCATATCACCACATATAATATAACACAAATACACACAGCCATGGCCGTCATCTCCAGCATCCCCCGCGGCGACGTCACCGCCAACCTCAACTACTACACCGCCCCAACCGACGGCTCCGCGCCCTACAACCTCGTCGGCGACGACCACCCCGCGGACCTCCCCCGCCGCAACTACGGCGACGACTTCCACGACGTCGTCATCCACGACATCCGCGGCTCCGAGTCCAGCTTCACCCTCGACAAGGACGCCTTCCAGCTCATCCAGGGCGTCCCCGCCTCCGCAGAACAAGATTTCGTTGAGGATACTTCTATTCAGAAGAAGTACTACCCAGAGGTCGAGAAGTTGCTGTTGGAAAACATCCCCGGCGCCGACAAAGTCTACATCTTCGATCATACTATTCGTCGGTCTAATCCGGATGCTCACCGAACGCCCGTTTTGCGCGTGCACATCGACCAGACCGCCGCCTCCGTCGAGAAGCGCGTGCGCAGGTACTTCCCCGACGAGGCCGACGCTTTACTCCAGCGCCGCTACCGCATCGTCAACGTCTGGCGACCCCTGAACAAGAACCCCGTCGAGGCAAACCCTCTCGCCGTGGCATCTACTTCCACGCTTGACGAGAAGGACGTTATTCCCATTTCGCACCGCTACTCGGACGGCTATATTGGCGAGACGGCGGCCATCAACTACAACCCTAATCAGAAGTGGTACTATGCTAGCGGCATGACTGGTGATGAGCGCTTGTTGATTGAGTGTTTCGACAGCGAGTCCTTGAAGCCTGGGTCTGGTATTGGCGGACGTGTGCCTCACACTGCCTTTACTGATCCCAGGACGAGGGTGGATGCCGAGGGCCGCGAGAGCATCGAGGTTCGTGCTTTGGTGTTTGGCAACTAAAGGAAGAAATATGATTGAATTTTCTGTACTTGGGTTAGAGTGTATGCATGTATGGTAGATGGTGTCACTTTTTTCTTTTGTGTTGGGTTCATATTAGCGTTGCACAGATGAGACAAGATTGCGAACATGTAATAACAAACAGTCATTTCCCTTTTATTTCGTATCTCTGCCTCTGGAACTCCCTACCGCGTGAGAAGAACCTGCCGCCGACAGTGACTGTAGCATTGAACCTGGGATAACAATCCATCCAGGCCGATAAAGCAAAAAGAAAAAAAGAAAAAAAAAGAAAGAAGAGCAAAAATGATGGCTAAGAAAAAGAAGACAAGAGAATAGAAAGCGTTCCTCACTTTCGATCCGCCCCCCCTTATTGTCTTCTCCAAAGGCCGTCTCCACCCCCAACTCGATCTAAGCATTACTGTATAACAACAGCAGGCCTCCTGACCCGATCCCCCTAGTCACCATACGAAAAGAGAAAAGATCGAAAGAAAGATGGAGAAGATGAGAAAGATCATCGTGTATAAAACGAGGAACTTGTAGATACAATGACAACGAAAAAAAGAAATCCAGATACCATCCCTCTTTGATACCCCAAAGCAGCCGTGACTAGCCGCAAAAAACAACCAAGTAAAACCACATCACACAGCGGCAGCAGGAAGATCAGAAACCAAAAAGCAAAATGAAAATGAAATTTGGGATTGGCATACAAACAACAGAAGGAGAAACTTTAGGTATGAGAGTGAAAGAAAAGAAGAAAACAAGAAGAAAACACACAACATATGCTGCTCCTCCAATGCCCCCCTTCCAAGAGGGGCAAGATATAGATAGGTCGAGGTATAATAAGAGAAAAAACCCGGGACGCCAGCCGTCGCTTCGCCATGCCGTGAAATGCACATATTCCTTTACTCTTTTCCCGTTTTTGTTAGCCCTCAAAATGTGACTTTTTTTTCATCTGCCTTGTTGCTATAGAGGCAGTGTGCATGCGGCTCAATTCAGTCAAATGCAATGACTGTGAACGAATGGGGTTTGAGTTCAACCTCGGCGGCCTTTTCCACGACCACTACCACTGGTACCCTGGCGGCTCATGGCAACGCCACCTCCCTGAGCGCTGCTCTGTCGGCTCATTGGTACTGCAGCTGCTGATGATAGAGCGGCTAGGGAGAGACTGGCATGGATTGGGCTGGGTTGATCGCGGATGTTGCTTGAGGGAATGCCAAGGGCGTCACGGAGGTACTCTGGGTCGTCGCGGGCAGCACTAGTAAAGGCGACATACCGACCCTGGTGGTACGGGACGGCCACAGCCTCGAGAATCCTTCGGAGACCGCTGGGCGCATCGAGGTGGGCGCCGGGCTTGTGGCTCTGGTCGTACTGCTTGAAGAAGCCCATGACGGAGAGATCGGAGGCAATGTCATCCTGAGACAGAGGCACGGGGAAGTTCTGGTCGGCAGACCTTGGGTACGGCTTGAGGTACTGCTGCGGCACTGGAGGCGGCATCTTGGGCGGCTCCTGGGCGTGGATCAGATCCAGGTTGGCCGGGAGCTCAAAGTTAGCAATGCCCTCGATGCCCAGGATCTTGTCATCCAAAAAATTCTGGTTCGCGCCACCCCTAGTGCTGCGAGTTGCGTGCGAGACCTGGCGCTCCATCATGGGGGCGGCAGAGGGCTGCGAGTCGGCATCGTCCTTGTCAATGTCGTTGCCGTCGCCGTTGCCCGAGTCGCTACCGTCGGGAGAAGAGGCAGTGCCATTGGCGCGGTTGCGCAGCACATACTGGTGAGCAGCCAGGGCGGCCGTGTTGTAGTGAAGAGACAGCTCCTTGTCAGTGAAGAGCTTGTCGATGCTGTAGACGGGGCCGTTCTGCTTGGCAGCAGCGCGCGCCTTTTCTGACTGCCACAGCGGTGTCGTGCTGTTGGGATCGAGGGCTCGCCGCGAAGGCACCGGCGATCCGTCGTCCTCGCCCTGGTTGCGCTTGCGCTTCTTGCCGTCGGCGTAGACCTGGAGATCTTCGGCATCTTTGCGCAGGCGAGTCGCCCGCTTGCCATGGGCACCGCCGGGGCTGGCGGGGTTGGTGAGGCTGAATTGGTTGGGATTGAGCAGCAGGGCGTTGGAGTCGTTAATCTCCAGCACTTCCTTTTCTCGGTTCAGGCGGTTCTTCTTTTGTGTGAGGCTGTTGATGAGCCGATCGCGGAGCGTCTCGGTCAGAGCTCGGTGCTCCCGCTTGGCCGTCTCGACCTTGTACGCGTGCGTGTTCTTGTACTCTTGCACCTTGCGTTCGTATTCGTTCTAGTTTGACAAAGGCAGACATGTGTTAGCCGGTGATTATAAGTGACGCCATGATGCAGGGCAGGGCAGGGTTCAGAAAAAATAGGGTTAAAAAGCAAAGACGAGAGGGACAAGTATCATGTGTGGTCTCCTCTATCTCTTGCGGTATTCGTGTACATGTGTATGAGTGTGCGTGTGATTCTACTCACCTTGGACTGCACCAGCTGGAAATCGCGAATCTCAATTAGATCCTCCACCTCGTCAATGAAGTCTGGGAAGCGGATTCCCGCCATGTCCATGAGGCTCCGGGCGCCATCGGCAAGCACCGGCGGCCCCTGGGCCTGTCTGTGTTCCTGGAGCAGCTCGGCGGCCTTCTCGAGGGCGTTGGAATCATACGGGTCGAAGCGCTGGACCAGGCCGACCTCGTACTGGATTTTCTGGAGCTGGTCGCGGTACGTCAGGTCTCGGTCGCGCTGCAGCTTGTCGTTCAAGGCAGACAGACGGTCGGCGAGAGCCTGGCGCTTGCGGTCCCGCTTGGATTGCGAGGCTGCTGCTGGAGAGGGCCGATCCAGCTTGACGCCCACGGCGGAGGCGATTCCTTCGCTCGCCTCCATGGCGGATCAAGGGAGCAGAGCGAGAGAGGCTGAGAGAGAGACGCTGAGAAGCGTGGATGCCGTCTGAGAGTAGTATTTTTCTTGTGCTTGAAGCTAGTAAATAGTGTATATGAAGAGATTCTGCAGACGGCAACGAGAAGAATAAATAGCTTGAGTGAGAATAGCCGCGAGCAGAGGTTTTGCGTAATGGCATGCAAGTCGACTGGTTGTGAGGTTTCGGAGCAAAAGGCTGGCTAGGGTCTTGCGTCTAAGTCCCGGGGGTGTTAGTGAGTGGTGTGGTTCTGCCGCCTTTTTATGGATTTTCTCAGCGCCAGGTCAGAGGCGCCTCAGATCCAGCTCAACTCTAATGGCAGCGACGAAGCTTGTTTTTTTTTTTTTGTCTCTTGTACAGCAGAAGTTCTACTGAGTAAATAAATAGTTATAATTAAACAACTTGCTGTATTTTTAATCTACAATGCTTTTCTCTCTTTTTCCCGGCTGCAATGAATCCTGCGTGATTTTGCCCTTTCGCCCTCTCGCCCGTCAATTCTGCCCTGCGTGACCTGCCTGCCTCCAGTCCCAGCTCCAGTTTCTCTTTCTGGCCGCCCGCGAAAAAAAGCACCTGCATGACCATTTCGGGCAGCTTCACCGCCCGCAGATCGGGACAGTTACAAACGCCCTGTGATTGGCCCGCCCGGCACAACCGCACTTGATTTGTCGCTGCGAGTGTCTTGTACATTGGCTTAGTGTCTTGTACATTGCTTTGTCGCTTGCCCGGCCGCGTTTCCAGGTACTCTGTACTGGGGAGTTACCCGCGGCTAGCGATACGTGCAACTGCGAACCAGCGCACGTCTAATGGGCGCTATGCCATATGTGGAAGCAACTTGGGCTTCCTCGTTGCCTTTCCCGGCATCAATGGAGTCAATGGAGGAAGAGCCCAGAGATGGTAACTATGGTGATTCTGATATAGTTTCATGCTGGGAAAGCCAATGAATGAATTCATGATTGAGAACTTTAAAATGATTTTGTGATGGAGTAAATAGTAATTAATTTGCTCTTTGAAGGAGCTACAATGGGGTGAAATCGTGTCATACATACGACTAATGTATTCATCCCAGATTGTCGTGGTCTAAGATACCTCGTCCATTTTTCGTATCTCATAATGTCTGGATCTCCCAAAGAGAAAATATAGATATACACATATCATGTATGAATAAACACTCTTCCATAAACTCACAAGCCACCGCGCAATTTCTGCAGCTGGCTCATCAGCCCAAACCCTCCCGGCAGCGCCTTTGCCTCCTCCGCCATGGCAACCTCCCTCGTCGTCACGCCACTGCTACCGCTTCTCTCATGCCTCGACGCAATACCCTCGCTCCTCTTCGTATCAATCTCCTTTAGTAGTTCGCGGTGCCTGTCCTCCACCATCTTAGCCAGGCTCTCGATAAACTTGGTCCTGCCCCTCTCTTCCGCTGTGCCATTCCACACTGTAGTCAACTGCTTAAGCTGCTCGATTCTCTCCGCTGCCTTCTCAATGCCCGAGACGGGGTCTTGCTTGTTGTTGAGCAATGTCGATATCTCGTCTCGTAGCTTCTTGAGAACTTGCTGGCCCTTCTCCTCCGAGCTCTGCAGGTCTGATCCAGGCTCTGGCGCAGAGACAGACAGAAACCCTGAACTAACGGATACTTCCGATGGCGGAAAGGTGAATTCCATGGCGTCGCCGAATATCTTGATGACGGAATCCAGGCGCTCACGGACGAGGGTGAGCGTCCGCAGCTGCTTGATAGACTCGGGCTCCAATCCCTCAGCACCGGCCGCTTGAGCTTCGGGTTTCGCAACTGCTTTCGCCTCAGATTCGTCTCCACCATCTTCCATGGGCTTCTTCTTTTCTTTTGGCTTCTCCTCTTCTTCTTTCGTCTCGCCCTCCTTTTGCAGCCCTCCCGGCACAAACATGCTGATCTGGTCAGCCAGCTTCTCAAACAGCAGCTCCTCCAGACTCAGCGCCTCGCCTCGCAGCATCTCCACCTCATAAGACATCCTGCTTCCACTCCTGAGGATATCATCGGTGATCTGCGTCAGCGTGTCCGACAGCCTCGTCGTGTGAGCATCCAGCTGCGACAGAAGCGTCTGGGCCTGCGTGGCGAGTTCCGCAAGGGGCACGGCATTGTGATTCGACGGCACTGGTGCCTTTTGAGCCAGCGGCGGTAAGCTGGCGTTGATGTATGAGATTGGGTCGAAGGAAGGGTTGAGAAAGTCTTGGAGGAATTCATCTGATGTGTGCTGTGACTTGGGCTCAAAGGCCAGCTTTTTGGAGCTGCCGTCCTGCGGTTGTTTGACGTCGGTTGCCATTGTCTATTATGAGCAACGAAGAAAAAAGAAATGGATTAAAGAAGAAGAAACTACAACATGTGTTTGAAAAGTAAAGATTAATTCGATCATGAATTGCAACTTCAATCAGGTCATCCGCTCTGGCATTAACATCAGTAAAGAGAGGATACTGTATTGAGGTCACTGTCCGGAAGGCTTACCGAATTGAAGTTAGAAAACCCCCCGATACAGCCGATGATAAGCCGACCTCGGCCACAACTTCTCAACCTGTGTGTCATTGCTTCATGACATTTTCATTCATCATCTCCCCCCAGTTCACAACCACCCAGAAAAGTATTTATTTTTTCTTAAATCTCACATCTCCTCTCAGTCTTTAAAAAGTCTCATCTCATGGCGTGCAGAAAATGAGTGACGAAGTCCCCGAAGAAATGAGAATCGACCCCACCAGAGCTCAAGCTCTCATCTCCCAACTCAGTGCCGTCAAGGAGCGCGTCGCAGCAGCCGCCAACGGCCGAAATGTAAGCACTAGAAACGGTTCATGAGTATGATGTTCTTCTATATACACGGTTTCTGGTTCTTCTCAGTCAGACAAATTAAATATCCCTTTGCTAAGAAGCAAACAAGGTCCGCCTCGTCGCCGTCTCAAAGCTAAAGCCGGCCGTCGACGTCCTCGCCCTCCACCAAGCTCCCGCCTCCCACACCCACTTCGGCGAAAACTACGCCCAGGAACTCGCCCAAAAGGCAGAGCTTCTCCCCCGGTCCATCCACTGGCACTTCATCGGCGGCCTGCAGTCCGGCCACTGCAAGAACCTCGCCAAGATCCCCAACCTCTTCTGCGTGTCCAGCGTCGACTCGCTCAAAAAGGCCCAGCTGCTCAACAAAGCCCGGGTCGCTAATCCTGCGCTCGAGAAGCTCAATGTTCATGTACAGGTCAACACTTCGGGCGAAGAGGCAAAGTCTGGCTGTGCTCCGGGGGAGGAGACTGTTGCGCTGTGTCGTGAAATCGTCCAGAATTGTGCTGGGCTCAACTTGCTCGGCCTCATGACCATTGGCGCTATTGCTCGCAGCCGTGCCACTACTGCGGAGAATGAAAACGAGGATTTTGAGGCTCTAGTGGCTCAGAGAGATTTGGTGGCCAGTGAGCTCGGCCTGAGTCCTCAGGATACACTGGAGCTCAGTATGGGCATGAGCGAGGATTTCGAGGGAGCCATCGCTCAGGGAAGCAGTGAAGTGAGAGTGGGCACCACCATCTTTGGACAGAGGCCTCCGAGGACAAAAGCGTGAGAGTTATAAGATGGAAATATTAAAAAAAAAAAACCATATATATATCAGACGTAAATAATACAAGGCTAGTCACAATGTGAAGCCACTTCAGCAGGAGACATCATGTGTCTCATTCAGAATTACGATCGAACCGCAAAGAACTCATCAAGCATGAAAGAAAAAAGGAAGTTGGTATCAGCAATTAAGTCCCCTTTTCATGACCATCATAAGTTACAACTTTTGGTTGGCTAAAAAGATGGAAAAAAATAAAAACAGCCGCTTTCATACGGGGGCAAAAAACTAAACTACATACAGAGAATAAAGGCTCCTCAGTCTCGCCCCTTCACCGACTCCAAAAACTTCGTCCAAGGCACTTAGTATCATCCATCATGCTTCTCTCCCAAACGCCAATATGCTTCCATGCGTGCCAAGACATTTCCTAGTCAGTCATGTAGTTGTAGTTATTGTCACATATTCCAAAAAAAGATAAAATAGAGAAACCAAGCTTGGCTCGGAAAAGAAAAAAAAAGAGGAATAATAGATAATTAGTTAACCATTACACTCCCAAAAGCGTCAGAGATGTCTTGTCGTGTTGGGGGGTCGTATCTCTCGGGCATCGTTGACACTCCGACGGACAGTCGCTCTTGCATGAGCTTGAGAAGAACCTGAGGTACCGACTCATCGGTGGCTCGGATCGTTAACCGAATCATCTTTTAAAGATCATGTTAGCAGTGCGATCTTCTTGTATGACATGACAAACATTTCAAGGGAATTAATGATGATGGACGATCAGGGCAAAGGTGATTAAGGTTTGTCTCATGACCCGTAGGTTCTGAAGTAGCAAATACTTTGATTTTGCAAAACATCATGTCGAAGAAATATTCATGGAAAGAAGATGAAATAGAAGAAGATAAGCTTACCTGAGTGCCGTAATTGGGCTCCAGTCGCATGAGACAACCAAACTTGCCGCCCTCCGAGGTATGAAGCACGCTGGCGCCGACAACGTTCTTGGGGTTGGGGTCAACCAAGTCAAGGAGGCGCCATCTAAAGCCCTCGACCGTCGAGGCCACGAACTTCTCGGTGAGTTCCCTGGCGCTGTTCTTGCCGCCAGAGAGACCAAAGATGCCCTGAGCCTCTCGGGAACCGCCACCAATCTGCTTCCACCGCTTGAAGAAGTCCTCAGCAGAAAGCTCCGCAGGGTCCATAAACTTGTGAATGGTGACGGGGAGCTTCAGTGTGAGTGCCTGCAGCGCGCCAGCCAAGTAGCTGACACGCATCGTCGGACTCTTATCAAACACCTTCTTGGCTTCAAACATGATGACCTGCTGTGTCTGCGAGCCTTGGCCAAGAGTGCTCTCAGGGAGACCCTTTACATCCCATGTGAGATGGCCCTTTTCGCTCTCATCAAGATCCAGCGTCGTGGTGAAGGACGTGATGGTCCCTGGATTCTTGTTTCGGAAATAGGCTATGATGCAGGCCATCTGTCCACGGTACTCGGACCGGACGCCAATCTGCACCTGGGCATCCTCGTACAAGACACCCTCAGCCTTGAGCAGGAGCCTGTTGAAGCCCTTCTCCCACCCAGGAGACAGATGAGCAGCGCTGGCAAGGTTCGGCGCCTTTTTCGGCGCTTGCTCGCTTGTTGGCGAGCTCATGTCGAGTCCGGCAAGATCAGAGGCACCGTTTGCATGGCTACCGTTGACACCGTTGGCCTTGTTCCCGTTGAGCGGAACAGCAGAACTAAATGTCCTCTTAAGACCGCCAGGCTTGGCCATATTGAGCTCCGCCTCGGTATTGGCAGACTTGCCGCCGACAACCCATGTCCTCCGGTCGCTAGTGCCGGCGTGCTTCTGGTGCAGGCGAGAGAGCAGGGCGGACTCTCGTTCGGGGAATGGCGGCATCTCATCGCACATTGTTCGCAGGAGATCATCTGTCGGCAGCGTCGCCAGTTTCAGATACTCACAAGCTCTCTGCTGCAGTTCGGAATCCAGAGTGTGGCTGTAGATTTCAAAAACATGAACGAGCTGAGGCTTGATTTCCGGGAACAAGTTGACAAATTTGATGAAGCAGGAAAGAATCATGGCGCGCGTGCTCGATGAGCATCCCGACAACTTCCGCTGCAAGGCCAGGAACTGCTCAATGGGGCTGCACCGCTGCTGATCAGCAATGAGATGGCCAAACTCTCCAAGAATGTAGGCGCCAATCTTGACCAACGTCTCGTGGCAGATGTCGGCTCTGATGTGCTGGAGAGCGGTCTGAGCGGCATAAACCTGGAGCTCCTCGTTGTTGGTGACAATCTGAATCACTCGTTGCCACACTTCGTCGCTAACATGATCACCGGCCATGGCAATCAGTCGCAGGGATATGTCGACATACCACTGGACGTCAGTGGCATACTTTTCCGTGAGAATGGCAATCTTAAGAACCATCTCCTCACGGATGGCAAAGTCCGCACTCTGAAGGAACTGCAGAAGCTCGCCAACAACGACTTGGGCATTCGTCGAGTCGCACATGCTGTAGAGGAGATCAAGACCCTTTCTGCGAACGCTAATATCGCGGTCCTTGAGAGAGCTGAGAATAATGTCCTGGTGCTGCTTAATCGGAATAAGATTTTCAGATCTCGCGGCAAGATGGGTCATGGCTTCGAGACCAAGATATCGAACATTGGTCTCTCTGCTCTGGATGAAGCGTCCTAGGCGAGAGGAGATTTGCTTCATCAAGTCCTGCTCGGTGTCCAAGTGAATGATGAGATTGATGGCCTCAAAGAGGACTGCGTTTTGCGCATTGTTCTGCTGCACATTCTTGCTTGATTCCAAGGCGAGGTTGAGAATCTTTTGCAGAGACTCTCGAATCAGCTCACGCACGTGCGTATCCTCTGCACAAGCACAGTCAGTATCCGGTAAATTTGTTGCGCATAGCTTGGAGGGGGAATATCAACGTACCTGAAGGAGGAAAGTACTGCAGAAGCCGCAGAAGCTTGACTTGAAGCCAAGGGCATGGAACCTTGTAATACAGATAATCGGTGGTGTACTCGCCGTCAATCAGGATGCGCTTAAGTCTAGCCGCAGCTTTGGCATAGGCGCCCTTGTACTGCTCCAAGTCGTCCTGAGCCAGAGTCATGACAAGAGAGGTAATGGACAGCGCAACACCCAGATCATCATCATCCATGAGATGGATGATTCGTTCGGCCCACTGAGGCTGTACAATGTCCCGGTGCTTTCGGTACAGTCGCAGCAAGGTCAGAGCGGCCTTTTTCTTGACAAACGATTTGGAAGTCCTAGATCGCATTCACGGGTTAGCCTTTCCAGTCTCGAGCTAGCCAAACGACCCCTTCCGCTATCAAACATGCGCGCGTGTGTGTTGGAACTTACGGCGAGATGAGCAACCGATGTACTTCTCCGCTGAGAGCTTCTCCCATTTCGCGACCTCCGACGTTGGCAATGGCATGCAGAGCAAGACAGTTGAAGAGCTCATTGTGGTCGAGAAGGTCCTTACGAATGCTGTTGACCACAAGGTGGAGCAGCTCGTGCTTCTCATGCAGGAACAGCGTCATGGCCAGGTAGCCAATCTGCTTCTCCGAGTATTTATTGGCGGAAATCAGATTGACGGCCTCGAGGTGTCCGAAATCGACATTCCACCCCAAGATGTAGATGTACAGCAGCTTGCAGACATACTTCTTCTTGTGGTAGCCGCTGAGGTTGCCGTCCTTGAACTTTTGCCGGATGTTGGCCAGCTCCTTGTTGATGCGCTTCTCCTCCAGCTCACGGGCACGCGCGTTTCGCAAATCGGCGATGAACTGTACCAGGCCTCGCATGTTGGCATTGTTGCTGCTGGAGCGGCCAATCCAGCCTGATGCGGACGACGACATGTTGGACCCCTTTTTTTTCGGACCTCGTTATTTTTAACTCCTCAATCGATGGGTTGAGATGGGATGCGAAGCAGCTGTCGCGGTAATTAAATCCTTGCGGGAGGCAAAGCCAGACACCAATCGTCTATCGGGGGGATCGCATAGTCAGGCGGGATCGCTTGCGTCGGTCTGTTTTAAGCGGCGAGCATCGACGGCGTCGCGAAGGCTGGATATGTAATCGTCTCGGGTCTTGTGCGATAAGAAGCTGCCGGCTATCACGGGGACAGAGCAGGCGGCGTTAAAAAAGACGAAACAAGTGCGAGATGATGGATCTGATGCCGTAAGACGGTTCCTCGTCGACAGATACGTCAGAGGGAATGCAGCAGCGTCTGGGCGATTACGTGGAGCCTCTGGTGGTCACGGTTTTGCAAGATCAAGAGCGTCGCGTCTTGCGGGCGGCTCGGAGAAGGTCGAAGGATGGATGGAGGGCCGTTTTGGCTGTTGCGTGGAGCCTAAATCAGGAGCTGCTTAATGCTTCTGTAGCGGGTTGGCCGCTAAAACGCCAGCGGCTGCGACCCTGTGGCCGGGGTGGCCCGTGCGCTGTGAAGCACTCAATCTAAGAAATTATTGGATGCAATCGATAATGGATGGGCTGCCCGGCGTCATTGCTTCACTGCTGCATCTTCCTTTACAAGACAAAGCTTGAATTGATTTGATTCCAACACACCTTCAGCCCAGACTTGCTCTGCAAATGAGCATGTCATGTCCACGTGCCGCTCATCCTCACTCATAAGCTGGGGCAAAAGCAGCCTCGCCAGGCTTGCCCCTCTCAACAGCACCCAGTTCGCAGCTGCCCCTCGCCGATTCTATGCGGTCGCCTCCGGAGCAACTCGATTCCAAGTCTTTGATCGAAGGGTTAAATGGCTTCAGAAGGAGCGCTCAGCTTCCAATGAGGAAGAGAGTCGTCAGGCAGACTATCTGAAGGACGAAGTAGCCATACGGCTCACGGAGAGACTTCTTGTCAGTCCAAATCTGCTTCGCCATGCTTAACCCAGAGCCAAATGCAAAAGCTTACTCTCGACAGGATATCAAACGGCACTTCCCCAAGGTTCTCGACCTCGGCGCCAATTCATGCAATGTCGCAAAAGCCTTGACGCGCGAGAATCCCGATCCCGATCCAAACACGCCACTGTCACCATCGCTGTCGGACCGCATCGGCGAGCTCATCGCAACCGATTCCTCCGAGGCCAGGCTCTACCGAGATGCCAGCCACGATTTCAACAAGAAGATTGCCATTACCCGCCAAGTCGTCGAAGATGAAGAGACTGTATCGTTTGAGCCCGAGTCGTTTGATCTTGTGCTGAGCTCCCTGAGCTTGCACTGGATCAACGACCTCCCCGGCGTGCTGTCCCAGATCAACAACATCCTCAGGCCAGACTGCCCCTTTATCGGCGCAATGCTTGGAGGCGATACGCTGTTTGAGCTTCGGACGTCACTACAGCTGGCGGAGCAGGAACGGAGAGGCGGCATGTCCCCCCACGTCTCGCCGCTGGCTGACGTGCGTGATGTCGGCGGCCTGCTGCAGAAAGCAGGCTTCAAGATGCTGACTGTAGACGTCGACGACATCATTGTCGACTACCCCGATACATTTGCCCTTATGCAGGATCTTCAGGCCATGGGCGAGAGCAACGCCATTCTAAACCGCGAGATGGGACCTATCCGGAGAGATGTTCTGCTTGCCAACGACGCCATATATCGGGCCCTGCATGGTAACCCCGACGGATCAATTCCTGCCACCTTTAGAATTATATACATGATTGGTTGGCGTGAGGGCGAGAACCAGCCGAAGCCGCTTGCAAGAGGAAGTGGAGAGACGAATCTAAAAGACATTCTGGAAAAGAAGGAGTAGTATATATACCACATGTATGAATAATGGAAGATTTAAAACTTTTTTTTAATACGTTAATATGTCAACCGAACATATGGATGGCGCCATGCTACCATTTGGTAACCATTGTTCCATTGGAAAGTAAAGCAAACACCTTGGGCTCCTTCAGCACCCCCTCTATACATGATTTCGCAGTAGGATCGACCCTTTGTCCGTTTATATACCCAACAGCGCCATTATACTCTCCGCCAGTCCGTCATCGTCCGGCCAATGCATCCCAGCCCCGCAACCTCAACCAGCTTCTCGTGCCAACTCAGCAGGACGCTCATGGCGGCCGATGCGGGCTCGTTGGACGCGCCGGGCCGTGAGCCGATCTGGGTGAAGCCGGTGGACTGCGGTGTCATCTTGGCGGGAGACTTGAGCCCGGCGGCTGCAGGAGCACCGCTGGCCATTCCCTTGTAGCTATGGATGGACCTAGTCAGCTTTCCGTCCTGCTTCTTCTTCCCTCACTATTTCTCTTTTAAACGGGGAATGTGGTTCGATCGTGACTTACATGTACTTCATCAGCACGTCGAGGAGCTCGCTTCCGCCAGGGGCCGCGTAGATGCCCTTGAGCAGCGGCGTCATGTCGCTCGCCTTGATGGACTGCAGCACCTCGATGATGGTCTGCAGATGCGCGTCCTTTGCAGCATCCGTCCCGTTGTACACCGGCGTCTCCAGGCATCCCCTCAGCGCCCCCTCAGCGTCTCCCCCCCTCAGCAGCTGCCGCACCTGCGTCGAAAGCGTGCGCACATCGGCCTCGGAAACCTCGGGCTGCGGCGGGTGCAGCGTCGACGTGTCGAAGTTGACGCTCGAGTCCTCGGTCAGGATGTCGATGTTGACGGTGCGCCAGGCGTCTGTGAGGGACGCGGCGGTGTGTTGCTGGATGATTGACATGGCGAGTGTCTCGTTGCGTTGTTGGGAGAGGATTCTTTGTTATTTTTTGGTTTTCGAGTTCCCCCTTTTGCTGCTTTTTCGGAGAGGTGGCGGGAGGGAGGAAGGTCTTCGATTGGGCGATAGATAGAGAGAGAGGCTGTAGCTTTGGAGGTGGATTGGGGAAGCTCAGTCTGGTTGGTGATGATGCTGCGTCACGGGTGGAGGGGCTGTGGGGGAGGAGGGAAGCTGGCCGTCCGTTAGTGGAGTACTCCAGGGTGCTCGGTGCTGGTGGTGCGTAACCTGTACCTAATTAACAGTGCAGTCTCACTTGGTAGAGAGAAGATAAATGGTGGTGGAAACAAGCTTATACGATTCATTGTTGATTTGGATGCCATTTTTATGGTAATCAATATAGTAAATTCAATTTGAAATGTTAACCTTAAGAGTGTGGTAATTCTTAATCAGCTTCTTCTCCTCCTTCTATCAAGGGCTAATGTCCGTAAGAGGCTGTTATAGGCACATGTCATCATGCTCTTGAATTACCATATAAACGATAGTCACAAACAAGTTGCAGATACATAGTTGGAGCAATAAGATTAAATTAAACCACTACTACAGTCTACCTAGGTAGAATGCCTCCCACAGTGCCCTATGTCAATTACCATCAAGCTTTAGTAGCTTCCCTTGCCCAATACTACCCTGCAGACGAAGCTCATTTCTGTGATATTGCTCCAACACGCATCTGCAGAATTTTACTATCTCATATTAAGTATTCATTTGTAATAGTATGACGAGCCTAAATGCCTACATAACAAGTATCTTCCAGCCATCCATTCGCCGATGTTGCCATTTCTTGGAATCTTCAGGCAACGCCCAGGAAGACTCACAACCGTAAGCATACGACATAGAAAAAGATACATATACTCTAAGACTACGAGTTATTCAATTCCCGTCAATGACAAAACTATCTTTCGACATGCTAATACACGTCAATAATAAAAAGTATCCATAATATATTCTTGTTTCCCTCCAGCAAGCCGCAATGTTGCGTAATACCAAGCACGACGTCCTCCAGAAATGGGACCATGCCCCTTTCCATGCGAAATACAGACCAGATCACAAACTCCCCGTGATTCAACGCAAATACTCTTCTTCTTTTTACCTTTGGATATGTCCAAGCCTCAACTGACCATTAGAAAACACTGATCTGTCTTGCCCAGTCCAAAGTCAGCGTGAGATGCCTCTCTTTCTCCTGTACAGGTTTCAGGAACTCGGCCCAATATTCGTCTACCCCTTATAATTTGAACCTACTATCAATGATAACAATGCACACTTCAAAAGAGGAATCAACTCCAAATGAGACGTCCCAAGTGAGCCTGACTGACTCCAAAGCCCCGAGACGGAGGGAACAAAGATTACAAAGATTACGACTGTCTGTGCGAGTTGGACCGCTTGCAGCTCGGACCGTTGGATTCTCCTTCATGTTGCTTTGCACATTTGCACTCCAAGTGACTGATCTGTGGTAGACTACAGATAGAGTTGCCGTCATCAAGGTTTTCTCCGCGGCGTCGAAGCTTGGTCAGCCGTGATGGAAAGGTTCTCGCCAGCCCGCTCTTAGCGACAGGGACGCTCTTGGGATGGCAACACGCACTGTCTGGCCGGAGGAAGGATATACTCGTACATATCAGGACGGAGTGTATGTAGTAGTAGCCACCAGAAAAGGGGAGTGTGTCTGTCTGTCAGTCTGTCAGATAGGACAACCTAGTATGTACTCCTACTCGTAGGTTCACTTTCACTTGACAGAGCACCTCAGGCGGTGAATTGGCCATTGGGAAAGGGAATCGGGGGGAGGGGGGCCAAGCGGAGGACAGAAAAAGCGAGACCGCAAAATGAGTAAGTGCATATATTCAGCAATATGAACACCCGATTAGCTTATATATTAACTACTAGGCATTGCGTTTATTAGGGAATACCTATTCAGCTAGCACTTGGGTTTTGCTCTATAACTCTAGTAGCAGTTACTAGAGATATATAAAGATAGTAGCAGTTATAAGAGAAATATAGATATAATAGCGGGTATTATAGAAACCAGAGCTAGAGGCGCAGAGAGTTACTTAAAGAACCGGCGTATAATTTAACGTAGGGGTGTTTGAATTTCTCTCTGTCGGTTTTTCTGTCCTCCGCTTAGGGGACCGGGGCGACCAGGGTTGCCAGAAGGTGACGTCTTTTATGGATTCCTCCCACGCAGCGCGATTGTATTCTGATAGGAAGCTCGAAAATATTTGCGATGTGTTATCCCAAGTGATATAAGGCATCGTAAGTCGGTTACGTTACCAGAAGGTGACGTCTTTCATGGATTCCTCTCACGCAGCGCAATTCCTCCTACGCAGCGCGATTGTATTCTGACAGGAAGTTCGAAAATATTTGCGATACATCGTCCTAAGTGATATGAGGCGTCGTAAGTCGGTCATGGTACAGGTGCGTCTTCTCCAGAAGCTCCATTTCTAGCGATATTCAGCTCCCATTAGTCACCGGTGCTGGTCGAGCCATCGGTCTGAGACCCATCGCTCTTTTCGAGTAAGTTAGCGTAAAAGTCCATCAGCTCGTCATCAGTCTCTGAGAGATCATCGGTGTCCGTTCAGACAGTCACCATCGATAGAATGGGAGCACCCTGATATTGAAGACGCAGAGGGTTCCGACGCTGACTACTACGATGACGGAGATGTGGATATGACGGAGGACGGCAGCTCCGAATAAGATGACGATGACGGAGATGTAGATATGACGGATACCGATGATCTCTCAGAGACTAATAATGATAACGGAGATGTGGATATAACGGACACCGATGATCTCTCAGAGACTGATAACGATGACTGAGAAGTAGATATTAAAGAGGACGGCGGCTCCGAACAAGTTGACGATGACGGAGATGTGGATATAACGGCATGCGGTGGAAAGAAAACACCGCCGGTCTGCCACTATAATTTGTGTGGGATCTGCGACGCTGTATTCTTTCCACCCCTTGACTGTCAAAGAACGATGGTTCCCGTAAAGGAGGCCCAGTGTAGTGGGTATATACGTGAAGATCTCCATCTTCAGGGGGCCAGTGGAGGAAGAAGGTAGGAATAGTTCCGTTGAGGATACGCAAGACTGTCGCTTCGAAAAAATGTGTCGTCCTAAGTAATATAAGCTGTCGTAAATTAGTTATATTGCCAGAAGATGACGTCTTTCATGGAGTCCTCCCACGCAGCGCGCTTGTATTCTGATAGGAAGCTTAAAAAATATTCATCGTCTTAAGTAATATAAGGCGTCGTAAGTTGGTTATGTTGCCAGAAGGTGACGTCTTTCATAGAGTCCTCCCACGCAGCGCGATTGTATTCTGACAGGAAGTTTAAAAATATTTGCGATGCATCGTCCTAAGTGATACGAGGCGTCGTAAGTCGGTCACGGTATAGGTGCGACTTCTCCAGAAGCTCTGTTTCTAGCGATATCCAGCGGTTCCAGACCTTCATGTGTGTGGCCTTTATTTGGCTGCTTTGTCGGCTCTTTTGATGATTTCTTGATCCCTTTGCCTAGCTTGGGGATCTTGGTGCCCTTCAGCTGGTTCAGCTTGTGCTTTGCCTCGCCTAGCTTCGGTCTTTCCTTCTTTGGAGCTTCGATCTGCAATCTTGTTGATTGTCGATTTGGTTGTTCGTTCAGCCATCTTGCTGTTGCGGTCGGGTTGCGGCTATTGCGGTGCGTTGTCTCGTCGGGTGGTCTTTTGATCTTGAAAGCGTTGCGTGCGCAATCCATTTTCAAGCAGGATTATCGCTGCCTTTTATAACCTGGCGGAACGATCCTATCTGGTCTGGCTGAGTTATTGAACTACAAGTTGCGGGCTTGAAGCCAGTTGCGTTGTGCTTGAACCTTGTTGTTCGGGCAGGACTGTCCAGAATATTAAGTAAGTGCTGGAGGACAACGGGGCAATCTCTCCGTCGCATCCTCATCCTCGTGCCTGACCGGCATTTTCCGCGATATCCGAAGCCGTGTCATTTACGGCTATGAGTTACCATTTAGCATGCGTTAGATTCTGCGCTTTCGATATAAGTGAAGACAGCCAACTGCCTTATGCAACTCGAGTCCATTGGGCACGCATGTGTGAAGCCATCGTTGAATCGCTCATCATTGACCAATCGGTTCGGGACTGGTGTCACGCCCACCGCTACATTGTAAATATGTTGGGACGAAGTTTTGAAAACCTTGGAATGCTGTAAGCAAGACTCTAGCACACGACATCTTTGATTGCATGCCTCAATGGCGCGCTGCCTTTCTCTGGAGTCTGCAGTAGTTTACCCGACAGATTATGTCACGTACAGTGCGAGCTGGTCTACTAGTATATATATTATATTAGTCTTTGCAAAACCTTCGGGTAGTGTGGTGGTACAACCGATAATCATATTGAAGCATGCTTGAACGGGCCGCCATACTTTTTGCGACCTCGTAGGTTCGAGACCCCGGTGAAGCATTCATAGATAACTTTTTTTTCTACGGTGTGCCCTGTGAAAGCTACGCGTCTCCAAGTCCTCCTCAACCATGACCGGCACAACCTCGCCCAGCAATAAGGGCCCGACGTTCGCGCCGCAGCTTCCCGCAGGCTGAATCGTGTAGTGGGACGGCGCCAGCAGGAATAACTACTACATGCAGCTGGTAGGTTGAAGCAGTGATCAATCTTATTGCAATGTTAACGACTGACTGCCTAGTACCTATCTAAGCTACCTATCTAATGAGTGTAGGTTCTACCATCTTGTATAGTACATCGTTATTTAGAGGAGCGCTACACTCCGTCGTTCCAATCTGTTGATTGGTCTCTCGGCCCGTAATTATTTGAGAGGAGTGCTTGTACTTGTACGAGTATACTTGTAGTAGTAGCAACGTTGTAGATGTCTTGTGCCTGGCTCTGTCCCTCCCATGCCCTCGTGTAACGCGGCATATGTCGGAGCCCTGAGGCACAGAAGCTCGGCCCGGAGGCGTCGTCACGTACCCATCTACAAGTGCCCAGCCAGAAGCGTCAACGGACGCACTGCTTCGGTTTAGGACTGCCAGGGGGCGTGTGTAGCCAACACGAATGTTGTCCTGCTCGTAGTCCTCCTGCTGCACTTGGTGCGCCCAACACATAATTAGATGGACAAGTTCTAGGCTGTTGGTGAATCATGGCTTCGATACAGAGGCAAAAAGAGGATTAGAGGCCGCCCGTGAATTGTTTTTTCAACCGTTGGCGAGGTCCGATGCATAAGCGAAGCTGTCTGATACGCCCGAGCTGGATCAAACCAAGTGTCTCGTCTCGCCTCTTTTTTTCTCCTTACGATTGTGCGACAAGGATTGCCGGGCCAGTGACGTGAAGCGGCTACGCGGTCCTGCAGTCCGAGCCGTCTGGCGAAGGTGGAACACGCTCAAGCGTAAAAAGAAAAAGAAAAAAAGGAAAAAGAGGAAAAAAGAAAAGAGAGAAAATGGGAAGAGAGTTTTGTCACAATCTGAGCCATCATGTCTCAACTTCCGTCTTTTGGCCACTCCCTATCTAACGGTCCAATGACAAAAGAGATCCATGGATGCGCTTCTGGTCTGCCGATGCGGGTAGCACAAGTTAGACTCGAGAGAAACTTTGGTCAAGTTTATACGCCAAGGTACTTGCTTGGATGTGCTTGGGATTAGCCGACTCTTCATATTGTCTTCTACCTCTAGTAGTAGATTTTGCATTTGTCCCGTCCATTCATTTATTCACGTACCTAGGTATGGAGGCATTGCTAGCCAAAAGTCAATGCGTTTACTTCAATGATGATGATGCCTGTGCTTCGTATTCAACGCTTATAATCCACAGCATCGGTAAATTACAGCTTTTGCCGGCATTGACCAACATCAAACGGGCATTATTCTCACTAACAAATACCTAATTGGCGATGTGACTGATGATGCTCTACTGTACATTGTATGTTCACGATGCATCACAAACAGGGCAGCATATGCCCACAGCGTCTAAAAAAGCGCCTCAATGCTACAAAAAGCAACACCTATCAGAAACACGGAAAAAAAAAAAAAACATCAAACACAAAACACGATCATCTCCTGCATGCACCAAAGATCAGACCTACATATGCGCCCCACACGCACAAGCCCAATCTATCGTGCATCGTGCATTTTATCTCCTGCTTTAGCTTCCTCTTCCCTCCTCGCTAAAGTAGGTCCTGCAGCCGTGCTTTTTTCCCCAGATCCATCCCGGAGCTTTAGTCCGTCCTATTTGTGAATTTTGCAAAAGCAAACCCAAAAAGCTAGCGAAATTTTCTTTTCGTTGGGAGGAAAACGAAGAAAAAAAAGGAAAACGAGAAGAACTAATAACTAGCTAGGCATCAAGTCATCGTCCAACCAGATGGAGAGAAAGGTCCCCAACCATCCAATAGCACAACCACATCGCCAACAAAACCCATCCTTTCCCTGCATTCATAGCTCTCCAATAGACTCTCGCAAAAGAAAAAGAAAAGAAAAAAAGCGCGATAAACATGACAAAAACTTGACCAAAGGAAAAAAAAAAAAAAAAGAGGCAGCCCAGCCGCGCGGGTCCTCCCCCTTGACCTCTCTTAGTGTGTATCACATTTTTGTAGCAGTTAGCCGCCCATTGGTCTTGTGTCTGTCTCTCGCTTTGGCTTTTCCTTGTTATCGTGAATCTCGACCTTTCTAGCCTCCCTCATCACAATTTCTTTTTTCCGCGCCGTGGGCCTGATCTAGTCGAATGCCGAGACGCGGCAGGTGATTTTGTAGATGTAAGGATAGAGACGAACAAAAAAAAAAAAGAGAGAGAGATAAGAAAAGAGACGGATAAGCATGTGAAAAGATTATTGCCGGAACAGAAAAGCGCAGAAATGGAGAGTGAGAGTAATTGTAAAAGTTATGACATATTTGCTGTGAAGCAAGTCTATTCTATAATGTTTCTATTTAGAGAGTTGTCAAAAGGGGTATCCTCCGTAGCATCTTCAGCTCGGACCAGTGCGTAGCCAACACGGCCAAAGCCCCTCAAAGATTTTTCTGTGCCCCCAAAAACTCATTGTACATTTTTTTGAAAAAGAAGGAAAGAAAGCTAAAGTGTCTCCCCCAACAAGAGCTGTTGGTGTTTGACGCACACTTCGCTTGTTGCCTGCATTTGGTGCGATCCCCGCGAAGGGACCGGCGACCAAGAACGAAAAACTGAAAAAGAAATCTTCCCAAAAATTTCGGACGAAGAGTCCTGAAAGCCAAGTCTATATGCAAAAACAAAACAAAAATCCCGTTTTGAAGCCGAAAAAGGTAAATAAAATCCCATCCTTTTTTGTTTCTCTGATCCCCAGCGTAGTAGTATATCCCTTGGAAGTTGATTATGTAAAAATCGGCGTTGTACATTGACATCTCGATCGCGGGAATGAGATGTGACATGGGATTCGAGACAACCAGGATCGTGGCGCGCATTCCAAGATGTTCGCCCTTGCCAAGGGTAAGCTCTGCGCTGAAGAGGAAAAAATGGACAAGTGAATCCCCAGAAACTGTCCGTCTAAGTAGAACGCCATTCTTTTGGTGCGAATAAAATCCCGTGTGAAAAACAAATCTCAGATCACGCCGGTGGTCTGAGAACATTTTGAGTGTGAAAAGCCTTGTTCAAATCGTTGCGAAGCGTTCTTTCGTTGGTCGACGGCGAATGTCTTTTGAAATCCCGTATTGTAAATCCACGAGGGTGCGAATTAAGAGTATTATGAAAAGATTATGTGAGGCTCCATCGCTTGCGACAGAACCTCGGGCGTGAATAGTAAGAAGTGGAAAGAAAGGACGTAAATGCGTTTGTTGCTGGAAGACATTGTCGAATCCCGGTCGGTCGCATTCCCCATTTACTGGGGCTGAGGAGGAGGAGGCTTGGGGAGGCCAGTGGTATCATAGGCACCACGGCCGAAGTTGCAAATGTCGGAGCTGGCGGCAATCATTTTGGATGGTGGGAGCGTGAGGTTGGAGTCTGTGTAAGAAGATGTTTATTAGTATGGAGATGGAGATGGAGATGGAGATGGATGAGAAAAGAGGCAAAAAGACGTTGCCAAGTGTGTGAATCTTACATTAAAAAGATGTAGTAATATGTAGCGTTGAGCTGGTCGTCAGAAAAGATGATTGACGAGTGTTGAGTGTGAGCGTGAGGGTGAGCGTGAGAGAGCGTGAAGGTGCCAAACGGCTTATTAGATTAAGTAGTGTTGGTAGTGATGGATTTTTCGATTAAGTGCCAAAGGAGTGGACTGGTTTTTCTTGGACGCCGGCGCAAAGGAAGGAGTGGAACAAGGCAAAGGAAAAAAAGATGATGGTCGATTCAGATCAGATCAGAAAAAACACAGCGGGAAACGAGAGGAATTAAAAGCTTCTTTGGAAGCGTGCCGGAATAGGGGCCCTTGTTGACGACGGCAGCTCGTAATTAAACGGAAGCAAGCGCAAGAGTCGAAGGAAATCGGATACGCCGCTAACAAGACACGGGTACCTGACACTGGTGCGAAAAACTGTGTGGATATGGGGTGCCGTATTCGGTCCACGAAAAGTGAGCGTGAGCGTGAGCTGTGGTGGGGCCGGAGGATGGGATTGGATGTGGGTTGGGAAGTGGGAAGAGAGAGAGGCTCAAGGCTAACAAGAACCAGTAGCAAAAAGCAAAAAGTAAGTGAGATGAGATGAGACGAAGGGTTGGAGAAGGCGAAAGGATTGACGCTTCTTTTTGTAAGTCGGCGAGGGAGCTTTGCGAGTCAAGGAATGAGGAGTGGTTGGATTGAAAGGAGTGGAAGAAGATCGGGGGAAGGGAGGGAGAAAGCAGGAGCTTTTTGTATTGAGTTGCGACAAGAGACAGGTTCTCTTGTTTTTTTTTTTTCTTCTTTCCTTTCATTTGATGCAAACAAAACCTTGAACAGGGAAACAACACAAAAGGGTCTGGTACCTTGACTCGCAGCGGAATCCCAAGCAAAGACGTTGTTCCAAAGCATCCATAGAAAGAATAGACCCGGTCCGGGGGACGAGCAAGAAAAAAAAGGAGGGAGGGTACAAAACACAATACATGACATGGGTGCGGGTACCTTACCTTGGTACAGTTACACCCAAGCATGTGCGGTACGCTACAGTAGGTACGTACCTTGCATCCGCGGCAGGCAGCTCCAGCTGTCACTCGAGGAAATCAAATGCAAACCCATGATCCATCTCGTTCCTGGAACAGTGGAGCCGGCCGAACCCCTGTCAAACCATGTCGGCGGTGCGGTGGGGCCAGGACAAGACATGGAAGACAGTTTACAGTAGTAGCTGCGTTTAGGTACTCAAGTACCGTAAGAGCGAAGAGCCGACCAGCATGGATTTCCTGGTCCAAGATTTACAGTACATGAGTACACGGTCAAGTACCTGACCTACCAGCCCAGACATCCACGGCGGTACTGCGGCCGCCCATACTGTACAGTACTCAAACATGCTCGTAGCGCTCCAGGCAGGCATTAAAGCCCCGGAACCGGTGCTTGTAGCAGGACTTGGAGCTGTAACAGCGCTGTAGCATCAATCAGTTGGCGAGCTCCAAGTGGCGCCCATGCCAGCCGGACCCAAAACGCTGGGCTGGCTGCTGGCCGGCGCGAACTCTAATAACATGACGCTGCAGATGGCTTCAGGTTCGTATCGAGGGGGAGCTAGAGAGTTTAGCAGTGCTATGTGCATACCTCAGCTCCTATGGACGGACACCTTACATACTCGTACACATGCATACATACTCGTACTGTGCCTTCGATTAGTAACGGGGCTCTATTAATGGAAAGTGTGAGTGTGCCATGGCGATGATGATGATGATGATGATGATGCCGATGCAGTCAGAGAAGAGGGCGCGATTATGCCGTCAGACATGTGCTCTGGCATCATTACTCGTGCACTACTGCAGTAATACAGAGCAGACATCATGCGTACAAGGACTCTACTCGTGCTGCTCTGCTCTGCACTAACCAGCTAAAATCCCAGTTTCTCTGACCTTCTATGCCTTCGCGTACTCGTAACCGGCCGCCGCGGTGGCGTGTCGAGGTGGCCATTTCATCTCCAAGCGCTCGATCCATCATCCTCGCCAGGCACAGGCAGGCAGGCATTCTGGCGCCGCGTACCTGGTTTGGCCCTCCTGCGAAAATCTGGCAGGCCGCCGCACTTTGCAGCGCCCTGGGAGAGCCTCATTAGTGGAGTATCAAGGTAAGGTACCGTGCCCGGCGGCGACGGTACTTGTACCTGCAGCTTGCATGGGCCGGTACATGTACTTCCGCTGCGGGTACATATGCAGGGTCCTTTGTGCTCCACGGCCTGCCGCACTTTTTTTGCTTGTTCCAGAGCCCTTCCGTCGCGCCGGCATCAGCTCCCCGGAGCTCTAGGCGGGTGAGACAAGCCCCAGGGAGCGAAAAGGGATAGCGGCACTTTTTTATCAGGTTTTTTTTCTTTCTTTTTTTTCCCGGCCGCTTCGCCTTTGATGCTTGTCAGAGGATGGCGAGGTGGGTGACGAGGGGGGAGGCCTGGCTTAGGATGATGAAGGAAGACCCGGGGAGACGGCAGCACAGTACACGGTGGACTATCCGTACGGCTCCCAAATCCAGCCTCTGGGTTAAAGAGGTACAGTACACCCCAATTAAATGGCCCAGGGCGCTACTTTAAGTTCCCTTCTTCTTCCCGCCTTGCATGTTTACCTCGCTGCTAGTACCGTTACGGAACTAATTTATCATTGCTTTGGACCTTTGGCTGGGTTACGGGGGCTTGTGGTTTCTAATGAAATCCATTCCATTTCGCAGGCTAGGTGATACTCGGAGTAGCGCATCTACCCGAAACGGTAGCTTCTTCTCTTGTCCCGCTGCAGCAGAAATCTTCTAGAAGCCGTAGCGGGCCAGCTTCCCGGGGAGCACAACAGCAAGCAGCGGCCCTTCAAAGCCAGCATTGATGTCAATGCAAAGGTAAAGGCGAGGCCGACCTTTCTCGGTCAGAGAGTTCTCCGTTTGCTCTCCTATTCTTAGGCTTTTGCTACTGTACTGCGGAAAGCCTGAGTCGGCTAAGCAGCCCGCGTACTCGGACCTGTGCATGCAGGCGGCATGGCAAGACATTTTTGTTTTTTGGCCCAACGGAGGCGGCAAGGTGGCGAATTGCAAGGAACATGGTCCGGCTTATACTGGTAGGCCGACAGCTTATGTACGTACTGCTGCTGTTGTTTTGGTTGTTGTCATTTACCTACCTGTTTGCCGTGACACCGTTTCTCCCGCCGATCCCGAGTCATTGCAAACCGTCAATCTTGTTTTATGTATGTTTTTCCTTTTTCTGGTTTTTTGCCGCCATGTCTCGACCCGTGTCCCGCGGGAGCGGTTCCGGGCCAATTTCCAGAGGTCTAGATGAGATGAGAGGCGGGAGAGAGCGGGAAGCGAATAACGGCAGCCAAATGTCTAACACTTAAATCAATGTATCGAGAGAAAAAGAAAAGAACTAAAAGAAAAAAGAAAATAAGCAAGCGTGTTTACTTTCGTAATGTGCCCGCAAAGTTTCACATGTGCCTGGCCTTGGTGGGTGGCGTCTTCATCTACACGCCTCCTCCAAGCTCCGGGCTAAGCATCCACGCCGTCTTCCTTCGGGCACCCGTTCCTGAGCCGCGGCGCCGTGTTTGCACCAAAAAGAATGGAAGCACGGCGCCACCTTACGCCGCAACTGACAAGAGGCACGACACCTCGTGCCTTTAGTGCTCCTTTCTCAGCTCCCTTGGAGAGGGATTTGCTGCCCCGTTTTGGGGAGGATTCTCGGCTCCTGACTCGCTCGGAGCGTCCCGTATTCCCGCCACTATACTGTGGTAGCAATTGAGAGGAATACCGATGTGTAGCTTGTACGGAACATGTGCCGTGCTACGTGCAGAGCAGTGCATTCAGGTGACATTCGCAGTGTCTTGTAGTTTAACATGCAATGGATCTTTTTTTATAACTTCATGTGCTGTTATTGTACAGACCTCGGCTGGAAGCTTGATGCTCAGCTTCTGCGCCTCTAAATGACACAAGACGTTGACAAGTGAGCTGTTGCACAACTAACAGCAGCCACTTCTTGCTCTGCATGTCTCCATCTTACTACGATTCTTCAACATCGTTTCCCAATATAGACTCGTACCCTGTAGTTGATCTCATGGAAACATCGTGGGCATGTTACACCACCCACGCCCCTTCCTTCAATTGTGCACCGCCTTTTTCTGCCAGCCAATGTGAAAAAACCCCAGGCACAGCATCTCCCCATTCTGCAGAATTATGCTTCACCGCCAAACATCAGCAAAGCATTCAAGCCCATGCCACGGAGGAGTCCGCAAAACATTTCCCAGGGTGGCCAGGCTTTCCTTTCACCACGGTGCAGTGCATGCTTGTCATCAATCAGGTTACCGGCTTCGGTTCAAGCAGAGATCGTTCCGAGGACCCCTATGCTGGCAATAAGGGGATGTGCTTGCTGCTTGTCAGTATGCATATACCAGGTCGGCTTTCTCCGAATACATGTATCCTGCATCTACGGAGACAATAAGGAGATAAAAAAAGGATATCACATAGGAGGCCCAGTCCAGGGGATCACTGACAAGCATTTGCCCGTCGGACAAGGTAAAGAAAGAAAGAAAAAAAAAATTGTTTCGCCGACGTTCATTACGGGTCTCTTGAATGTCAGTCATGATGTGAGTGTGGCATCACTTTCGAGGCAAGGCAGGTCCAAGGCCCAGGGTGCTGATGCAATACAGCTGGCCACAGGGGCCTGTGCTACCCCTAGCCACGATATCGATCAGCATGGCAATTCGAGTGGCTTGAAAGCATGGCCAGATGCATGTGCCAACGGTGCACCACCGCAGCATTTGTTTGTCTCTAGCCATAGCCCGCCATCACGACTCCATACTGTGCAACGTCAAGACGGATATGACCGTCCATCGCCTATCTAGTGGTAGCCTCGGAGATTCTACTCGGCCCGCTCCTGTAGTAAATTGTCCCAAGGATCTGGATGTTGCTAGTTGAATGTAACGGAATCGAACGCTTGCTACCAAGTTGGTCGCATCCAGCTGCGCAGCGACAATTACTCACTGACTTCTTTGTATAGCGACACGGAGCGAGCAGTAGCACCAAGTTCAGGCGGAGCATCGAATCGGTCTCTCACTATGTATTCGTTTATTGACAAAGGTATGGTATGGTGGTGGACCGGTCTAGACTACTCGTCCGGAATATTGGGCCCCGGAGCGATTCCATACAATTCCCGACGGTTTCGAGCAAAGCAAAGAGCCTTGTGGGCCAGACAAACATGCAAACTGCAGTCTTATTCAGGCATCCGCGTTCGTTATGCTGGCCGGCTTAATGCTTGATGAGCTGTCTTGCAACCATACTTACGCTTTTGCGACGGCCCCGGATACCTTGTGCTTCAGACCCGCTACTGTTACACAAGATTCGAACGCAAAAGGATGACTGATTCTCAGGGCCAGTACAGACTGTATGGAGTACTCGGACAAGTACCGCTGGTACCAGATGCAACGTGCGTTTGGAATGCCAAGGGTCACAAATGCGTTTCTTTTCAAGGTTCTCCTTCTTTAAGGAGCATCAAGCGTGCCTCTCGGGTACCAAGCAGAGGACAAACGGCAAGGCTGGCCTTGGTAGAACTCTGCAACGGAAACCGGGTCTCTCCCCTGACGTTATGCGTCCTGTTGTGCCGTGGAAGCTTTCTAGAATGCGAATGCGCCTTTCCGAAATTGGTATTCCCCACAGTCTCCGTTCATTCTCGAAACAAAGGGGACCCGGTGACAGTGCGAATTTCGCTTGACCCTTTGTTGTGTGAGGCTCTTTGGTGAAGCACAGGGGTGCCCTGTTGCCTGGGCTCTCGCTCTCGTCGACAGGGCAGGGGGAAGCGTACAAAGTACACACATCGACGATCGGTCCGTTCCACTCAAACTTCGGCCAACTGTCGCCTTCGTGCCGTCCGTACGGAGGACAGAACAACCCCGGCACGGCTCTACTCTTGACACGTAGCGGAGCACATTTCACAGGCCGGAAGACATCCGTTATTGCCAAGGGTTAGTGCTGCCGGGGAAGGGGGAGTCTACGATTCAGATGAGCAATGAGAAGGTAGCAGTATGATTTTGAAATAGAAAATTTCTTTCTTTGGCAGGAAACGGCAAATCTGTCCACCGGCCGAGCGGCATCCATCGTGTGCCATCTTAGTGCCGTGCCTTCTTCTATAGCCGCGGCACAGGCATGCATGTGCTTCGTGCGCCATTGCGAGCGAAAGATTCACGCGCATGGCGATACTACAGTAGTGTATTAACGGGCCTCTAACAAGACACAGTATGGGCTACAATGTACTCGTACAGCTTGGGGTGTCACTCCCACAAATGCTTCCTAGATGGGGAGACAGACCCTGACAGGAACTTTGGGTTTGGTCATTTTAGGCAATCTTCCATACGCCGGGGTGATTCCCTTGAAGGAATCCCAACGATTGATCCTGGTCTCGCCTACTCGTGCAACGGGACACCTGGCGCAGTTAGGCCTTTGAGCTTCCAGCAAAGCTTCCATGGCCGCGGCAGAAGAGAGCCCAGACGCACACATGCTCACGTACCACATTCATGCCAGCGCACAGGAGCTTGTACTTTCAGGATATGCGCCATAATGGATGCTTTGGAGCGGTACATGCACGGAGCATCCTGCATCCAGGCAGCGTTCAACGTTGAGAGACCACCCCGGCATGCTCCACTGCTTGTGATCAGCCATGTGGATTTGGAAATAGCTACGCCTGGCAGAATCTTCAGCGGAAGCTCTGTTGCACCCTGTCAGTCGCCTTTGGCAAAATCTAACCCCGGCTTATAGCAATACTCGTAAGGCGATAATAGAGTAGCATCATCGGCTTGCGATTCAGCTCCCGCCCGAATGCAACCTACAACTATGAAGGAGCATTCGTAACGAATAGCGTTGCTAGTGCACACTGGCACAAGTGGTATGGCTTGGTTTATTGATCCTTGTTCCGGATGCCCTTCCGCTGGTTAGATGAGAGGGAATAAGCAAGGCCTGTGGTTGGTTACCAGTTTTTGGGAATAGTGGTTTTGCCCAGCCGTCCATCAAATGAAACAATTACCAGTAGCTCATGAGTGCTGCTAGCGGTTGGAGCAAATTTGCCGCCAATTTTAACGAGTCGTACTCGGACAAGCACATCCAGCGTCCAACTGGTGGGCTGACGACCTGTCATTCAGACTCGCGTTCACGGCTCTGCGATTCATCGCGAGTCAGCCTCATCAAGACCAGCATCGTTGTTGCTGTCGCTATAAGGCACGGAGCAGAATTACGGAGCACGGCAATGCGCCAGCTGCATGCCGACGGTATCGCCGCGTTCGCCTCGCCGCATCTTGAGCTGATAGATGGAGCCGGAGAAATGCCAGCGTTTACTTTGTCTGAACCTTGTTTTTCTCCCCCATCCGCGTCTGCACCGTTCTGGGTTATGATTCTTGCGTACCCCGACTACGAGTATGCATCAGCTCTTTACGGACAATGCCCATCAAGGGGGCGGCAACAAGAGCCGGCCTGCCAATGTGGTTGTTTCAAAACCAACAAAGCGAGTTCCAAGGCAGCTACACTCATTCGGGGATTAGCAGTACTGTAACAGTAAGCAACGGCGCCGTACTGTAGCACGTTTCTCCTCCCCCCCCTTCTTTAAGATCCATGTCTTTGCATGTTTCTTCAGGGCACGGGCTTCTTTACGCCACTGATTCGGCTTAGCTTTGCAGTCTTGTTCAATGGTTGATGTACAATTTACACAAATATCTGAACATTGGGTGATGCCGATAGACAAGAAAACTACTCTGCCATCATTACAGTATACAAGCAATTTCTCCTATTGAGTCTGCTCCATACTACATACAGCGAGCTGGATCTAGACAAGGCTCTCTTGTCTGATGAGCACGTTTGCCTTGGAGAGAGGATCCACTCTACCCATCGCGGTGGGCTTCGTCGCGATTCCGCTAGGGTCATGGCGCCGGGGAGCGTTTCCGCCTCGGAATTTCTCCTAGGCAACGAGTCTTTAGCGTTTAATGGAACGAAGAAGAAGAAACGAAGGGCATTTCTCGGGGACCCAGCCGCCTGGGCGTCGGTCGGAGGCCACCAGCGCACGGCGGAGCTCGCTGATAACTGTCGGCCATAACATACTGTAACCTCGCCGTGCTAGCAGGGGCTTGAATGAGGCCAGCTCGCTTAAAGGGCATTATGAATATGGAGTCAAAACGGGACGAAACAATCTTTTTCCTTCTGGAAGCCCCTTTGGTCACCTGTCACGATCGATATCTGTGGCGCTAGGCAGGAAGAAGCCGCAGGCATATTAGATGCTGATTTTACTTTGGTCAGGTGTTGGGACGCATACAGAGGATATGGGAGTCAATCTCGGCATTCGAGAACATGGCCCCAAGTGGCACTTGAGTGAAGCAGTTTAATGCATTGGGGGTATTCAAGGGTGCGTTGCGTGTGACTGATTCGCGTTGACTCCATGTGGAAATGCAACTTATTACTGTTGCTAGTACTAGTATTGAGCCTGGTTTCTGCTCGGCAATACAGTACAAGCGCAGATGCAATAAGTCAACATGCTCAAATACAGGCAGAGCCTTGTAATCAATCCCCGGGATCGTGGATACGCGAGCAGGGTCAGCCTTGTTCCCCAACGTGCGGACGACAAAAGTCGCGGCCCTTGGAGCACGCCACGTCACATGGAAATGTCATGTCATCGTGTGACTTCGGGGCTGCCGCTGAGATTGAGCAGCGCAGCTCCGAGATATTTCCCTCCGGTGAAGACATGCTTTGTGGCTGCTGAGAATGCCAATATGGGGTGATGGCTAGGGGGGGATAATGGGCGGCTTCGTTGGACGAAGGAGAGGCGCCACATGTTGAAGCGGGCAGGTTTTGGCGATATTTGGGATACCATGCGGATATTTGAGCCCTTGCTTGGGAAGTGTTACGTATTATTACTCCGTGTTTCGTAGGGGCTTAAGTAAAGTAGACTACATGGTTTGAGAATGCGGATACGGATACGTCTTTGTGCGAGATGGTGTATATCCGTATGCTTTTCGGATTTACATTGAAGAATCTGTCTGGCTCATAACGCATATGGGCTGGAGAGACATGATGGTGGCTTGAGCAAAGAGTGTGAGTCTTTGGTTTGGAGCTGTCCGACTATTTCGAAAAGGAGGTGGTGTCGTGATTTAGCATCTCAAAACTAGGAGTCTCGTCTACATAGACATGTTCGTATGGTGATGCTTTGGTAGAAATCTCATGGCTAACGATTGCTTTGCTGGGCCTTTTTCTCGTTCGGATCTGCCCTTGACCTGTGGCAGCAAGGTTACGAAGCCATCAAGTATCGCGTCAACGACAGCCATATTCTCTGGAACCGCTGGATGGAGGTTATATTTATTATCAAGAGGTTCAGTAAAGCTGCAACAGCTAGGTCAGAGGAAGGCTACGCCCCAGCCTTTGGTTCAAAATCCAGAACCAACCCGTAGCTCAACCCGATCGGCCACAGCCGACCAAGTCAAACCTCGAAGATTCAGACCACAAAGTATGGCCGCTAATCAAGGTTCAGGACCAAACTCAAATGCGCAAGAAGGCCAATTTCGCATGATGGGAAATGGCTGTCTTGAGGGAAAGAGTCCCGAGAACTAACGTCAAGAGAGAAGGCGCACCAGGTCAGCAGCAGAAATTGGGCACTACGAAAGGTAACTGCTGAGCAAATTTTTTCTGTCTTGAGGGAAAGAGTCGAGAACTAACGTCAAGAACCGACGTCAAGAGGGAAGGCGCGCCAGAACAGCAGCAGAAATTGGGCACTATAAATTCCTCTCTCGTCTCCCGTCTGTTGATGTTTTCTTCTCTTCTTCTTCAGCTTCAATTTGATTGGTGTGATTTACCCCGGGTCAAACCGGGGGGTCATATCCGTTCAAGCACAATTTTTGTAACCACCTCGTCTTGCTTGTCAAGACTTGATCCCTCTTTTTTTCATTGAGTTCTGGGTCTTGTACCTGGTCTTGAAGAAGAAATCTGCG